GTTGCTTTCTGATAAATTTAGACGCATTATGCGAAATAAAATGTTTTGCAAACGCTCCAATCACTTATCGACATGTAAACGCACTAAACCGATTTCGCAGCGTTGACACATTGTCACCTTGAAACTTATTTAAACTGGGAACTGACACTTGTATTAATTTTGACACTGAATCAATTTGTGGCATTTCAAATCTTTATAAATCCTTTGGCCCCGCATACTGTAAATCAACAATCATCATTCATCAATCATTTTACGAGTAGATAAAGGCAATTTTGGTATATAAAGATGCCCAAACAGTTAAATAGTCGGTGTAAGGAACTCGTGGCCTCGTTAATGCACTACTTTGAGCAAGAAAGGGACAACAACGGGCCTTTGTTGCCTTTAAATGCTGTTCAAGAGGTAGGTTACTAATAATTATATGTAATGTATATTAATAATAGTGAAATTTTATTTCATTTTTTGTAGCGTGTTGCTGCTGATTTAAAAATTAGTTAGTCGTATTTCCGAGGGTGTGAAAAGTGATGCAAATTTAGAATCGCCCAAGAAAAAGCGGAGTTATATTAAACGTGTAACCAACACAGCGACATTGGATACAAGTGCCATTCGAGAAGTGATCTATAATATGTATCACAAAAGTAAGATCTTATTATAATAACTTATCAGAAATTTGCATTAATTTGTTAACTAAATTATAATGTCATATTACACACATGGTTTCAGAAGAACAAGTTACGATACAAACTTTATGGTCTCGATTACGAGATAGGGCATTATTTGATGGTAGTACCACGTCTTTAAGGCGGTTGCTTAGAGATCTTGGATTTAAGTGGCTTAAGGACAATCCGCGACGAGGGCTCATGGAACTACCAAGTATAGCTTTGAAAAGGGTGGAATTTCTAAGGCAATACAATCAAGCCAAGGTTGAGGCCTTATACCAGTTTGTCTTGCTCGATGAAACTTGGATATTTCAAAATGGGATCATAGGTCGCTCTTGGCAAAATGGAAACCAAAAAAGCGTGAAAGCTATTAAAACAGATGGTAAAAGGTATGTACTTTTACACAATTTGCACTATAAAATTTAAAACTAATATATTTTAGATACATTATATTGCATGCTGGAAATGAAAATGGGTTTATTGAGGGTTGTGAAGCGATATTTTCTTCGAAAACAAAATTGAGCGATTACCATGGAGAGATGAACCAGGACAATTTTTTGAAATGGTTTCAACATCAGTTATTAGAAAAATTGGAGAGTCCATCTATGATTATACTGGATAACGCCCCTTATCACAGCATGATATTGAACAAAGTGCCCAACAATGCATGGACAAAAAAAAATATCCAAGACTGGTTGACAAATCAAAACATACCATTTTTAAACACAATGTTTAAAACAGAGCTATTGAGTATTGTTGCTCGGTACATAATGCTTCTTAATTATATATATTTTGGTCGACAGTTTATATTTCTTTTGTTTATTCCTATTCTTAAAATAACTGCTTTTTTAGAAACAAACCACCTAAAATATACGTGATTGATGAATTGGCGGAACAACATGGGCACAAAGTTCTTCGTCTGCCTCCTTACCATTGTATATTTAACCCTATTGAGTTAATTTGGGGCATAGCAAAAGGTTACTATAACAGACATATTGGTAGAGATGGTAACAGTGAAAAAGACTGTTTGGATATGTGGAACGAGGATCTACAAACGGTTACCCCAGACATGTGGAAAAATAGTGTTCGACATACTGAGCAAGAAATTTTTAAATGGTATGAAAGAGAACGAATTTTTGATCGACCAGACATCGAACCTTTAATAATCAACTTTGAGAGTGATGAAGATTCAGATTCAGACAGCGCTGAAGAAAGAAACTCCGACTAACTTTATTGTACAGAAAAAGCTTACACCAGTAGCTTACCTAATTTTAGAATGCATTTTTCTGTATGAATTCTGTAAAATAAATACCATGCATAAAATTTGGAGGACCCCATTTGGATTTTTATTCAGTACCTTTAAGCTATCAATTAAATATGGTAGTTTCATAGTGTCATCTGATCAATAATTGTCATACTTAATGATTATGCAAGTACAGATCTATAATTTTATTATACTATTATTTTTGTTCTCATTTGAGGTTAATATTGCTTATAAACCTAGATATGTAAATAATAAATTTTATTATTTTACAAAAAGTTTGGCAACAATGTAAATTTTTCAACACACCCACCTTGATGACGTGCACGCCACTTTGTTTGGCGTTGACTATATAGTGTTATTGCTTTGAAGTTGTTGACATCTGGGATGCGTTTTGTTTATCAGTAGAAAAGCAGGTGAATAGAGGGTCGAGACCTTTTCGGTGCGTCGACGGAGGATGATAGCTTTGTTATTCACTTGACAACCAGCATACAGGCGGTTCGCATGTTTTGGACCCGTCGCAGCTTTCTAATTGATGGAATTAATAATAATTCATTAATTAATTAATTCATTTTAACGGCTTATAACATCAGCAAGCGAGATAGACTCACTTGTCATTTCGGCCTACGTAAATTTCAATTTCGTGCATTCCGAAATTGAGTTTTCAAGGAAAGCGTACTAATATTTGTTAACAAGTTACGATTGAAGAAACAATGTACAATAAAATACACAATAAATGCATTTTTTGACAAAAAAATGAAAACATTGTTTTTCAATCATCTCTATACACACCATGAAATAATTCGATGAAAAGGATTAAGAATACTGATGAAAACATGTAGTTGAAAAAAAGGAACGTGCGAACCGCAATATTCTTTGCCTCTGGTACATTGCGCCATCGATTGTTTCTGAAAAAAACTGTTGCTCAATTCTCGCAAACGACAGCCCTACTATCTCTCAGCATCAGTGGATTCTACTCGTTGAAAAATATTGATACATATCAACAGAAAAATCCAAAAATCAAACGTCGTAATGTGTAAGAGATAGAAGCGCGAGAAGCGTGCAATACGCATGTTAGAAAGAGTGCGCCGATGGCAACGCGGCAAGCTGCAGCTTCTTCCGTGACTTCGTCACTTGGGTTGCTAGGCAACGCGGTGCTTCTATCTCTTTCTAACATACTCGCACATATTGCACGCCTCGCGAGCTTCTATCTCGTACATATTAAGAAGTCATATGGATTTCTCTGTATATCCACCTGGGCTGATTCAACAAGCTTGAAGAAACAAATGATTATCACATCACAGAAACGTGTAAGTTTCTTGACATTTTCATCTATTGATTTTAAAGAATCATTTAAATTGGACTTTTGATGTTTCAAGAAAACTATTCAAATCAATCAAATTAAAGTTGGGACATTTTTCAGAGACAACTTCGCTTGATATGTCAAAGCAAATGTGTGGTGAAACAGGGGCGAAAAAGCAAAATAAAATAAATGAAAAAGCACTCACCGTTCATTTGCAGAGAAATTTCAAGTACTCCTCGAAAATGTCGCCGTTGGTAAAATGTTTGGTAGAAAGTCAAGCTATTGTAAACAGTCCAGACGATTTTTGAAAACAAGATTTGCAATGAACATACCATTTTCCATGTCAGCCCAAATGTTCAAAGAAAATGTTTGTTGAAACTATGTCCGACGAACTACGTCAGGATTTTCCGATGACCACACATGAATATTTGAAAGTTATTCACCCGTTACGCGTCGAGGTTGATTCGTCCGTCACTAATATCCACTGTAACAACCACTCCCAAAACGCACTCTTGAAAGAAAATTCTAAGCTCCCGTAAATTAAAATCATGTCAAGTTCTCGATATTGCTGAAGGAGTGTGACATTTTTTTGCGAACCGATGGTAAAAAAACGTTTTGATTACCTATGCTGCCGTCGCGTCGCCTGGGTTGAGTACTAACGTATTTCACGAGTATTGGTTGGGTGTTTTCGCTCGCAGTTGATCGAAAGGACATCTCGAGATTTTCGTGAACAAAACGTGTTTATTTTATTTTGTTGACAAATGTGACATTTCGGGAGCAACGTCTTTTTTTTGTTTTTTCATCCATCTTGGGATGAATCGTGACTGGCCGCGACGTTGCCGCTGTTAAACATATTTCATACAATACATGATTATAGTAAAGTAAATCTAGATTCATAGAAATAAAACACTAACAAGTATCCATCTGGCTTTGACGTCTACTAAGGTGTCTAAGGGTGACTTCGAAGTTGAGTCATTTATTTTAACAGTGAGTAGATCTGATCAAAAGAAATGTTTTTTCCTTTATCATTTTTCTGGTAAAATTAAAGTAACAAAGTTATAGCCCTTTGGAAGTTTGAGTACCGCCCTGTCTCAATAATAATATCATGTGCTCGTGTTTGGCGACAACGGATATAATCCACCTTATCGGTTCATCGCATCGGAAACAAAAAAGCGAAAGAATTTGGAACGATGTTTTTACAATTATTTTATTCAGTTATACATACAGTCAGTGTCAGTCGCGTGTGAATAGTGTCTGTTGCGTGGCTCAAACGAAATAAAAAATGGCACATGTTTATGCGGATCGGTTTCCCAATCGAGTGCAACCAACCCCTCGTGCCTTTGTTAATGTAGTACAACGGGCTCGTGAATCAGGTGACTTAAGACCTCACAGGGGACCTCACGATCAAATACAGGTCCGCACTGAAATACTTGTCGGGAGGATACTTTATACAACAAGGTAAAATTTTTTTTTTATTTTTTTTTTATTTTTACACACATATTTTGGTTTATCTTCCTTCTACAATCATTATCTGAAAATTAATGACTCAACTTCAAAGTCACCCTGTATAGTTAAACTTGTTTGTAACCTTTTGTTTTCTGTATGCAAATGAACTTTTCTAAATATAAGAGCTGTTAGCAAGTACAAAATGATTCTGTAGCGACAAAAACCAAAACAAAATACGGCTCTGACGTTGACGGATCTGTCAGGATTATGTATCCTGTGCCCTTATAGGGAAATTTGGGATATTACTAGATAATCAGCTGTCATTCTGCCGTGATGGATACTCGTGCCAGGTTTAGTTTAGGTTAGGTTAGGAAGGAAAATCCCAACTTTGCGGATATTTGTAATATTATAACCAAGTTTCCCTATTTTTCAAGGTAAAATCTCAAATGATTTTTTTTTAAATATATGACCTGGGAAAGCTATATCTTAGACAAATTCTGGCAATGTTTAGCTTATATTTAAAAAGTATATGCGTCAAAAGTAAGAAAACTTGTGTAGTAACAGCAATTTTGATTCAACGGGATTCGAAGTCAATTGCCAAAACTTTCGTTGAGACATATGGGCAGAAATGAGTGACATTTTTTTCTTAATATAAGGAAGACTTGTACTATGTTTTACTAGAACCATTCACTGTAGAGCAATTTTTCAATATTCAATTTATCTTAATGCACTACAATTACAGTAGCTGACAGTACTACATTTCTTGGACTTTAATTATATACGAGTAGTTACCTCAGGTGGGGCAAGCATATAAGTTATTTGAGGGTGCTAAATATTTGGATAAAAAAAGCTTGAAAGTTGTGTATCACTCGAATTTTGAATCTCGAATAAGGTATGAAATGATGTTAGTCGGAAATTGTTGTGACTGATGAAATATTTATAATACAAAAGACAGATTTGATGAATATTTTGAGATTCAAGTCAAGAATCAAACTCAGATAATTAGGTACACTAACAATTCTTGGAGTTTATATTCAAGGACGCTTTATATATTTATTTAAAAACAAACTGCTGTACAAAGTTAATCAGCCAACAAATAGTTCTAAAGTTTTTAACTGTATTATGCACAGATTAACATTTTCTTAATAAAGGCCCCTCTCAAATTTTCTAAAGCTATCTAATCATTTATCAGCAGGTGAGAAAAATATCGTTAACCTAAATGCATTTAAAAAACTGTATATGAAATGCTACTAAAACTAGAACCATATGAAATTGATGACTTCTTCGAAACTGATTTGAATGCTATTTTATTGTTCATTCATACCGGTTGAATCACACTTGTGTTCGCAAATAAAGATTAGTGTTATTCCTCATGCCTGCCTGGCCTAATCAAACCACATATACAGGGTGGGCCATTAAGTTGATCGGATTTTAAGAAATCATATATAACTACGAAGAGTAAGGAACATAATTTATATTTTTAATGAAGAAGACATATGGGAATTTTAGTTTTTTAAAATAACATTGAGATCTGAGCCATCGAGATGTACACACTGCTTCAATCTAGACTTCAAATTCGTGAAAACTCGCTGGCACGTAGCTCGTGAGATAGCGGACATCTCCTTGCGAATGTTGTTTTTGAGCTGGGCTGGGTTTATTGGCGTAAATTCCAGTGGCGTGAAATGTGGACTAACACATCCGCACGGGTATTACCTATGTAAAAAACCTATAAAACGTCAAAAAACCTATAAGATGTCATCTTGCAAAGTGGCTAGTTTTTAGGGCGCAAACAGTCATTCCACGTTTGCTCACTAGGATCGTTGTGAACGTCCATCTATAGAGAAATCACTCAACTAAACTACACGCATGATTGGTTGCATATGTTTTGTGAGGCCGAGTGGTCCGTGTCTGTAGTTTTTATCTCTGAGAAGAAAGTTGGTTGAATAGCAAGATCGCATCTGGATGATTATGTGTGTTGGTCTGCATGTCTATAAAATCAGTAATATTTGCTGTGTGAGAAAATCATTACTGAATATGCTGCCAATGAAGTATACCTATTAGCTGTGCCCGACGGGTTATTTACCTATATGTTGTGCTTTCTGAAGAGAGGTTACGTTGAAAGTTATAAATTATGAAAAACTGAGGAGAATTACGGGAAATCATCACCGCGCCCGCGTTGTGTGTAATTACTGTTAGCATGTATATGCCTTGTAATTCGACGGTGTACAGTGAATATCATTATTTCTTATCACTCTCATTTTTTAAATTCAGCAAATTTGTATATGTAATTTCCAGAATGGATAAGAAAAAGTGGCTGCGCAAATAATTTCTAGCCTTGAATCTCAATAAAGTATATTTGAGACAAGAACCCAATGTAATTATCATCAACACATATAAGTTACATCTTAGACCTCCAGTAATGCCAACTCTGAAGCAGATTTTACATCACATCAGAGTCAAACATTGATAACATGCCTCATGACGTTTAGGCAACAAGTACAACTAAGTGCTAAGTTAACATCTCGTAGAAAAACCTACATAATGTCAAAAAACCAGTATAAAAAAATCGATATAACGTCATTTTAAAGGCTCGTTGGGATGTCTCGCCATCTTGTTGAGACCTGGCTACAAAATTATGTAGTTGTGGAAAGGAAAATTTACGTAATATTGATGTGTATCGACTAAAATTTACAATTTACTGTTGCAGACCGATGATTCCATCAACTGGCGTGGCTGCCCTTTACGCGAATGCAAAGGTCTTTGATGTTTCAATTTGGGATTTTCTCCGGCCTAATACCGATAATTTTGCTTGTTGACAAATCCACTTAAATGGAAATGAGCTTCATCAGAAAAGAGAATATTGCTCACACTTTGGAAGCGCTGTAACATTGCAAATGAAATCCGTATTCCTTTCTGGCCCACCCTGTAAACATGGGGGATTATCAGCATAAATACCACAGGATAAGTTTCAGATGTTGTTCAAATTTATAGTTTTAAATAAATGTATTGACTCATCGCGAAGAGCTCTATATTGCTTGCTAGCTGTAATGCAAGCACATTTCAATCAGCCGCCTCATCATGACTTATTACCAGGTATGCAAACCAACGGCAAGCAAAGCCATACAACACAAGTCACGGCAGCACTTGTACAAGTTGTACATCGCCTGCCGGCTTCCTGCATGTTGTAGAACACCTCTCTATCTTACATAATAGACGAAGTACCTCGTCGTCTAAATTTGCTACCGTTGTCGTTGTCGCCGTAGCCAGCGGCAACTTGGATGTTTATATAAATGTTGCACTCGTGACGAGGTGGCAGCCGAGGTGCTTACCGATGCTGTGATGGCTGTGATGCTACTGTAGCTGAACGGATTGACAGTGACGTCACGGTGTCAGTAGTTGAGGGAATGGAGGGTGAAAGACTTGTCTCCGTCGGAATTTTGCCACAAGGGGCTGCTTTCCAGCCAACAACGCAATTAGGTTTGAAGCGCATGGGCTTTAAGGCGGCTCCGAAGGCTTCGAAACTGATACTCCATTATCCAATGTTTTTTAATGACATTTATACAGTGTGTTCAGGGTGCTATCGTAGCGCTTTTTAAAATTTTGTTTTTGAGCAAGATGTATGTAGGGTTGAAATGCTTACTATTTTTGTTCAACTTCTCGATTTTCTTAAAAAAAAACCTAGTGGGAAAAATGCAAAAGTGGATAGATAGCACCCTAAACGGTTTTTTTTTCGGCACATTGTGAAAATTTCATCTTTCTCATGCTTCATTGTTTGTTTACTTTATTCGGTTATCAAAATTGGCCGAACATAAGCATCAAGATAACAGGGCTACCTCGTATCCATAGCGTCTCATAATAAATACAATAGTCTCAGAAAACGTGGTTAGAAATGCGTTGGCTATCATCAAGTGTAATTAGCTGACTCTGTAATAATTTATGCATTCTAAAAGTAAATTTTCACAGTATTCTGGAGTAAAATTGCATGTGTCAATCTACATTCTATTACTGTTTACGGTATTGCATTGCCAAGTGATTTACAAACGCATTCAAGCATTACAAATGCATCAACTGTCAATAGTAGAGGCAAAACGAGTACTAGAGATGGGATTGAGAGGATGCGTTCGCAAATATTCACAAGTGTTAATTAGGATGATTCAGCGCCATGAGGAATATGTTGATCAAAGCATTAACACAGTATTCACACCGGCACGGGTATTATGTAAAATACCTATGAAACGTCAAAAAAAATCCTATAAAATGTCATCGTGCAGAATAGGTAGTTTTTAGGGTGTAAACAGTAATTTCACGTTTGCTTACTACGATCGTTGTGAGCGTCCCTCTATGGAGGAATGGCTCAATACACGCATACACGCATAGTTGGTTGCATATGTTTTGTGAAGGCGAGCAGTCTATAGTTTTCATCTCTGAGAAGAAAGTTGGTTGAATAGCAAGTTCACATCTGGATGATTGTAATATTTGCTGTGTGAGAAAATCATTACCGAATATGCTGCCAATGAAGTATATCTATTAGCTGTGCCCGACGGGTTATTTATATGTTGTCCTTTCTGAAGGTAGGTTATGTTGAAAGTTATAAATTACGATTTTTTACGTTTTTTATGTTTTCAAAAACTTTGAGGAGAATTACGGGAAATCACCACCGCGCCCTCGTTCGAACATATTAAAAAATGAAGCGTCAGTTGCGAAGCGCGCAAACCTCAACAAATCGGATTTTGCACGAATTTTGTTTACTGTCTTGCGCAGACAGCCCAAGAGATGCGGCGGTATGTATGGACTAAGAAAGGACGTATTCAAATCATTTGATGGCCCTATTTCATATAATAACGGGTATATAAGTCGTTCTGCAAATAGGTGTTCATAATCGCGATCGATGCGAAATAATGTTCGTAACTAGTTACGTAAATGTAACTTCTGAAACTTATCTTGCGGTTGCCTCTCTGATCTATCCATTTTACAGAGGGCAATAAATTAAACCACATATGTTGAACATACTGATTTCCTGACGTTTCGGCTGCTTCGGGAGTTTTTTCAAAGTACAAATCAAAGTTATACCAAATAAGTTTATGAAATTGAAAATTTGTACTCCTCCATTTAAAAGCCTTTTTACTTGCCACGCCAGTGGCGAGAAAGTTTTGTAATCACGAAAAACTTTGAAAATGAGATATGTATCTTAAGGCTTATATGACATCTACATCACGAAAAACTATAACCCTTATTTCCGTCGGTCTGTCTGTCTGCTAATCCTTGGTCCGTCTATACATTAGAAATTACCGCTCGCATTTTTATGAAATTTCCAATCAAGGTTGAATGTGCCACCAAAAGTATTTTCTGTGAATCCTTGGCATTTTAAATCGATTTAATAAAAATTTTGATTGTAATCTAGTAATTTTACACTGCTAACAATGTCAGCTTAACGTCAAAATAAGTCATAACAAATCAAAACAACTTTTGTTTGCAGTCATGGCTAACTATGTATAATCTACAATTCATTTAAATTCGCAGTACATTTCCTATCATGTGACAATTTTTTTAGTTTGATTTTATTCAAAAATGGCACAATTTATCGATATTCAATAAGAGTACATTTTTTATGTAGAAAACCCTAAATTTTCAAATTCCAAAATTGAATTTCAAAAATAGAATCACACAAAAATTTTGGGGCTCAAATAACGTGAGTCCGTCGCTGTTACATACGCTTCCAAACAAAACTGTCTAAAATTGTTTTTAAATCCAGCATAAAAAACTAGGATAGAATACCAAATTTTATATCTTTATCTCAACACGTTTCGGAAATATTAAGGGGGGGAGGCCCTTTAAAAGACCGTAGCGCCCTTAGGGGACGTTTGTCGACCTACGTTTATATAAACTTTTCTTCCTATTTTAAGCTCTAGAAACCGCTGGTAGAATATTGCACACTTTTTTCGGGACACCCTGTATATATACTCGTATATACAGGGTGACTTCGAAGTTGAGTCATTTATTTTAACAGTGAGTAGATCTGATCAAAGGAAATGTTTTTTTCCTTTACCATTTTTCTGGTAAAATTAAAGTAACAAAGTTATAGCCCTTTGGAAGTTTGAGTACTGCCCTGTCTCAATAATAATATGTTCGTGTTTGGCGACAACGGATATAATCCGCCTGACCGGTTCATCGCATCGGAAACAAAAAAGCGAAAGAATTTGAAACGTTTATCACAATGTTTTTCGTCAGTCGATAACGCGTTAGTGAATAGTAGGTAGTGTTTGTTGCGTGGCTCAAACGAAATCAAAAATGGCACATGTTTACGAAAATGCTGAACTTGTGGACTTGATTCTTATTTACGAGGGGGCAGTCTTTACAAAATGCTCCCGGATGCATCACGGATTTATGCGAATCGGTTTCCCAATCGAGTGCAATCAACCCCTCGTGCCTTTGTTAATGTAGTACAAAGGGCTCGTGAATCAGGTGACTTAAGACCTCGCAGGTCAGGGCATGCTGCTCCAAGACCGCACGATCAAATACAGGTCCGCACTGAAATACTTGTCGGGACGATACTTTATTAAACAAGGTAACATTTTTTTTATTTATTTTTTTATTTTAACACACACATTTTGGTTTGTCTTCCTTCTACAATCATTATCTGAAAATAAATGACTCAACTTCAAAGTCACCCTGTATATATATATATATATATATTTATTTGAACACTGATCAGAAGAACCTTTAAAAGCTATGACCTTATCATTTTTAAAACTGTTCAAGACACTTCATTCTCAAGAGTATCACATCACTGGAGATATTCAAGAAAAAGTCTGGAACTCGTCTAGAGTTAAGAGGATTTGAACTACGAAATGAAACAACTGATTATCGAGAGTCAAAGGCAACCGGTGATTAAACTCTCTAGTATCAAAAAATGAAAAGGCCTATGAAGAAAATACTGTGTTGTTTAGTTGAGTCACACTGTCTGCCAACTGAGTTACTATCAAGGATAAAATAGAACTGATACTGGTTGTGATCGATAATTAAAAATTCAAACTTCAATTCAAAGAATTAGCTTATCGAATGAAAAAGTACTAGAAATATGAATGAGATAGGTGGTATAAGATCAAGAAAGAGTGAACTAGTTGGGTTATTAAAAGATATGAACTTGATCGATAATGACGTCCAAACTGTTACCAAAAATCTAAATAGTGGAACCATGGCCACAAGGGAATTGAGAATATAAGTAACAGGAAATTACGAGATCTTCTGGGGAAAAATTCCTGTAGACGCCCATGGTGACACATCATCCTACCATAGTCTAACTTAGGTAAGCACTAGGCTGAAGGCCAACTTGGGCCATTGTAAACTAAGATAGGCAAAGCATAAAATGGTAGGCAACGAAATCAAACAAAATGCGTGTGTTAAATGGTGGTACGTATATTATTGACTATAAATACATAAATATAATAAATAATACATAATATGACTAGAATCTTTAGCGAAGTAAATACTGAATACGACTAAAGTTGTGCTGAAAGTTATTACTTTTTGTTAAGCCATTAGATAGCTTCGATCTCCAAATCTTGCATCATGCTGAAATGAAAAAATAATAGTTGACCCTGGTGATAATTTTGGAAATCTTCAATTACTTACTCACTGTCATGTCCATTGAAATAATTATAGTCTAACTCATCATCCTGTATTATTTGAGACTCTGGGGCTTCATTCAATTCTGAAAAGAAATCGATCTAATAAGAAATGCACAAAAATTGGGCCGCACTATTTATTTCAGAAACAATTGTTAAACAATAATAGATATAGAATCAAGTATAATATGGCTCTCGTTTCAGTTTCATTATTTTTATTATAAAATAAATTGGAAAGGCTGAACTTTTCTACGTGTACATTAAACGGTCTTCCACGTTAAATACATCTCCAACAGGGAATATGCATGTTTTTGTTTTATTCTATGTGGATTATTTATGTTAAGCACATATTTAATGCATGAAAATATGTGTACATATTTGCACTTCCTAAGCCACTTGGAGAAAAAGTATTGTAATCGCGAAAAAAATCAAAAATGAGATATTGTTTTTTTGATGGTACATGACATTACATCACACGGATTGTGTACCTATCACTCGCACTTACCATGTACCACGGGGTTGTAAATATTGCATCTCTGGTAGTGGACATTGAAGCAGGTAGCAGTCGCGATGTGCACATACCAGGTGGATGCGACATATAAAAAGCTATTATAATCAGTTATCAAACATTGTTGACAAACGCCAGAGCTTCAAAGAAATGAGGCTATCGTGTACAGACACGCTTATTGCTGCAATATGAGGATGATTTTTTTTTCATGAAAAGCCCAAATACTGCACAAATGGTTCTGATAGAACCTACGTATTTTTGATGCCAATGAGCTGTATGAAAAATTGAACTAAAAGTTGTCTTGAAGGCGTGGGAAGAGTATAGAGTAAATCCACTGGACCCCATTTTATTTTAAATTAAGTACTTAAAACTGCAATGCCAATGGTGCTGATTTTTTTTGCGCGCTTTTCAGTGAGTCACCACGCACGATTTATCATTTGATTGTATTTTTGGTGGGCCCATCAAAATATAATACAGAAAGCACCGGCAGGGGTATTATGTAAAAAACCTAAAAAACGTCAAAAGAACGACGAAATATCATCTTGCAGACTACGTAGTTTTTAGTATGCAATTAGTTCATTCCACGTGTGCTCGCTATGATCGCTGTTCGCTGACGTTTAAGCAACACGTACAGCTACAAAACAAGTTAACAACAAGTGTACCTCAGCTCGTGATAAGTCAACATCTTGTAGAAAAACCTACGTTATGTTAGAAAAAACCTACGAAATATATGAAAAAAACGACAAAATGTCACTTTTCAGGATACGTAATACCCGTGCCGATACAGTATTTTTCATATTCCCTGAGATGCTAAGATATGAGAAAAGATAATTTTATAATAATGTAAAGCACCGATGAATGATGTTCTTTCAACATGATCAAACAATAAACTGACAGGTCGACAATCAATGATAGTGGAACAAGGGCCTGTTATTTTGAATCCGACTGGCCAGCCAATAAAGGGTTGGCTCGTCCTAGAAAAACTACCCTATGTTGATAAGGGCATTAAAAGACTTTAGATAGTTGCTCCGCATAAGTCATCCGTCCAAATTAATGCGGAAATTCGTCAATATTTCAACACAGGCATAACAGCCCGTACTGTGAGAAGACATCTATGTGAAGTTGGGTTGTTTGGAAGAGTTGTTGTCAAAAAACGGTTACTGTCTAGAATCGAAAGGCCAGACTTCAGTTTGCTCAGAGACATTCAAATTGGACACCTAAAAACTGGGGTACGGTGCTTTTTAGTGACGAAAGCAATTTTAAAATTTTTGGTGCTGATGGAAGATTGTTTCTAAGAAGACCTGACGAGAAAAATTTTCATATCAAGTATCAAAATCATACAGTAAATGATAGTGGCGGCAGTATTATAATCTGAGGGTGTTTTTCCAGGTCTGGAACGGGCCCGATACTGAAAATAACTGGGAAAATGGATGGCTTTATGTATCACGACATATTACAAAGTACTATGTTACCTTATGCCGAAGAAGAAATGCGGATGTTGTGGAGATATCAACAAGATAACGATCCGAAACATTCATCCCATTTAATAAAAAATGGGTTTTTAGAAAAAGCGATGATTTACTGGAATGACCATCGCAAAATTCGGCAAAGAATTATTCATAGTGAGAATGATCTATGGGGAGTTCTACAAGATGAATGGTGGAAGGCTCCAGTTGATGTGTGTAGAAATCTTGTTGATTCCATGCGAAGAAGATTTAGGGAAGTCACTAAGGTGAAGGGATGTTCAACAAAATACTGAACATTGCTTGTTTAATTTGTATGTTTAACTTTTTTTTTCTTGCTTCCCATACTTTTGTCCAGGGTATTCTTTATTTATCATATATGAGACTTGGTTTTATTTTGTATTTTAATTTATTTATAAGATGATACTAAGCTAGTAGTGGATGCATATTTTTTAGTATGTAATTAATTATTGATTAACAAATATTAAGAGTATAACCAGAAAACAAATATGACCATACTTTTGTCCATGACTGTATGCTTTGAAATATTTCAACCTATTTTTCATCAATTTCAAGGTCTTATTAGCTTGAAATTATGCATAGGGATCAAGGGCCGATGACAATACAATAATCTTGGAAGAAAATTGAGTTTGAAAAATAAAAAAAAATAATTTTTGAGCACAATATATTCCAAAAATCGAACCTCTTGATTATAAGTACTTTTGTTGTCGTTCTGAGACTAATAATTCAGGAAATAAATTATAATTTAAAAAATTAAAAGAAAAACTGCTTTAATAGCAAATTGAACTAAAGAGTAGAAAATAATTTTCAAGTATAGGAAAGTTTGTATTACTGCAACGGAAAGTCCAAAAATGTAACTAATTAATTTGAAATAAGATGAATATAAAAATTAGGATACTAACAAAAACTTTCAATTATACTCAGAAAGCGTTGAGTGAAATTAACTACATTTGCATAATGATTCCAATTTTGTAAAAAGCAACTAAAAAAATAATTCTAACATTTCATATCAAGCACCCCACTTTTTTTGCTACAATTGAATTTTTTGTTAATATCTCAATTTTTATATTGTTCTTATTCCAAATTAATTAGTCATACACAACATAACACAAACTCTCCTATACTTGAAAATTGTGTTCTACTTTTTAGTTCAATTTACTATTAAAGCGTAATTTTTTTAGCTTTTTTAAACTGTAATTAATTCATTAATACTCGTAATTTTGTAGCGCTTAAGTATCAAATAAGGTTGGAGGTTGCTTTCTATAGTAATATAGACTGAAAATAAAAATAAATAACCGATATTTGAATCACAGAAACGTAAGACCAAACCGCTAACCACAAAATTTTACAGAAGACTCAATTGCAATACCTCTCAAAGGTGACACCACCGCAGTACTGAGATACTCCGTGTTCAAATATGGCGGCAATTCGTCTTCATCTTCTTCCTCTTCCATAGCAAACTGTTGACTGTCGACCATTTGCAACCAATGAGCATTGTGATTTCTGAACTTTTCAATGCATATTCTGTCCGCCCAAGTTTTACTGTGTTCGGAAATGATATTCAAACAGGTGTTGCATATCTTCCTGATTGATTTGTTGTTGTCTTGGAGCAGGTCTATCAAATATGCGGGTGCTTCTACAAATTCGATAAAATTGGGAAGGTATCAGTATAGTATGATACATTTTTCCTAAGTCAGAAACTGAACAGATTGACAGGTTGATTAACAATATACTGCTACAGCTTTACTAAAGTCCAGGTTTCAGAACCATGATATAACTGTGCCGCACTTATAATTCAAATGTAACCAATGGAATGCGGAAAAAAATAATGTGTGATTAGATCTAGTACTGTTTCTGTTATATTTTGAGATTTTGAGAATTTCAATATTTTATATGATACAACAGGCACAACCAAATAACGTTTATGTTATCAAGACTGTTTGAGACCCTTCTAAAACTGATCTGAAACAGTTTAACTTTAACTATGAGCAGAATTATAGCCAACCCCTCGAAATAAGAAAGCACAAAGTGCCAGCTATTACTAGAATCTACCACTGCGAGAGTGAAATAGAAAGCTGTCTGTTAGAGCTGTATCTCAGTTCGCCTTTGACAGTCGGCTCACCACTGTGGCCGCTAGATACCGTCGATTCTGACCGTATAGTAATATACAGTAGCGGAAAAAAGTTAAACAAATATTAACATTATTATGAACTATTTCATATACCTAAATTAAAATTGCGAAAGAGCAGATAATATAAATATTAAAGTCTACATTTGACTCCCGTACTAATACAAGGTTTATCTTATCAATATTCAAATTCTCTGAAAATAAAAACACGTTTTTTTTAATACCACACACAAAAGAATTTTCTTAAGATTTAGGAGTCAAAGTAACTGAATTATTTAGACGTGGTGTTAAAAATGTTGAAATTTATCAAAGATTAAAAATGAACAAAGGGACGATTATTGTAAATGTCAATAATACGGATCAACAGCAACGCGTCCCAGGTGCGGAAGACCGAAAAAACCGATAATGTTTTGGAAGGCTACATTAAACGTTTGTCTCATGAAGATCCTCGAATGCCAGCCACACAGATTTTCAAAAGAGTCGTAGGAGGTGCCGAGAATATTTCTGTCACAACACTGCAGAGACGCTTGGTGGATTTTGAGCTTTTTGGTAGGTGTACATTTAAAAAAAATCGTATTGCTTGACTTGAATTTGCTAAAACTCATCTAACTTAGACAGAACAACAATGGAATACAATTTTGTGGAGAGATGAAAGCAAATTTAACTTGTTTGGATCTGACGGTATCGCATATGTGAGACGTCCAATACGAAAAAGATTCTACAAAAAGTATCAGTCGCCAAGAGTTAAGCACGGTGGAGGCAACATCATGGTTTCGGGCTCTTTTTCTAGTTCTGAAGCGAGTCCAATTGTTAAAATTGTTGGGAAAATGGATCAAAAATTTTACAAAGATATTCTTCGTAAACACATTATCCCTTTTGCTGAAGATGAAATGCCTTTACGATGGACATTCCAGCAAGATGACCTAAACCAGGGTGCTCGCGCGGGTGCATTGCACGGAGCTCGGTGCAAATCAGTCGCGCGCCCGCCGAGGCCGAGTGCGAATCCCCCTCCACTCTCCACATTTTCGCGCCGCTGTCTCTGTCTCCTTGCATCAGTGTTGCCAGGTGGAGTCGATGATATTTCGGTAGAATTGTGTGGAATTTTTCGGTAGATTGTATACCGAAGAGTAAATGAAGGCATTTACTTAAAACAATTTTATTTAACTCAAAATATACTCTAAAACAGAAATACAAAACAAAAATAAACAGTTTATATCACACTTTAGCTAACTAAAAATAAAAAATTCTTAATAAAAAACAGAAAAAGTGTATAGAATAAAAAATGTGTAAGCTATATTGGATAATCATTCTTCATATTCATTTTTGTATAAGTTTTTATCAGTCATATTATCTGCTAATATCATTTTCTAATTCCTTTGATGCACCTGCAACTGTAAATGGCAACAGTTTTGGCTTTTCTGCTATGGTTTGCACTTTTTTATGAAATTGCCCATTTGCGTGTTTTATACGTGCTTTTCACGAGTCGCTAGGCCTAGGCGATGTAGCCAAATTATCGAGTATCTTCGGTGATTCCCCAGTTGCAAAGAATCAGCGTATGTGACACACCAATGTCAGGCAAAGAGAATAAAAACATATCTGGTCTAGTACGAATAATAATAATACTTTTGTCATTCTTTTTATCGCTATGCAACAGAAATATTTCTCTTATATAGAGAACAAAAATTATTCAATTGAAGTAAAAGTCCACCTTTCGGTAGATTTTGCTTAAAAATCGGTAGTTCGGTAGACCAGGACCAAAATCCGTGGATCTACCGAAAAATCGGTAGACCTGATAACACTGGCGGGACCCTACCCGGTCCAACCGAGTAACTCCGACCGCACTCGAGCCGACACGATGCACGGCGCCGGATCGCTTTTGTTAAGCCATGACCTAAACCCGATAGAACATCTCTGGGAGCATGTTAAAAGACAACTGACAAGAAAAACTTTTAAAAATAGGAACGATTTATTTGATTATGTAAAAAATATCCCAAGAGACGTCTGTAAAATATTGGTGTATTCTATGAGCAGCAGATGTCAGGCAGTGGTGAAAGGCTCTACTAGCAAATAGTAGCTAAACAGTATTTTTTAAATCTTATTCCATACTTTTAACGTCTCATTTTCTGTCATAAAATAATATTAAGGTATTTTAATGCTAGTCTGTAGTACCACAGCAAATACAAATTGTTATTTGTATCCTCAAGGCTGTAAGCAAACTATATGAGAAAAAAATAGTCCTTAATAATAAATAATAAAAAATTAGCACACCTTTTCAAAAATTACTCAGTATGTTTCCAAACTTTTCTCCGCTACTGTAGCTTTCGTCCGTCCGACCACGAACGGTCAACCATGGACAGCTGTTTCGTGCTTTTTGGCAGCTCATCAGCATGATCTAAGCTCTTGTAATCGGTAGTACTTTGTGATGTCTTCTTTCGTTAAAACTTATATCTCGGATACAGGATAAAAGCACGAAACAGCTGTTTACGGTTGGCCGTCTATGATCGGACGGACGAGACCTATATTACTAGTTCCTAAGTAACCCATTCAGAACCGATTCTGCAAAACCAAAGCATAGAAGATAGTAGTGCGCATTTCACCGAGTTCTCGAACGGTAACAGACAAAACCAGAAAAAGACTTATGAATGACCCAAAATCTGTAACATGTTAAAAGCGTTTATTTGTACTTACCAGTTTTGCCCACTACATATTCTATATTATCATGATGAGAAAGCACAGCGAAAAATACAAATACTATTTGCAATACAATCTCATCATCCTCTTGATGCGTCTTTAAAAGATCTATTAAAGCAGCTAAAATATTTTTCTCACAAAGCAATTTTGCACAACCTTCATCAGTTGCAGCTGTGCCCAGTAACACTACGACCTTTAAATAAAAACAAGTTGACCTTAATAATAATATTGAGTCGAATAAAAGTACCTGTAAGAACATTGTTCAGTTTAACTGTAATCATTTTGAGGAGTCAGAATTTGCCCAGCAATAACAATAGTCGAAATAACTATGGCTTACATTAAAATAGATACAGTTCTAACTTACCTGAAGAACAAGCTCAGGATCCGTGTTGTTACTTGTTATGATATTTTTCACCCATTTAACCATACCAAAATGTTTAAAAATCTCCGCCCAATCAAGATCAGGCAAATGCAAGTTGCTTAGGATACCAATGCATTCCCTCACAAAATCCTCTTGCTTAGACTCAACTACTGCTTTTGCTATATCACCTACAAACTCCTAGAAAAATATTCATCTTCAAGCGTGTTCAACCAATCTAAATAAAAACAGCACATCGACATTGTTAATTTCAAATGTTCGTCTAACCTAAGATTCAAGTCAAAATTTGCGTTCTTCAGCATGTCAGACATTCCTAGGATTATATAATAGAGATGCAGTCTTAGAACCCTGATTAACATATTCCAGCAGAACCAACAGGGGGTAATCTGGAAAGCTAGGACCAGATGGCGCTAGTTAGGCTGAGGGTTATAATCATCATCTGTCAAATATGTGTTTTTTTTTTCATCAAAATTGTATTGACAGCTTTGGCCCCCAACCGCCTAGCGGGATCAAAATTGGACATGGCTACCATTGACAGCCGTGCCTGCATGAAAATCAGCGTAAGCGCCGTAGCGCTGCCAACCTCTTATATGCTTATAACTATACATGGTGTCCTGAAAGTTAGGACTTTCCTTTTTAGAAGCCACTAAGTTTAAAATAACAAAACTAATGTACACTAAAACAGCAACTAAAACCTAAAAAAGTACTGCTGTATCGGTGCTCTTGATATCACGAAAGCTCTCGATCAGCTGTGGAATGCTGCCCTCTTATGCAAACTTCCATCCTATGGCCTCTCAGAGAAGCTTTGCAAAGGGGTAACTCTGGCCGCAAGATATTCGTCCTAATTAAAGGGATCTCCTCTTCGGATTAATACAGTGTGTCTAAGCCCCTTATGGTAGTCGCAGTGCCCCGGTAGTTAAGAGTATGCCTACGCGGCTGCGTGAATAAAATAAACACAGAACTGTACCCACCTTAACGGTTCTACCATCGGCCTTTGAGCGAGATAAACGAACATATGCGTCGCGGGATGGAATTGTCCAGGAAAACGACATAAAGCATCAGCAGGATTGGAGTCACCATAAACATCAAACTGACATGCTACTCATTGCTATAGATGACTCTTTTCTAACGGACAGTCTCGATACCCTTTCGCACCGATGGCCCATCGGCCATATCTCTGCTATGCAATCAGGCTTTGCTCCTCAGACTTCTTCTCCATGATACCACCGCGGGATGAGGCTGCCAGACGGTCCCGCCTCACTTCGGTCTCCCGTCCTAATCGTGTCGATTCAAAAACACAAGTTTACTTCAACTGTATTCAACTGGATTTAAACGGCCTTTGCAGGATGTAAACAAATGTATCCATCTCGGGTAGGGAGCAACTGAACGATCTGAATACACTCGCGAAGTATCAGTAGAATCTTGAAAAACTCCCGTAAACTAACTTCAAATTGATAGCATCGTTATCGCTAAGCAAGAAGCCAATTTCGGTTTTTCATATCCAATAAGCTAGGTTAACGTACACACCTCGCGGCGCATGATTTGGATACTGACTCACACCCTATCACCATACATCGTTCTTTTTGTCGTAGGATGCAGAGTCGGGATGGCCCATTCTGTAAAGGAAAGTCCCAAAGTTAAGGATACCCTGTATATGTGTGGACCGTCGTCTTTTGGTACCAGCGTTGCCACGTCTTGGCCTATTGCCACAGGTTTTGGGATTTCCTTTTTCCGTCGTTAAGGAATTCTGAGAATACGGAACAATCAGGCGACAGCGTTTAAGGCGTGATCTATCCTTCGACGATTGATATCACGTTCAAAATAAACAGTTTCCTTTAAAATTAAAATGTATGTTTTTATTTCTCCTAAGAAACATGGCATCTTGGCTTTGACGATGTAAATCCAAATACAGGATATCTTGAAAAATATATCAAAGAATGCTCAAAATAACCTACAGTATTTTGGATTTTGCCACAAAAGGTTCATTTTTTTTAGAATACACCAAATATGGGTACTGTGAGACACAAATTATAACGAAAATAAATGTTCAAGCTAAAAAAAAGAACTTACGATGAACGATGGAGCAGAAATGGCGCTGTCGGAAATATTCCTCAGCATTTTCATTAACATGGGATCCTCATACGTAAAAGCTCGCATCATCAATGATTGCAATCGATTGCTTTTTATAACCTGATGAGTATTGGACGGATCTGTTGACAGGTTAATACAGAGAGCCACCATAGCCTTGTCATCTTCATTCCCGGCATTCAAAAGCAACATATCTATAATCTTTAGAAAAATAGGAAATAGATACATCTTCATTTTATATTGTCAATAACTTGTTACTTACCAGGCCAATACAGTCCACAAAATAATGCTTCACCTCATCATCATAACTCAGATGGTACAAGATCTTCAACACTACTTCTCTATGCTTCTCATCGCCTAAAACGAAACAGAAAACGTCAGTACTAAGCTTCCTTTGATGCACTTTGATGAACTTACTTAAGTAACTCACGATCTTTGGCAATAGCCCAACCTTGATTATTTTGTACCTAACTTTATTGTCAAATGAAAGATTGAAAAGTATCTTTAGAGTTAAATGAACTAAATCAGCGCTGTTAGATTCCAGCATTTTTGGTAGTTTGTCCACAACATTCAAGCTGGTCATGGCATCTTTATTACACTGCATTATTGACAATTTTTTCAGAAACGTCACCACCAAAATCAAAAGGTCGTCATTATCCCTGTCGAGAGCTTTGATCAGTAGACCTAGAATAACCGTAATAAATAAATATACGGGGTCGATATAAAGCCGAGAATAAGCATACCAGTAATGTTCCTCTTGACCATTTTCTCTTCTACAGATTCATCCTCGGATATATTCAGCAAGAGGTAGAAGGCTACACGAAGCAAGTGCTCTTGTTTCTTTACTAAAGTACGGAATCGTTTAAGTTTCTGCTCGGGAGTTAATTTTTTGTCATCAATGTTTTCCATTGACGTTGTTAATTCGTCATAGACACTACCTTCCATGGCAGCTACAAAAAAGTGACAAACCATTGAACAACTTGAATATTAAATGTAATCAAAAATTGATAGCGAATTCCGTTGTGAATAATTAAACGTGTATGTTTCAGAAATTGCAAAACTATACGTGAAAGACAAAAGCAAGATCTATTTTTCGAACGTACAATGTGCATGACCAGATGAAACGACGAACTACCCATACTGTTTTTGAAAAATCACAGGCCAACAAAAAAATATGTTTGAAAACTTTTTTACTTTGAAGGCTGGTTTTTATAGGTTTTTGTGAGCTGAATCCAAATATCGCAGTTTTTTTGTATCACCCATAGTTTTTGAGCAATTTGCTTTTCAGTATATAGTATAAAATCCTTATACTGTATATGGTGGAATAAATGAACACACTACGTTGAATTAGCATGGTTTGTATTTACAGTAGGGTACTTAAAACAGTGATGAGTTGCATGCTGAACTTCTCTGTGAAGTGAGCAACAATAGTCCCCCATCATGCTGGTATTCCATCGGCCCTGGTAGCGTGTTTCCATAAGTTTAAAGTCTTGGTGAAAACGCTCACCTTGCTCGTCACTAACATCTCCCAAAAACTGAACTTTCAGGATCATCTAACATGTTAGCTACAATAGCAACATATTCTGGGTCTTATTTCCCAAGAACTTTTTAACGACTTCATTGAAAACTGCCCATCCTTCTTTCTCATTTAAGGTCATTGTGGATTCACATTTAACGTCAAACATCATCTTTCTAATGTCAGGTCCAACATAGACACCTTATTTCAGTTTTGCTTCTGAAAGGTGTGGAAACTTTTGGCAGAGATACTTGAAACATGGTCCATCTTTAGACACAGCCTTTATAAACTATTTCATTAGTCCTAACTTTATATGTAGAGGTGGTAGGAGCACTATAATTCTTCCCCATTTTTTATATTGTTCAACCATCTTGTTTACAGCAAATGAAAACATATTTTCAAAATTACAAATTCTATAAAATAAAGCTATGAGAATCATTTTAAATAAAAACAAATATACTATGTTAGAAGAACTGCAGTGGCTGGATGTAAAATATTTCATACATTATTTAGTTCTCGTTTTCATATTCAAATTAAAAAATAACTTATTACCGCCACATTTAGAGAACTTCACAAAATTAAATAGTCAAAATAATAAACACGCAACTAGAGGCAGTATAGATTTTCATCTGCAAAATTGTAATAGTAGCATAACTAGTACATCTATATTTCAAATTTAATAAATTGAATAATGATATTAAACGAAGTTCGAATTTAAAAATGTTTAAGGTGAAATTAAAAAATCACTTTATGAATAATCAAAATACATAGTGCGTAATTTTAATTTTAATTTTAATAAACAAAAATGTAAAATTACAGAAAATGGATTGAAGAAAAATATGTAACCGAATCATTATACAAAATTGACATTGTAGCATTAATGCTAAATAAATCTTCAACAACAAAAACAACGTTTTTTGGATCTACAAGATTTTTGCAGAGAATGTTCTTCTCATCAAGTTTCAAAGACTCCCTCAAAGGCCAGTTCTTTCTATACCAATGTTGTTCCTAGCCCTACTGTGAAAGTGAGAAAATGTGTTTCAGCGGTGCTACCAATGTCTTCTGCATCCATTTAGACCTAGTTTTTCAATTATTTCAACTTTACAACATATGTCCAGCTCTTTAAAAATCGCTTAGATTAATAAATTCAACCATGAAATATTAAAAAGTGAAGAAATGGTGGGTGATACGGCTTTTTAAGTATCATATTTAGTTTCAGCACTTTAAAAAACATAAGAATAAAGTATTTTAAGTAAAAAAGTTTTTTCATCGTTGGCCTGTGAAATCAGTTGAATCTAAATTACCCCTTATAAAATAATATCCAAAATCAAATAACTGATAAGAAAAGAGGATCAGCTTGTAAAAGGCACCTATCAGGTGATAATTTTTCAGGTAATTATTTCTTACATTCTACGGTGCTTACCTTTGATATTAGTGTCTGAAAAATTCCCAGATTTTGGTCTTACAGGTTCTGGGATGCGGCTGCGTGGAATTTCAGACATACTAGCGCTATTCGGACATGGCTTACGGACTATTGGAATGTCAGATGGGGCTTCTCCACCTTCTAGGTCAGCCTTCCATTTATCGTAACGTCTTAGCTCATAGTCGATTATGTCCATACATATAGAGCCAATCTGCCAAAATTAGGTGACGAGGTAATCAAAAGTTATGGTCACTATTTTCCATGTTTTCTTTTGAAGCAATAACGTTTGAATAAAGTTTCAGGTTTTTTAAGACCAAAGGGGAACAGACGCCCTGCTATAAAAGATATCCCCTTTTTTCTTATAATCACTTTCGTGAGAACCCTTGCAAACGCGAAAAATGATCAGTTTGTTTGGAAAAGAAATTTAAAAATTTGCGAGATCTCGTCTTATGTGACACGTCACTCTTAACATATTTAAAAATGCTAAAGCTCTACGCTCACTGCGACCAAGCGACGTAAACAGAAATTAGACGAAATGTTTCATTACGCACATCAAACGGGACACGTGATTTCCTTTACATAGCTCACATTCGCGGAATCTCACTTGTTTACGCGTAAAGGATCCCAGCGGAAGTTTCGCTTCTCTTCACGTGCCTTTCGATCAATGGGCGTAAACCGTTATCGGCGCTATTAACGCGGTTGCTATGGGCATTACGTTTGAATAACGAACGTTAATTTGAACCAACAGAAAGACCTTACACCTTTCGGGTCACCGATTTGGCCGCAGATCTATATATTGAGAGAGATTTGCTGATCTATGAATATTCCCAGCGTCATAAGGTGCACAACTCGAAGATAAGGCAAATATTTCTCGCGAAAGTATTAGACTCGTCATTTGCCAGAGTTTCAACAATTCTAACTTACGAAAATTAATTTTGCAGTTTTACTTATTTGTCAACATAATTTAATTGTAAACAATAAAAGTACGGAATTGCTGTTGTTATTTAGATAATAAAATGCAGTGGACGTTAAGAAGTAAATCAATCACGACTTGTATTACTCATAATTACCTCATTTAAACGTTATTCGATGATAACTGTCATAAAAACAAAGCATATATTTAAGTGGCATCGACTACAAAGAAATAAGAGAAACATTTAAGTAAGGTTATTCAACTTATCAAAAGAAAAATATACTTCATATACATTTTCGCGAAAATATCTTTGATCAAACAGTTTCGATGCAAACATGCGTGTTTAATCATTTAATAAAGACATTATTATTATTATTATTAATATTATTATTATTATTATTTTATGAGAAAATGGTGCTGATACGAGGGATGTCTTTTAAGTTTTGCATATGGAAATAAAACAACACGGTAGGTAGTTTTAAATGACTTTATTGTTTTTCGAAGTATTCTCCACGAAGATTGATACACACCTGCGTGCGCTCGAACCAATTTTCGAAGCACTTATTCCACTCGTTTGCTGGCAGATCCAAAACTGCATTTTTGAATGCGTCAACTGCTTCTTCTGGTGACTGGAACCTTTGACCACGCAGTTTTTAATTTTCGGGAAGTATAGAAATCGTTAGGACTTAGATCGGGACTATATGGAGGATGGTCCAAAAATTCCACGTTTTCTTCCGTTAAATACTGCCTTGTTTTTTGGGCTGTGTGCGAGCTTGCATTGTCTTGGTGGAGGATGATTCTTCTTTCGGGGTTGATTTTTCGAAGCTCGGTGATGACTTTTGTCAGACAAATGGTGGTATACCAATCCGCAGTAACAGTTATTTGCTCATTAAGAGGAATTGTTGCAATATGACCCGCTTTTGACACAAATGTCGCGACCATCTTTTTCGAAACACTTCGAGAACGGATTACTTTTGTTGGCTTTTCTTCACCTTGGAACACCCAAACCGCCGAGTGTCGTTTATTTTCTGGTTCATAACAGTAAATCCACGATTCATCACCACTAACAATGCTGACCACATTTTTTGAGTTTCCGGAATTGAAACAGTCAAGCATTTTTTGACACCAATTTACCCTGGCTGCTTTCTGCTCTTCAGTCAATAGGTAGGGTATCCAACGAGAAACTAATTTTCTTACTCTTAATTCTTCATGTAAATTTTTTTGAATTGAGGTCTTTGGGTGACTGTCGTTTTTATTGCACCCACCCTGAGATCGTCGCCAAGACTCACCCGTCCACGTTTGAATTCTCCATACCAACGGGAAATTGTCGACTGATGTGGCGCTTCGTTGCCGAAAACAGACAGTAACTCAGCAAGGCATTTTTGTTGAGATAATTGTCTCTGAAAGTTGTAATAAATTATGGCGCGAAAATGTTCTCCGTTGAGTTCCATTTTTCTAATGACTTGGTGACACTTAAAAATTCTCTGTAGTGAGAACACTGTGAGAACATTGTTGTGAAACTGTGAATTTAAGTTTACTAAAGAGTGACGTTAAGATTCAGTACTGAGGTTCGATCCGCGCGGCCTACTATGTTTCTATATGCAAAACTTAAAAGGCATCCCTCGTAATTGATGAAAGAAGACGTATGAAATCCTCACGATATAAGATTTCGCACTTTTGTGCAACTAAATAATGAACAGTTCCGGATTTTTTGATTAAAATTTTTGAAAGTAAACAACGCAAAATGTAGTGCATTTTGGAGGAATAATTTTTACATAACACTTTGTGAATTCTTGCATCCACGCCTTTTTAAAACTTGGAAAATGGTGAGACTGACCCTTTCGAGAGATTTATCTTCCTTATTTTTAAGTTGTGCACCTTAGGACTTTAGGAATTAACTGCAGTGCCAAGTAACTATCAACACAGGGCTGTGGCAAAATCGGTGACCAAAAGGGAGAAAGGTCTCCTTGTAAGCTTGTTCAAGGTGGCGTCCAAATAACCAATACGATGGCGCTGTGGTTCGACAAAACGAATCTCCCACTGACAATACTTCCATAATGCCAAATTCGACGCAACCGTTGCCAAAATCCACTCACGAATGTTGTAACTTGAATCGTTCAAAGCAGAGCATCTGACGGACACGCTACAAAGTTGACAAACACATTAAGGTGATCCAGGATCACGTCTTGGGGGGGAGGGGTATCGGTTGCCTACTTTCAGGGGGTATACCATGACCTGATAGAGATAGAACAACTCAGATTACGTCGAAGTTATACGGACATCAAACGCGCATGGTTGGCGACGCGGCGATAGTTCAATATAGTTGATATCATTATTGCCCATCACTAGGCAAATGTTCAGTCTGCCCAAAATCGGCATCTCTGCCATACTGAACTCAACGCGAGTAACATTTACATTCTTTCTGAAATAAAATAATACCGCAATTCTTATGAGGCTGTGTAATCAAAGTCTGTTGAAGCCTAAATAAAATTCACAAACCACAGTAAATACAATGTCATGCTTGATTACCTAATATTTTAAGATCATGTTACTAAACGCTAAAGTCAGCAACATTTACCTTGAATGGCAATCTAGGACAAATGTAATAATTGATCACCTTTTTTATGTATAATAGAATTTTACACTTGGATAATTTTGTTCAAAAACTATATTTCAATCTGTTTATAGTTCCTTTAAGCTGTGGATTATGTTTATCTATAGAATCTGATAACCAATATTTTTAACTTATTATATGAACAAAAAAATTAGTGTGTAAATATTTCATCATGAGATAATGGAAAAAAACCAATATAAGTGGTAAATTCTCATAATCATATTAGAATCCTATGTGCTCTTTACTATTAGTCAATTGTAGCCATGCAATTTAACAACAAAGATGCAGTTTTTTCCAACATAGATTAAATACAAGTTGAAACTATCGACATAGTTATAGTGCAACTTACTTTGCATTTCAATATAACTTCATGAAAACATGAATACATTGAAAAACAGAAAAATGTGAATACCAAATGCGTACTCAAAGTAATACTCCTTTTCCAATCTTCTCTCAATACCCTTCCCAAGGCACTAATAAGTGTCTCTGTAACAAATATATGTTAATATAGAATTTTCCATTCTTTAAGGTGTTTTAATCTATACCATTTTTTGCTAATGCTTCTAGATTCTCTGGATCCCTAGCAAGGAACTGTATCAGATGTGCCCCTTTTATTTTCTCTGCCATACCCTCATATAAAAGATCTATATAATCAGATAAATTGTTGTAATTTGCCTCTTGGTTACCATTTTGTGTTTTATCTGTATTTTTATCACCATCCCCTAAAGCAGAAACACCTAAAATAATTAAAAACCCATCTACTTGAAAAAGTACTTTGCATGATGATAGAAAGTAGACAGAAAATAATATGATAGACTGGGAAATATAAAATAATAAAATTTATATAATATTTTACTATATCATTTATGCTTTACTTCTTCTAATCAAATATTTAAGGTGTAATAACTAATAATGAAATAATTACCTTTTGAACCACTCTGCAATTTCCTCTTTTTGATATAATAAATGATTTGCTCTACTTCAGCCAATCTTGAATGATGGATCAAATCACATTGGTTCACCACTTCCTTAGCTAAAGCATGACAATCAGTCCTGCTATTGATCATGGGCAATTCTATATTTTTCTTGAGATTCTGAAAACATAGAATAGTGCAGCCATTCTATAATATCAATAAGGCAGATATTTCCAATCAATACCAGATTAATGCAAGATTTTTAGTTATGTCTGAATATTGGAAGTGATTAACAATTTTGTGTTCCAAACATGTTCCACAACTCAGTTCCTAACACTGTGAACAAAAGTAATTTTCGAACTCTCTTAGAAGCTCACTTCTGAAATACATCGAGCTTGTCTCTACAGATTCTCCAGAACATATAGTTTAAATTATTGGCCAACACAAGCACATCTACTTGTTTGCTACCTTTTTCTCGCCATGAAGTATGTCTTCTTTGGGACCCAATATTTGGACATCTAGCTCATAATTTAACACTATAGCATCTATGTTTGGATGGACATCGATGGATCCAGGCTTTCTTTCACTAGAAATCAAATTAGTATTCAACTACACAAAAGAATAATCAAATAAAACTTACGTTCGCATAAACTTCGCAACTTCAGGTTCCATTTCAAATGGTCTACAACTGTAGATCACAAAATAACAGGCACGTATAAGAATGTATAATAGTACAGCTAATATTATGTTAAAACATGTAAGCTCTATTACCATTAACAGAGTTTTAACAACAAATTTTGTGCATCTCTTGAATATTATTCAAGAAATTGACATTGGCTAATTCTAGCCTATCCTCCTACATCAATTATTTGACATTTAAAGGTACCCTCCTATGTTGCCAAGCTGTTGCCTGGGCATAAACTATCGATGAAATTTGGAGGCCTTAAATTGAAGTTAAGTGTCCCTGTCTATTGAAGGTCAGCTGAAACATAATTTCTGTAAGCAAATTTTGGTTCATGCAGTGATTTGATAGCACTATGATTAAAAAAGTGAAGCAAATATGCAAACAGTTCCATATCGAGTATTTTAAATTTTTTTCCCAACACTACCATTTGCTGTCATCTATCAAGCCACGAGTCAAAAATACTAGTGATGCAAAGTTTCGTTACTTTTTAGGACTTGTAAGGACTCGTTACTTTCGAACTTTGGACTCGTTAGTTTAGTTACTATTTGGACATTTCGTTTAGAACCTACATTCTATATATTATATCAAATTATTACTTTGGGATTGATCCAATTATTATTTTTTGTCTAATGCCTTGCCTATTAATTTTTTTGATATTTGATAGGTAGAAGGTACTTATATTTTAAACTCGTCGTTGTGTGACGTCTGGTTCGTTGGCTGTACGCTGTAAATAGTATTTAACAAGTGGCATAACCAGATGGGGACCGTGGAGGAACCACTCTCCTCACTCTTTACTTTAGTTGAGTAGCGTCCCCTGCCCTAACAGTCTGGTTACTCCACTGTAAATGGTGTTCAACAAAATACTTATAATAATAAAACATACCTGAAACTAAGTTCCTTTTGCACCTAGGCATATTTTCGTCTTCCACCCGCCGTTTTGCCCTTTCTCCTTCCAATGAAAGAGTCGGATGTTTAGTTTTCAAATGCTTCCTTAAATTGCTAATGTTTCCATTTTTATGCGAATAAATATTTTTACAAATATGAGACTTTGCATTAGCTTCCGATATATTGGTGAAATACATCCAAATAACACTTCTTTTTTTTAGTTTGCAATTCTCCTGAACCGGACGCGGATGATTCCATATTTTTGTACAAATAATAATTATATTATTGCTCGAGCTTGTACGGCAATGTCCAAACCAGTAACAACCCGCCAACCGCTAGCTCTCAAAGTCAAATGAAAAGTGTACAGGTGTACACAAATATTGCCAACCTAAAGCTCCGCAGTCCGCAACTCGTTTGATAGAAGAGTATCTAAAGTTGCCTAAGCCTAACGATATTCGCATCATTTCATTTGCACCCAGTTTACATCCAAGAACCAAGTCACTTGCTGCTGGCGCTGGCAGTACTGGCTACATTAGATCCCAGTAACGTTTGTATCTAAAGTAATGTATAGTGTAGTAACTAACAGTAATTAAAAAGTATACATAGAAAAAGACCGTATCGCATTCAAAGTAACGAATTCAAATAAAAAGTAACGAGTCTTTTCAAAAAGTAGGACTCGTTACATTTAGTTACTCATTTGTAACGATTATTTTGTAAGCGTTACTTAATTATTTTACATCACTAAAAAATACAATCGACCACACGTCAAGAAGTGTCAGTAGGGAAAAAATGCAAATTTGATGCAAAAGTAATGGATCTTGACCAAATATAAAGTGAATATCTAATTCTAACACCTCGTCGTTTGTGAATATATATATCCTGGAATATCCACAACCAAATACGATGTCGTTAACTATTCAACAAATTATAACAGACGCAAGACGTCTCGCTAGTCGATTAAAGGACAGAGACGTTGTAGCAGATGTGTTATTAAATGAAACTCATGCTATTAACAAGAAGATTGATGCAATGAAACAGGTCAGTCATATTTTATTTGATATTCTTGATCAACATCTGCCTCTGGCAAAATAGCTCATTCTGAAGTTCTGATTAGCATTACTGTTTACCTTGTTTAAGCACTATACCAGTAGTGTACGCATAATGGAAACAAACAGTGCATAATACCTATTGAATATCAAAATATTGATCATGCATTAACCTCCAACTAGCATGTCAAACTGAGGCTTTATGTACTCATATCAAGTACTGTAGGCTTTGTCCAATTATTCACATTTTGCTTCAGGAGGAAAAGTCAAGCATGCCATATTTGCATCAAGTCAACACAATGGCTTTATGTTTCATAGTCTGTAAACATCACTAGCAATTAAGAAGGCCTTAGTTCAGACCTGCATCTTGTGTTTACAATATAACCACCTTACCTTTCTTGGTATCCACATGGATCTCTGTAGCTCATGATCAGGACATAAGACACCAAGATCTTTTGAAAATACCACACACAAAATATAGATGAAAACAGTGTGTTAAAAAGAAATATTTCCAGTAAAATTTAGATAAGTTGTTCAAATCATAACTTCATGTCTCTTTAATAAAAATGTGGGCTTGACCATGACCATATCCCTTAGAGATCCTATATCAAATTGATATTGTTGACTCAATGGTATTATCTGTCTGCTGCCCATATAGGTAGAATTATTTTTGTTTATAATACTGGATATTAGATGGCTGGAAGCAGTATTCATAATTCAAAAATACCTTCGATTAATCCATTCTATCTGAAGATACCCAACACTATATTCCTGCCTCAAAAAAAAGTATCATTAGTAAAATGAGATACTGTTGTGTCATCTATGAGGATTTGTCACAGTTATGTTCCTCCTCTCTACACTAATTAGAAATATTTTTCGAATGAATATATGCTGTATGCTAATATAGCATATTTATTTTATTTATACAGCACCAACCAATATAGTAATATACCAATTACTAGTATATATTAATCATTTCTTAGCTGATCATAGTTATTTTTTCCAGTGAAAACTAAAATGTAGTTGTTTAAATTATTTCTATCAATAGTTTCAGGATGAAGTAGAAACTCTCAATGAAATAGCAAACCAAAAACCTCACTCACAACTTATAGCAAACATTCAAAAAGAAAACAGACATCTACGAGAAATCCAACAAGAAAATCGCGAGTTGAGGGATGCTTTGGAAGACTACCATATTACATTAGAGCATGTCATGTCCAAATATAGAGAACATGCTACTGAACAAATAGAAAAAACAAGAGTAGATTTCAAAGCATTACAGCACCAGAGGTACAGTAAGGTTATCCAAGATCAGGCTGAGAAAATCAAGGAAATGGCTGCTGTCATGAACAAGGCTGCTGAAATTGATGAAAGTCGTCAGGTGGCAGACCAGGAGCTAGTTTCAATGTTGAAAATCGAAAATCAGGTATGAAAACATTTTGATTGGAACAAGAATTTGCATGTATCAGTGAATTATTGGCAATGACTTATAATCACTGTATTTGTGATAAAAAATATGGCATTTTCTAGATAAAATTATAGTATAACTTCTCTGAAAATAGCCTCTCCAACCTTTGGATAAAATAATGAGTTCTGACATTTGACAGCAATATTAGTTTTAAATATACCTAACCCAGAATGATTATATTTCTATATCAGGAAAAATGCGTCAAATTTTAAAACTGTATATTGACATTGAAATTATAATCTCTTACACACTATTTTTACCAAAAGCAACCAGACAGCAACTTGACTTCAGCCCACTTGTTTCAATTCCATCCGGCAAAGCCAGTCATTGTCATAAGCCCTCAGAAGGCCCTCATCTCTAGAAAACCGTTTTTCTTTTAGCTTCATTTTCACATGCAGAAACAGTAGTCCAAAGTCACAGAGTGCAAGATCTGGACTGTAAGGAGGGTGCTCAATAAGTTTCAGTCCAATAGTGGTCAAATAATCGGTGCCGAATTGGTGGAGGTACCAAGTGCCCATTCTTGACTTTAGCAGCAGGTTTTTCATAGACTATATGACTTTAGGCAGGCACTGTACCGTGTACCACTTAGCTGTGACTGCCTTCTGTGTATCCAAAACGACACGCTCCATAATCGCGCTCGAGTTGAAAAATACAACATTTTTTTCTTAATAGATCGGGATTTTCTGACAGCTACAGGTGTAACCTCATCATCAAAGACCCAAACTTTGTTTTGAGCCTTGTTCGGCACATCTTAATACTAGGGCCAAGTCTCGTCACCTATCACAATGCTGTTCACATACTAAGATTGCCACTTATCAAACATTTTCAGCATCTTTCGGCACCAAGTCGAACGACGAGTCTTCTGCTCTTTCGTCAGGCTATGCGGTACCCAGAGAGAAGAAAGTTTCCTTACCTGTATAAATAAATAAATAGCGTTTATTGCCCAACAGTTTAGGAAACCATTTACAGGACAATCCTAAGATAAATCGAAATAACAAGAATGGAAAACACATGTGTAAATGATCATGCAGAATTGAATGAATTGCTAGTGCATGAAGGTGTAAGGTCTCCACTATCTGTTGGTATGTCACTCTCCAGTCTTCATCAAGCATTTTCCTCACAGCAGTAAAGTTTTCCTGTGTTACTGATGTTTGCGGCCTTCCTTCCCTCTCAGCGTCCTCCAGAGTGAAATTGCCACTTTGGAATTCTCTGTACCACCTGAATATAGTCGTACGATGATGACAATCATTCTTCAATGCAAGCGTCGTTCCTTCTAAGCGCTGGTCTATGCTTAAACCAGTCGTAAAGTTATACCGTAAAACTGCCCTTAAAGCAGTCATAGCGTCTATCGAACTCCCTTATATCACTACGTGACCATGATGCCATAGTCCCTTTGTATTTTAATACATGTGCCAAGTCGGATTGCGGTCGCCGGTTGTTTTTGGTGAGAACGGTCCGTTAGAGCCATTAGAAACAGTCACTTTCCATGGATCTAGTTACATTTTTTATTGATTCTAATACTTTAAATTCTATTTCAGGGCTTAAGAGAAATGCTTGATATTGCATGCAGTTATGGCAACTTGAAGAAGGAAGATAAAACAGTACAAACAGACGAAAATTTCACCTAATCTGCCGATTTTTGAACAATTTTTTAATTCTCTGTAATTCGTCCTAATTTATTATTTTTTATGATATGCATTAGTTTTTCTAAATATGTGTATTTTTCTAATTAATGCTAAACATACTACTAGAATAGTACTACATACTACAAAGATCTGCTTTTATCTCTTTTCAACATACCAAATGCACTTATTAAAATAGGTCAATGTTCACTTTAACTGAATGAAGTGTCCTTACTCACTGATAAATATTGTGTATCACTGCTGTGCTATGCGGTTTGTCACTTTACAACAGCGGTCATGGCGCCCCGGTATTTAGGTTTCTGCCTACGTGGCCGCTTCAGTATAAAAAACAAGTCTTTAGTTCCATTGACTGGTACTTGAAACTATAATAGACCCAAAGTGACATACAGTCCAAAACGATAGAAATTATGCCGCACTTTGAGTAAAATCGTCGGTCACTATTTGAAGTGTCAGACTTAAGTTTTAGCGCGTGAAGTTTGTACACTTGGGGCCGTATCGTCAGTCGTTCGTACAATTGTAGAGCGCCTTCATGGCCTCCTTGATTTTCATAGTTTTCTACTGTTCTGTGTCAGCGCTCTATTTTGAGGTTATGTCACAAATATCTTTCTGCATCAAATTGTTCATACTTTTAATTTATATCATTTTTTTGATCACAATAATTTTTTTTACAATTCAAAAAAGCAGAACTTCACAAAAGGAGAGTGCTGACGCTGAACACGGAACGGTAGGAATCTAGAAATACCCCAGCCTTTTTGAAAGGCTGAAAATACTATGAAAATCAAGGAGGCCATAAAGGCGTTCTACAATTATTGTAGGAACGACTGACAATAAGGCCCTTAGATAACAAACGTATGTTTACTTTGAATTTGTGTTACCCCATCAAAAAAAGTGTCAAACCACTGATGTTCTCAGTAGCAGCCATTCACTTTTGCATTACCAGTAAATGTTTGCAGCTAGTTAGAAAATTAGGAAGTCAACTTGTGATGTTGACTGCACACTCTCCCGCTATGTTTGGCCTGGAGCACTCGCTAGAGGTCGAGTAACGCGTGCGATCCCCTATAATCTAGTTTATTCAATATGGTTGCTAACTACGAAACGATGAACGGTGGCGGAGAATAGACGAAGCGAGTGTATCATATGTATTATGTACACTCGCGGTGCCTCAAGGAGAGTGTACAGCCGGCTTGAAAAGTATCCGCGTTATATGTATATCTTCATATTGGAACTGTTATGCATTTCTTTTTGTTATTTAATAGTATATTCTTTTGTTTTATACCGCAGTATATTTATCCAAAATAGATTAATATTAATATGACTTATCAGTCTTCAGTGATAGAATTCGTTAGGATTTAGTATTTTCATTAAATTGATTATAAACTGTGTTTTTATATAAAAATAAAAGCTCCTAGTGAGTGATGCATTTTATTTTAGATATTCATGCACTTCTCTTGAGAGTGCCTGCCAGAGAATGTTCAAATGTTCACGGACTGACAGGAAAACACTTTATAATTATTTACCCGATTTCACGAGTAAGCATCGCGGTAGAATGACAGCTGGTTATCTAGTAATATTTCATAATTCCCCATATTGGCAAAGGACATAATTCTGGCGGATCCGTCTATGCCAGATAGACAAAGCCATATTTTTTTTTGTTTTTTGTACGCTACAGATTCATTTTGTACTTGCTAACAGCTCTTTTATTTAGAAAAGTTCATTTGAAAACAAAACGCCACAAACAAGTTTTACTAGATTTATACCAGATTCAATATTGCCAATGTAACAGACTAACAAAAATGTCAGATGCTGATCAGCTATTCAAATCAGTAGACGTCAAAGCGTGATGGATACCCGTGAAATAGGGTTTACAATCCCCGTGGTTACTAGTACTCGTCGTTGCTTCTCAATGCGGCCCAGAGGACCATAGCCTTTAGGTCATAGTCACTGTAATGTCAGGTCTGGTGGCCCAGAAACCAGACAAGTTGTAGGGGAAATATAACTATATATATAACTACATCGCGGGAAGGGGACAGACGTAAGAAGAAACTAAAATTGGATCGCTAAGTTACCATATTCATATTAATCAAATTCAAGCTGATAACCAAATGGAAATGGTATTTACCATTTTGGGTTGGTATTTACCAATCTGTTCAAGCGAGTGTAGTTATCAGTTTGGTTATAAGATCCGTGACGTCACGAATCAGCTGTTATATGTCATAGTTATCACCGCAAAATTGTGGTATTTACCCAACTCAAGAATCAAATCCAAGCGAATAACCAAAATTTCTGTGTTATGTGCCGCGGTTATAATATGGTTCAAGATGACACACGGGTTGATGACGTCAGTTACACGAATCGCTTGAACGCGTTGGTTTTAACCGCGGTTTTTGTTGCAAGTTGTTTATTTTAGAAAAGCGCGTATATAATCTCTGATTATTTTTATTATCACTTAATAATCGGTGCTTTTTCGTCTACAACTGTATATGGAAAGTTTAAATAAGAAACCTTTCATAATATTCATGGAGAAATGTTTTTTTCAGATTTTTTTTTTAATGATCTAACCATGGGTTTGTAGCTATGATAACTTTCAATTCTCTAAATTTTTCCGCATGTCAAAGAAAACATTTATTGATTCAGCAGAAATGATGAAAAAAGAAATTAGCAAAACCGTATACAGGTGGATATCATCTAGTGAGTTTATATGGCCATATTTTAATATTCTTGTGGTATATGGCTACACAGGATACTTTGTTAAGCATAGGAACTACATTTAAAGTATCCCCAACAACCGTAATGAGTATAACTAATAAGGTGCTCCACTTTATGGTAAAACTGAAGTCAGCCTGTATCGTTTTTCTCAAAAATGAAGCTGAAGTACAATAACAATATCCAATACCCGGCAAAATTCTAACTTGTCACATTTCAAATAATAACCAGAAATATAAAACTACTCTTGAGTTGGGTAAATACCACAATTTTGCGGTGATAACTATGACATATAACAGCTGATTCGTGACGTCACGGATCTTATAACCAAACTGATAACTACACTCGCTTGAACGGATTGGTAAATACCAACCCAAAATGGTAAATACCATTCCCATTTGGTTATTCGCTTGAATTTGATTAAGGTAGTTTTATATTTCTGGTTATTATTTGAAATGTGACAAGTTAGAATTTTGCCGGGTATTGGATATTGTTATTGTACTTCAGCTTCATTTTTGAGAAAAATGATACAGGCTGACTTCAGTTTTACCATAAAGTGGAGCACCTTATTAGTTATACTCATTACGGTTGTTGGGGACACTTTAAATGTAGTTCCTATGCTCAACATAGTGTAGCCATATACCACAAGAATATTAAAATATGGCCATATAAACTCACTAGATGATATCCACCTGTATACGGTTTTGCTCATTTCTTTTTTCATCATTTCTGCTGAATCAATAAATATTTTCTTTGACATGCGGAAAAATTTAGAGAATTGAAAGTTATCATAGCTACGAAGCCATGGTTCCATCATTAAAAAAAAATCTGAAAAAAACATTCCTCCCATGAATATTATGAAAGGTTTCTTATTTAAACTTTCCATATACAGTTGTAGACGAAAAAGCACCGATTATTAAGTGATAATAAAAATAATCAGACATTATATACGCGCTTTTCTAAAATAAACAACTTGCAACAAAACCGCTGTTAAAACCAACGCGTTCAAGCGATTCGTGTAACTGACGTCATCAACCCGTGTGTCATCTTGAACCATATTATAACCGCGGCACATAACACAGAAATTTTGGTTATTCGCTTGGATTTGATTATTCTGTCATCGATGTCGAACATTTTCAAGTGACACTGTCGCGAGATCCAAAATGCGTGAATGTACCTTAATCGGAAATATCTCGCCAGCCCTCGGAATAGATGAAATGACAGATGTCACGTGACAGGTGACAATAATAACATATGTCAATTTACTCGATGCGCGTTTAAGCAAGATGGACGCTCACTTTTTGTTATACAGGAAATTCTTTATTTTGCTCTAAATTGGACATTTGTGCAATTTAAACACTCAAACACATTACATGGTAAATATTTAACATGTAGAAATAGGAGTGCAGTGCCGATGGAACATAAGTGTGATATGAACGATCGATAAACAATTGATTAAATACCCTCTCACCTCGCCTTGTTAACGGATGCCGAAAACACCATAAAGTTGCGTATATCGTAGTGATTTTGTTATTAGGTACACATATTATTAAATTTGTCGACTAGAATAGTTATACGTTAGAAGTGACTTATGTGTAAATATATAATTGAAGTAAACTCCATGTGCTTAATTTGTTTGCATGTTACTGCGGCATACCTTTCCAATGGAATGATGAATAAAGTGCACTAGACGTCGTTGGTCGTTGTTTCCTTCATAATTGTAATCCACATACCCCAGTTATTCTGCTAAGAAACATGTTTATATTCTCACTCAAATTCCATATGATTAGATATGCCTTACAAAGGTGGAATACTTATACCTACAGATATTCCTGTTTTTAGGTACAAGAATGGCTAATAGTGTGGTTAAAGTAAGCGACATCAAAGACGATGCACTTGACGATAATTTATTTTTGCTCGTGGGAGAGGATGGGACAGTGGCACCAGATCAGGAGACTGTTGAAAACTACTTGAGTAAGTTGTCACAAAATTACTTCGTCCTTCCTTCCTCTTGTAATCCATGCTTTGTAAACACTTTGTACATGTACTACACTTTAACGAAAACTGTCATGTTAATCTAAGCCTGCTTGAATTTGTCCAAAAAGTGGATTTTGACATGATTTTGATTTCTCTCAAAACCAAAAATGAATTTTGTAGAGCAAAGGAGTGGACCAACAAATATTCAAATTATGAAGATAAATCATTCAGAAAAACAAGCAATAGACATATCTGTTGATAGTGTTACTTATATGCCTGATGTTGTCAGCGAAGGTAAGTACAGTTGGGTCAACAACCATAATGTACTTAATGCAATAAAACTTATCCTATGGTTTTCATGTTTGTAGGACTCTATTGGTTAGGCAAATACAATGAAATATGTTTTACTATTATTATTGTATAATGCATAACAGTTAACCAATGTAATCCCCCTTGCTTGTCTGGCCAATGAAATAGATAGATATATTTTTATTGAACATGTTTTAGTAAATTGAGACAAGTCAAAGAAGGAAAGAATGATTAATACATAAGATATAGGGTGAATGTTCCAGTGGCATGTATGTTGACAAAAGTGGAATTCAAAGTGCAATTAAAATTTTGTTTCAAGATAACTAAGCTAATGTTTTTCTAGGTGGTCATATATAAATACATTGCTTATAAGAATTCCTGTAATTTTATAAAAAAAAATTATAATCAAAATATTGCTATTTTGCCAGTACTTGAATAGAACGTGCTACTAGTTGGCCATCTAGTTGCAATTGTCAGACAGCATTTGATTGGCTAGTTTTAGACAGAACTATTTGATTGGCTAGTTTTAGACAGAACAGTATTTAAGAATCAGTTATACCCTATGTCACGAGTATCTGTCATGCTTTGATGTCTACTGACATGAACAGCTGATCAGCTAGTGACATTTTTGTATTAGTCTGCAAAGTGGGCAATAATGAATCTGGTATAAATGTAGTAAAACTTCTTTGTGGCATTTTTTATTTTGTATGCAAATGCACTTTTCAAAATAAAAGAGCTGTTAGTCAGTACAAGATGAATCTGTATCATACAAAAAACCAAAACAAAATATGGCTCTGTCTACCTGGTGTTGACGTCAGAATTATGAATCATATGCTGATATTGTAATTTGGAGATATTACTAGACTTTGAGAAAAACGAATTAAATACACTCATACTGAATCCACTTAATATACATATTTGTATGAAGAATACGTACATACACGAACTATATAAAAATAAACAAAAAACTAAATTTTGTCATACCATACTGTTTACATATTTCAGGCTATTTCCCAACAGTTCTCACAGGTCACCTTGCCTGCTTTCACTATAGAGATTTTTTCGCGAGATCCCTTAGTGAACGGAGCGGGAACAGATGGAATTTTCCCTTCCTCTGGAAGTTTTGTTAGTTTCAAGTTACACCAGGAGTGGTTAGATGGCGCATGTTGCGCAAAATGTTTGCTTTAAGCTCCTTGATAAACTTAGCTGCCTTCTTTGAAACTGAAATAAAAAGACCGATCGTTTTTTGTGCAATGTACATATATATCAAATGGTCAAGCATGTATTGTGTATACAACATACTTGGAGAGGTAGTACTCCAAGCAGAAGACCTGAAGGATTTTTCCCTCATCAAGTTGATCGACTTCCTCAGGAGGTCGGAGCTACTGGGGGAAATACCAATAGGTGTGAGCCACAATAGACTAAAGAGTCGCAGTGGAGGATCTTTATTGATGAAATCACAAGAAACCTAATCTAACCTAACCTATATATCAATAAATCAACCATTTGATATGACAAGTGCGGCTCCTCGTCATTGAAAATCCGGTGGACGTCTTCCTCCATTTATGATTTAATGATTTAACCAAATTTTTGGCACTGCGGAGACAAATTTTCAATTGAGATGTCTGACATTGGCATAAGACATGTCACCCGCTAGTACCTCGCCGACGTTAGGCGGTTAACCGTACCGCGTAATTTTTTGACATTTGGATGTCGTCACATCCGTCTTCCCCTATTCCCGTTCTTCGCGAAAAATTGAGTATCGGTTCTCGGTACTGCACTGTGCTACACAAAAAAAATTATATTGATGGAATTTGTTTATTTCATGGTATCCATTCCTGAAGTTACCGGTTATTGGGATGTTATGAAATTTTGTTCACTCCAGTAGAGTTGGACACAATATCACCAACCATTCACTGGTTGGGGCTTTAGTCTTATTTTAGTTTGTTTAATACCAAAAGAGTATTTTGATGGTTAGATAGCAAAAGATAGATTGATAACAACCACGCCATTCTAGTAGTCAGACACTTGTCCGACTATTAAATTTTGATTAGTATGATCCAGTCAGTGACCACTTTGACATCAAAATATTAAGATTATTTTTTTCATAAATTTTGAATGTCTCTTGTATAAGTAACAAGAACAGCATTGATATATTGTCAGCTGATGATTGCAATTGCCTTTAAAGTTTATGTCACTTACCACACAACTGACAAAAATTGAAGAATTGAATGCATGCTGTTTTTAATGCGTTAATACTGTTGTCAATATAACAACTGTGGATATAAAATTTTTCTAAACGGTTATAAATTAGTTGATAAACCTGGTGCCAATTGCCAGCAAGTATAGAATTTCTAGTATTGAAGTTTTTACCGATAATATAAGATTTGTCCGACTTGTGATAATGTCTCGGTTACTATCATTAAGTCATACTTAAATTAGGAGAAGACAAAAACCGAAAAAGAAAAACCAGAAACACGGCATGGCACACAGAAACTAATCATGGGAATCCATAAGGCAAAATATCAGATGCAGAAATCAATACAAAAAAATGGACTATATGTTAACAGTATCAACAGTGCCTTAATTTCTTGTTTACAATTGTTGATTGGCGAGAGAAATATGGGGGGTTGACTCTAAGGGTAGCAAGCATCAACCAAACCTAAATTAGTGTCTTATCAAAAGATATATGGAATTATTGACTTTAGTTGTACCCTAAGAAAGAAGTAGTAGAACTATGTAGCCATAGTTTTGAAACTAAAACCTCATCACTCGTACGAGGTCTGTTAATTAAGTAATGTGACACATGGCAGTGCTGCAACTTCAGTACTGGTCAGTTCAGTGGCGGCTCGTGCCAATTCAGTGAGGTAGTGCCAGAATGGAAGCCATAATTTTGAATCGATTCAAAATTGTAAAGAATAACTTATAACTTACCCCTGATAGTTAGTGGTCAAAGTTCTTGAGGTTCAATAAATCTATATGTCCAAAAAAAAATCAAAAATAAAACTATTTACACACGCGCACCAAATTATAAAACAAGTGTGGAGAAGTACCTATAACTTCAAAGTTTTCTATACATGAAGTCCATTCTTCTTTCTTTTTTGGTAGCAAAGTTTTCGATTACTTTATTATTAAAATTTTCAATGCCACTAACAAAATGTTTTTCTGCAGACAGCATTCCTAAAGCACTAAGCCTTTCTTCCTTCATTGTGTTTCTGAGGAAAGTTTTAATCCGTTTCAGCATTGAAAAAGAGCGTTCTGCTTCAGATGTTGACATCGGTATAGTGATTAAAATACTTAAGAGCTTAAGAGTTTCTTGAAACGTACAATTTAATCCTTCCTCGTTCAATAAAATGGATAGTGGAACAGCTCCAGAAGTAGTACTCAATTCTTCTCTCTGATATAATACTTGTAACTCAGTTTTAAGCCTGTTTTTGTCTAAAAATGAAAATTGTGTGCATGTGTCATTTAAATGTGCTTCAGGAAACTGATGTTTATAAACAGAAAACTTTTCAGACACAAATAAATTAGAAGCAACTAAATGCCCAGAAAAGTTAAATCTTGTTCTTATTTGCGATAATACTGCATCGCATATTTCTAACGCTTCCCGTTTTTTGCTGCCTTCTTCAACTTGCCTTTTTTTTCTTGCCGGTTCATCAGTTTCTCTCTGCACTCGTTCAATCTCGTCAATAATGCTATCCATTTGTTCTCGTATAGTTTGAATTGCTGCTTCAAAATTCTCTAAATCATTTTTGACCTTAACAGAATCGGTGCATACTTTTTGTAATTGGTTAAAGACAATTTCAACATGTGGCATTATTTTATGGAATATACTTAGCCAAAATACAAAATTTGTATCTTGCAGCTTTAATTTGTACCCACTGGCTTGATTAATCGACGAAGAATCGCGTGAAGTACTTTCTATATTGTCCATAACTTCAATCAGGTCTTTCCTATTTTCATAAACTGTATGAACACCTCGTGACTGAAAATTCCAACGTGTTTGGGAAGATCTTGGCAATCTGCGATTAACTATTTCATCCAAAATTTTTGTTCTTTGAGGAGACGTCGAAAAAAAAGAGCACAATCCAGATAAATTATGGAAAAATATTCTAGCCTGCTTATTGACAGAGCATGCGCTTGTCATAATTAGATTTAACTGGTGTGCATAGCAATGAACATAATTTGCAAGTGGATAAGTTTCCTTAATAATCTTTTGAACGCCATTCAATTCACCACTCATAACAGACGCACCATCATAGCTTTGAGCTATTAATTTGTTTGGATTTTGATCTATTAATGGATTTACAACATTTAAAACGCATGCAGCGATTGATTTGGCATCGTGTCCGTCGGGGACGTAAAATCTCCAAAATCTCTCAACTGGTTGTCCTTTACACAAATATCTGAAAATAATAACTAACTGAAATTCACAGGCTACGTCAGTCGTTTCATCGGCAATTACTGCAACAAAAGGAGAATTTGCAATCTCCTTCTTAACTTCTTCATGATAAACATCTAGCATGCACTCAAGAAGCTCGTTTTGAGTTGTTTTTGAGGTACCCTTGAAAAGTTTGGCACTTTGAATATGGACTTTCAATTCGTTGTCTAATTCGGCGCTAAAATTCACCAGCTCCTTAAATATGCCTCTGTTTTCCGAATTTTCCTTTTCATCGTGACCCCTTAAGGCTAACTCAAATGCTCCACAAAACCTTATACAATTAATAATTTTATTCAATACATATCGATTCTTATCCACTTGATTATTATGTTTAATTAGATCATTGCGATAAGCCGAATTGAGTTGAGTCCTTATATTTAATTTACCAAGAATAGAAAAGCTAAAAACATTATTCATACGGACTTTAGATTTTTCGTGGGTCTTCATTTTATCCCATATATGTATAAGATCATCTGTACCTTTTTTTGACCAAGTCTCGTCACCTCCAAATAGAACACATACAAAACAAAATAGTTTATTCGTTTCTTCACAACCACATATCCAGCTGTTTTTATCGTACACATTTTTATTAAATTTGCGACAGCGCGATTTTTGTCCGCTACCACTTTGTTTCTCAATTTTTAAATCGGGTATTGGCCGTCCTAATTCTTTAACTTGCAGTTTTTGATCCAGCGAAAAACCACTAAATGAGTTTTTTAATATCCCGATTTTATTCATTTTCACTAGTTTTAATAAAACAGTAAAAAATATGATCACAAAACAGAGCAGTTCATTAACACTAGACGTACTAAAACAAAAACGTTATTTCTCACTTTTCAGGTAAAAAAAGACCGAAATCAGCACTAGACGTAATCATAACGAAACGACCGACCGAACAAAAACACCGCCGATATCATTTGATAACGAATTACGACTGATGATGTGCCTGGCACAAATTATACTTGTCTTTCGCTATTCACCTCATATAAAAATGTGTATTGTAGCGTTATCTCTGTCGCTCGTATGCGATGCTGGTAAAATTTCTCTCTTTTTATTTGGGCCGGCCCGACATTGGCACAAGTTGATGACGTCAAGGTCAAGGCATGCTTTATATCTCGTCGCGTGGTTCGGGTGCTTGCGGTGTTGTCACGTTGTCAGTGTTGTCACTTCATATAATTTATACCAAAAAAAAATGAAAAAGCAAAAAATAAAGTAAAACATTGAAGATTGAAAAAAATATTCTTTTTGAAGAAGACAAGGTAGTGCCATGGCACCGTGGCACTACCTCACGAGCCGCCACTGGGTCAGTTACAGCCATTCGAATATCTCCTTGAACCCCGGGAAGATAAAAAAGTCATAAGGACTGCAGTCAGGCGAATAAGAAGGCTGACGAGCCACATGAATGTTTTTACTGGCCATAAACTTGCTTATTGACATTGCTGTGTGACAAGGAGCATTATCATGATGCAACACCCAGTTGTTCTTGATCTGAAGAACGGTGAGTGAGTAAAATTAAACTCTTCCCCGATCATTCTGACTGTCAAACGACTATCAGAACGCATAAGATCCCGGATTCGATCGATATTTTCGTCGGTTTTTGAAGATGAAGGCCGTCCCTTCTAAAAATGCCTTAATCCACCGAAAAACCTGGGCTCTTGACAAAACACTATATCCCTAGGCTTGATGAAGTTGAGCAAGAGGTTCCATTTAACTGTGCCCAAGTCTGCAGCAAAACTTGTTACAACACCATTGTCCTAGATTGATATCATCATATTAGAACACAATAGAAAATACTGTTTCGTAAACAAGGTCGCTACGGTCAACCAAATGACTCGAGCTAGTTCAAACTTGTACTGAAGGCGGATCACATGTTCCCCTGTCTCCCTTCCAAGCCCCGCGCCTCCAGTGTTGCCAGAACGAACGCTACGCTGCCAATCGCATCACTTAATTTACAGACCTCATATACCATGTTGCCCTGGCAGCATTACACAACATATGCAGAGCTCTCAGGGTCATACAAATTTGCAGCAAATTTTAACATTATTTCTAGAAAATTGCTCTGCTGTATAGTATTAGATATACTGAGCTGTAATGTTTCAAAGGTTTTTTGTTTTTTGATCCATAACAATTTAGTAGTTTGATCTCTGTGGTAGAACTTATATGGTAGAAAATGTGTTTTTCTTCAGTTTCCCGAGTTGACACTGGACGCGCCATATTTCAATCAGATTGGGAAAAATAATATAATAATTTTTCCAAAAGAACTATTTAAAAATAATATTTTAGTGAGATAAGATCGAGATTTTGTGACTCTTATTGGACATATGATTATATAAACTTTTCTTAAGTAAAAATACCGATGCTTATGTGCTTAAACTCGTCTTTGTTTAGTAGGACAAGCAGTTACAAAACTACATAAAACATTCCTAAGGCACCACGTCAGGGGTTAACTAACTTCGCAGCTAATCCCAAAAGCGGTTTTCAATGTAAAGTTTTCCTTAAAATGGTAGTTAACTTTTACCAGTAACTATGAGCTAAGTTAGTAATTAAGTTGTAACTAAACCGCGTATGTCTAATCTATTTTACTTGACAGTGACATGACACAGGACATATGTAAAAGCAGCATCGTTGCATTAATAGTTAACCAGTACTTGAAAAATTCATTTATAGACAATTGATAATTAAATTTAAAATTATAGTACCTAACTTAACTTGTAAATTTAATTGTTACAGTCACTGTGTTTGAAAAAACGGACCTAATTGAGATTTTTCAGCATGAAAACCTCAGTATAAGTTTCAGATATTACATTATCCCTAATTGTTTTACAGAAGTTGTAAGTGAAACAGTAGATATGGAAGAAGTGGAAAGAAATCTCCATAACTTCAGATTGGATCATGATTACACCCCATTCACCTCACCGAAAGGCAGCCCTTCACCGCCAATGGAAGAAGAGGAAGATGAGCTAGCTAAAACCCTGAGTATCCTTGACGGACCTAACCCAGCAGCATTGATACCTATAAGTCCTACCAAACCTCCACCTCTTGTAATGACCAACCATCAAAAAGTCAATAAAGCTCCAAAAGTAAAGCTCATCCAATCAATTACATTAACACCTAGCAAACATATTCAGCAGATGGTCAAGTCAAATAATGTTGTTAAGACCTCAGAGGGATTTAAAGATCAAGGTGATATTGATGAATCAGTATATGAGCAAAAGGTTGACCCAGAAACATCTCAGATGGAGTCAGAGCCACTGGATGACAGTGACGGTGCTCTCAGTCAAAAAGACCTCGCCAAGGGTAGAGCTAAGGTGATCAAAACATATAAACCTGCACAGAAGTCTACTCCCAAACCTAGGAAAGAGAAGCCGAAGCCTAAACCCAAACTGGAAGAAAGTGAAGATGACGATTCTGACTACACAGATGGGGACTTTGACATGGAAATGGAAGATGATGAGAATGACTCTGACTTTGAGATTAAGGATGTTAAAACACCTAAGAGAACATCAAGACGAACAAAATCTGAATCAAAAACTACACCGCAACGACGCAAACTCAAAAATAAAGAAAAAGAGACAAATAAGAAGCTAGAGAAAGAAGATGAAGAAAAAACGTCAAAAGAAAGACATAGAGACAAGTCACCCGACAAAATAAAAGTACAAGATAAGGGGGAAAGGTCTGAAGAGAAGGATAAACATCTAGAAAAGAAAATGTCTTCGGAAGAAGAGAAACATACTGATAAAGATAAAACATCTCAATCAGAACAGCCAGGAGATGCAAAGTCTGATAAAAAGACACCTCATAAGAAAAAGAAAGAAATTCCGAAGCCTATTCTTGATGACTTCAACTTATTTGCAACTCCTGATATCATCAAACGTGTAGGGGGCAAAGAACCCACTACACCAGTCACACCTACATCCGTAGCTACTCCTACGTCCAAAACTCCCGCTAAAATAACTCAGGAGTCTAGAGGCAAGTCTGCTGACCAACCAATAGGATCTCCTATTAAGAATAATCGAGTAAGTTTGGACGCAAAAATTGATAACCATAAAGAAAGGGAGAAAGAAAAAGCTAAGGAAAAAGACAAAGAAAAGGAAAAAGATAAGGTGAAGAATAAAGAGAAGGAAAGGCTTGCTGAAAGAGATAGCCATGTTGATAAAGAGAAGAAAGATAAAGAGGGGCGGTTAAGTACTAGTGACAAATCGAAGCGTCTCAGTGTAGATGAGAAAGTGAGGCACAAGGATGTCAAATCCGAAAGTAGGTCTGAGAGACATTCTACTGACAGAAAGAATAGTTCAAAGATCGCAGCTGAGAATATTTTGAACACTGACGAAATACCGAGTGCTGAAGATATCCGTTCGATAATAATGGGCGACGAAAAGTCTTTTACTGCCAGTTCTGCTTCAGTCGAAACGGAATCATCTTCTCAAAATATGGAAGTTATGAATTTGGATGCTTCTGGGTTGGATTTGGATCCAACTATTTTGGATAATTTGAATAATGATGAGCTTTCTGAAGATATTTTGTATCAGGTGGCGCAGTCGTTGGTATCGAACCCCGAATTGCAGAATGCTATTGACAAAGGTATCAATGAAGGTGTTCTGGATCCGAATGCTGTGCATAATAGTAGCTCTGGGAGTCTCCAAAGCTTTGATGAGGTAAGTAGAAATAGTTTAATATACATTGTGAAAGAAGAAATTATTAGATAGCAATTAGTAATTTTTTTATGTTCGAAAATACTGATAGTTTCACTTGCATATAATAGTATAACTGTCATCTTTCTCAAATCTGAAAGAATTATTCCGATAACTTGAAATTTCAGGCAGTCATGGCACTGGTATTACGTACCTTGAAAAGTGACATATCGATTTTTTTTGACATTGTATTGGTTTTTGTAACATTATGCAGGTTTTTCTAAAAGTTGTTAACTTAGCACTAGCTGATGGACACGTGAACTCGTTTTGTAGTTGTACGTGTTGCTTAAACGTCATGAGGCTTAAGTTAACAATGCTTGGCGTGGTTTGGCTTTGATGTGATGTAAAATCTGCTTCAGAGATAACATTACTGGAGGTCTAAGCTGTAAGTGGTTACTATAGCTAGAAGGAAGCGGCAATGCATAGGTGCATAGTGAGGATTTGTGTGCTAATAATGTGTTGATGATAATTCCATTGGATTCTGGTCTCAAATACACTTACTTGAAATTCAAAGCTAAAAATTAGTTGCGCATCCACTGTTTCTTATCCATTCTAGAAATTACATAATTATGCGAATTTGCTGAATTTCAAAAATGAAAGGATAATAAATAATTATCCTCGCTGTTCCCCGTCGAATTAGTCATATACAGGCTAACAGTAATTACACACAACGTGGGCGCGGTGATGATTTCTCGTAATTCTGAAAGTTTTTGAAAACACAAAAAACGTAAAAAATGTAATTTATAACTTTGAACATAACCTGTCTTCAGAAAGGACAACATATAAATAAATACCCTCACGGGTATTATGATATGTTATGAGTAGGTACTTTTTAGGGTGCACACAGTCATTTCACGTTTGCTCACAGGGATCGTTGTGAGCGTCCATCTATGGAGGAATGTATTGTGAAGCCGAGTAGTCTATAGTTTTCATCTCTGAAGAGAAAATTTATTGAGTAGCAAGATTGCATCTGGATGATTGTGTGTATTGGTCTGCATGTGTTTAAAATCAATGATATTTGCTGTGTGAGAAAATCATTACTGAATAGGCTGCCATTGAAGTATATCTATTAGCTGTGCTCAATGGGTTGTTTATAAGTTATAAATTACGATTCTCTACGTTTTTTTTGTGTGTTTTCAAAAACTTTGAGGAGACTTACGAGAAATCACCTCCGCGCCCACGTTGTGTGTAATTACTGTTAGTATGTGTATGACTTGTAATTCGACAGTGTACAGTGAATATTATTTCTTGACTCTCTCATTTTTGAAATTCATCAAATTTCCATACGTAATTTCCAGAATTTATAAGAAAAAGTTGATGCGCAACTAACTTCTAGCATTGAATCTCAAGTAAGTGTATTTGAGACAAGAATCTCTGAACCAGATTTTACATCACATCAGAGCCAAACATTGGTAACTGAAGCCTGATGACGTTTAGGCAACACGTACAACTACAAAACGAGTTCACAACGTGTCCATCAGCTCGTGCTAAGTTAACATCTTGTAGAAAAACCTACATAATGTCACAAAAAACCAATATGTCAAAAAAAATCACTTTTCAATATACGTAATACCGGTTCCGCGCGGCTTCCGCTTGCATATCGCATTCATGGTCAAACTGACCAGTCCCAATTCATTGTTTGCATCTTGACATAAACTGCTGTGAGATATTATAGATAGGTATACACAATAATATGGAAGAAGGCTTTCTGCGTACCGATTCCACAAATCTTCCAAAGGTGGACCTAATAATGATTAAATCTGTTTGAAACATGCTTTGGCACGCATCCACATTTATAATTAAGCCCACACGCTATCGACACCGTTGTTGTTCAAAAGTCCTGAAATATGGTCAAAATTAGAAAGATCGATAGTTTTTTTATTATTTTCACGTTTTCCAGGTAGCTGATAACGAACATGATATCCATTTGTCAAACATCAAAATGGCGGAAATAATATAATATAATAATTATTAACTACATGTGAGAGACAAAGATAGCGAAGTTTAGCCTAGGCTACTCTTACACTTAACTGTCTTCAACAATACATTGAGGGCACGATGTTATGTGCGATGCCTATAATATGACATCAAAAAGGATCTTTGTAGTTACCGTCCTCGAAATAAGTTTTTTAAGAAAAATAACTAACTAAACTGTATGGTTTACATCTTCACAAAAAGTGCTTTCGGGGTCGCGAACTTGATATCAATTGTTCAAAAATCAAAGTAGCGGTTCTAATATGGCATCTATGTTTGCAAAAAATGTTTTGGTCGCGTTCAACTATTTTTAAAATCGCTGGTAACGAATTAAATATCGGTACTTGAAAAAATCGAAATTACGGACCCAGTCTTACGGCTGTTTCTAAAAAATTAACATATTTCTTAACTTGGTGTCTGATAAACATGCTACTATTCAAAATATGGCGGACTCCGACGGGCTTTCTTAAGCTCTTTTTGAATGCATTAATGACAGAAGAAATATCAATCACGTATTGTCGTTTAGTGTCATGTGTCGATTGACAAGTAATACAATACCATACAATAACTATACGTTATAGCTGATCATTTTAAAATGTGACACTATTTGATTATACATTTTTTTACACTTCTGGTCAGGTTTTTTTGTTCCTGAACCACGCCTCTGCATCCCACGTCGATACAGACACTAATTAGGTTATTTATCCATTATAATAGGCACATGGCACATACACTAATATTTGTTTTGATCCTTTTTACCATATTAACTAAATGCTGCTAACATCAAAATGATATTTATAGCAGTACAATATTTCCGAAAGAGACAATTTTATCGTCTCTGTCCCTGTCCATTACCATGTACCACTTCCTTCCAATTCTTCTGTGTTTTGACACATGTAAACATATCTTTCTGGAACATATATGCATGTATTTGTACACCTGGGTATACTATATACGGTATTTGTAAGTCAATGCGGGTCTCATCCATTTTTTACCCATTTTTACCGTAAATCATGAATACGGAGCAGAGCAACGTTTTTTAAATGGCGCCAAGATGCGAGGCGGGTGCAGGGCTTGGTGGTAGCTGGTGTGATGTGACATCATCACTCAGTCTCATGCTGTCTTCTCGCTCAACTTTTGGGTAGAGTAACTTTGTCATTTATAAAGATATTCAAAAAGACTATCAGCTTAAATGTGTTTCAAAAAATAGGAAACTTCCTTTTGTTGATTATATGTTAAAAAGTAGGGCAAGTTGTCTAGAGTATGTCTATCTCCATTTTTCTATTAATTTGTTTCTTTCTGCTTTGTGAAAAACTTATCATAATAATAGTTTCACTGGGGAAAGTTTTGGATAAGTTGATCATACTAGTTTTTTGGTTCAAAGGGGGTAATGGTTAATTCAAAACCGCTTTTTGCAGGATTCCAGTGGTGATGTGATCCAAAAAGGAACCCAAATCGTGAGGCCTGATGGTAGAATTGTTGTAATTCCTCCAATAGAACGGCCAACAACTAGGAGCAGAAATAAAAAAAAGGAAGAAGTTAAGCCAGTTTTCAAGTAAGTGTGTCAAAATTGTATTTCTTAATATAATATAATGGGGAGCATGGAGCAAAATATGAAACTGACCCAAAGACTGTGCATCGCAAATACTTGCGAAAATAACGTCATCAGGACGAACTGGACCGGCATCCTCGGTATTTAGCTTGAAAGCGATAGGGTTTAAAAACGCTAAGCGAATCATTTCGTACGACAAGAGCGTTTAACGGTTGGTTAAGGTTGCTGTGTAAATTCTTCAAGTGGCCACATACGTGATAAGTGTCTGTATGCTACATTAACTGGAGGATGGTTAGCTTTGTTTATTGGGTAATCAATTATACCAGAACCTACAGTGTTTCAACATATGTATTTTTTGTTAGGCTTGCAAATACCCGTAGTTCATTATTGTTTATTGCTTTTGCTCGATTACCTAAAGCATACGATCTAGAAGGAACTAGCAAAAATACCGCATTTCCTCCAAATTATGCTCATCTCGTTTTCTTAAACGGTATAGTTTTACAAAATTAAATTTTAATCGACCTTTAATATTTGCCTCTCCATGTTTTCAATATACCTAGTAGTAGTAGTAGTAGTAGAAAGATTTATTTAGCACATTTGGCTACATAAACAGAACAATTGTAAACAACTTAGAACTAGTAAATTCAAGCCATATGGTGTATGATGTAAATGCTGGGCAACCTATAATTGTAGATTTAACAAGTGATTTCTCAATTTTACTTTAAATTTTGTCAAAGTTTTCTGGTCTTTTATCTCCGAGTATAATTTATTATATTCAATCAACCCTTGATGGAGTACAGATTTGTAGCATATGTTATACTTTTTGGTCATTAAATGGAAGTCATCTTTATTTCTGGTATTATGTAAATGATGGTCGACATTTGATGATGTTAAATTAGTTAGACTTGATGGAAATATATTATTTTTTACTTTATAAATGAATATCATTACAAGATATTTGATAAAATTTTTTACATTGAGCCATTTTAATTTGCTAAGCATTTGCCTAATTGGAGTATATTTATCTTTATTTAGTATTATTCTCATGCACTTATTTTGTAAAATTTGCAGTCTTTCAAAAATGGAATTATTTGCTAAATATAGAATAGTCGAGAACAGTACAAGAAATTTGGAAGAATGATGGTATTATAGATAATTTTTCTGCTATATGAACTCAGACATCCAGAAACTCTCGATAAATATCCCACTTTACTACTAATCTTATTTATAACTTTTTCATAATGAATATCAAAAATTAATCGAGAGTCAACAAAAACTCCCAGGTATTTAAAATTTTCTACGAATTCAATATTTTCACCATCAATATTCAGTTGAACATTTGTACATTGTTTTTTTCCGATTAACAAGGCTTTCGTTTTACTTGCATTTAATTTTAGTCTGTTAGATGCTAACCATTTTGAGACAAGCTTCAAGTCTTCATTTATATAAGAGATACCAGACTGAATATTTTTAGTACTTATATAAATCATAGTGTCATCGGCGAAAATTTGAATTTTGCATTTTTTGACTATGGCAGGTAAATCATTTATGTATAAAATAAAAAGAAGTGGTCCCAGGATACTGCCCTGTGGAACACCCAACGTATTTTCAATTTTTGATGAAATAGTGTCATTAACTTTTGTAACTTGCATCCTTTTAGACAAATAATTTCTAAACCAATCTAAAACACTTCCTGTTATACCATATGCCTTCAATTTACCTAACAAAATATCTCTATCAATCGTTTCAAATGCCCTCTTCAAATCCAAAAATACTGCTATGACAACTTCTTCTGAGTCTATGGCTCTTCTCCAATTCTCAGTTACCAACTGGAAAGCTGTTTCTGTGGAATATTTTTTTCGAAAGCCTGCTTGCGCCTCCACTAAAATTTTGTTTTCTTCTATAAACTGCATTAATTGGTCATGCACTGTGGACTCTAATAATTTTTCAATGTCTGGTAACACATTTACTGGTCTCATATCGCTGCATCTTTTAGAATTTTTTATTTTGGGAACTGGTGTTATTGTAGAGCATTTCAAATTTTCAGGGAAAGAACTGCTTCTCAGTGAACAATTGATCCAATTTAATACAGGATATCCCAAAATTTCGAAACAGTTTTTCAGCACGTTTTTAGTAGTCATTTCGGCACAGTTGTTATTTGATTTTAAACTGTTTACTTTTTTTCTTAGATAATTCAATGATACGCTGTGAAATTTTGAAAGTGTATGCAACATTGATTCAATCAACGCCAGTAAACCGATATGACAATAGGTATTGGGGATTAAATTACACAACAACTACCACGATATCGAATCACTAACTCTCAGCAACCTAGATACAAAAAACACAGACGGCGACAAGTACTCGTAAAACACAAACCACGTACAAGCACATTGGAAGCAAGTACAAATTGTTAAGAGATTTGAAAGCGCTTCGAGAATACCGGATGTATCACCAAATTTAGCCAACTAGGTAACAATTTTAGCGTTCGTAATATTGTTTGACGTACGTGTTCCATGCATTCGGAATTAGAACAAAGTAATCATGGAACGTCAAAAGCGCGCTTTTCTGTCCGTGTTTGGAAATAAGAATGTTGTCACTTGTCATTTTCATGGTTCATTATGTGATTACTTTATTTGGTTATCAAAAAATGCTCAAAATTGGCAGAATATATATTTTTCACGATGAATGAACGACTCCGTATCCATATTGATTCTTATAGTAAATACAATGGTCCCAGAAAACGAGGTTAGAAATTCGGCTGACTATGTTTCACAGGGTTCCAGAGTAAAATTTTATCTGTCATTCTGCTCAAGGATTTTTGACCAATGAAGTTAGATACTTCCTCTTTTGCAACTGCCATTCCTAGCAACTAGAAAAAAACCTTTAAAAAGCCGATGAAACATTGATTCGTCCATGGACCTTTCGGTGTTGATGTTACAAAATCCAAATTACTCAGATCCACAAAATAAAAAAATGGGGTTTGCTTGGGGTCTGACTAAATTTTCCCATGTACTTTTTCACGCTCAAGACGAATTTGAAGTCAAAATTCGGGGTCAGTGGACAAATTTTAGATAAAACACATAAAAACGATCCACAAGTTCACAGAAAAAATAAGACTCGCTTTTTCCATGTGGTTTTTCCTCTGTACACGAATATGAAGTCGAAATTGGATAAATATGAAAGTAATTCATACATCAGGAATAAAAATTTTGGAATTGGTGAATATACATCTCTCAGTGATCTCAAAATAGGTGCATACTCACCGAAAATACCAAAATGTGTGATTTTGATGCATGAATTACTTTCTTATTTGACCGCCGACCACCAATTTTGACTTCAGATTCATGTTCAATGTCAAAAAGTACATGAGAAAAACATAATCGGCCTGTGTTATTGATTACACAGTGTGGCCATTATACAGGGTGTCCCGAAAAAAGTGTGCAATATTCTACCAGCGGTTTCTAGAGCTTAAAATAGGAAGAACATTTTATATAAACATAGGTCGACAAACGTCCCCTAAGGGCGCTACGGTCTTTTAAAGCCCCCCCCCCCTGAAGATGGTTTTTCCTTAATATTTCCGAAACGTGTTGAGATAAAGACATAAAATTTGGTATTCTAGCCTAGTTTTTTATGCTGGATTTAAAAATATTAACAATTTTAGACAGTTTTGTTTGGAAGCGTATGTAACAGGGACGGACTCAGGTTATTTGAGCCCCAAAATTTTTGTGGGATTCTATTTTTGAAATTCAATTTTAGAATTTGAAAATTTAGGGTTTTCTACATAAACAAGTTACTCTTATTGAATATCGATAAATTGTGCCATTTTTGAATAAAATCAAACTAAAAAATTTGTAAATGTACTGCGAATTTAAATGAATTGTTGAATAATTAGCCATGGCAACGAAAAAACTAATTTAATAATTGGTAAATATCACATAAATACATATTTCTATTGCAACATTTAGGCAAAAACAAAAGAAATAAATTTTTTCTACGAACGAAATTGAAATTTGTTTAAAAAAGTAGACATACAGTTGGATATACTTAAAACTAGCTTTACAATAAGTATTCAAATACATTCCCATTTTGTTGGATACAGAGTCTCGCTCGACGAACTAATGATTGCGTAGCCCGAAAAGTGGAAAACCTTTTTCATCTTATTTCATTTGCAGCCTGATAGATTCTTTGAAGTAAATCTTCTTGAGTATTTACTTCAGTCGAGTAAACTAGGTCTTTTAATGACCCCCAAAAATAGAAATCCAATGGATTTAGGTAAGGTGAACGAGGTGGCCACGCTATAGGACCTCCTCGGCCTAACCACTTGTCTGGAAAATTGACATTCAACCAATTTCGAACATTGCGTCCAAAATGTGCAGGGGCGCGATGATGTTGAAAAAACATATTTTCATGAAACTGCTGGCGCACATCCAATGGTATTATATCTATGAGCTCATTCTGAAGAAAGGTCAGATACACCTCTGAATTAAGACGATAGGGAAGTACAATAGGCCCAATTACTCCTGCCAATAAGTTCAATGAATCTCTATGTTGGAAATTTGTACGGCGAACAACTTTTTTCATCTGACCAGTGATGCATGTTATGGAAATTAAAAGCACCATTCCTAGTAAATATTGACTCATCCGACCATAATATTCTAGGAATAGTGTTTTCATTTGCTAATATCCACTGGCAAAACTCGATTCGTGGTAAAAAATCTGCCTCCGTTAAATGCTGCACCCGTTTAAAATGATAAGGATGGAATCCCTGCATTCTTGTCATTCTTCCTATCTAAAATTATTATTTTTAGGATGACTATCAAATAGGTATTAATAATTTTTTCTTACTATTGATCGAGATATATCCATATTTTCTGAAACATTTCGTATGCTTATTTGCGGATTGTTTTCAAACATATTTAAAGCAATATCCATACGATGATTTCCCAGTGGCCTTCCTCAACCCTGCATGCGCTGAAAACTTCCATGATTTGACAAATTCCGGTGAATATCAGTAAACATTCGACGTCTAGATACTATGTGATTGGGAAATCTTCTTTGATATTCTCTTACGGCTGCCAATGAACTGCCATTGCAAAACCCGTACACAAAATGCATGTCAGTCAGTTCTCTGTCTGTAAATCTTGGCATATTAAAAAATTTTGATTTTAATCTAGTAATTTTACACTGCTAACAATGTCAGCTTAACGTCAAAATAATTCATAACAAATCAAAACAACTTTTGTTTGCAGTCATGGCTAACTATGTATAATCAACAATTCATTAAAATTCGCAGTACATTTCCTATCATGTGACAAATTTTTTAGTTTGATTTTATCAAAAATGGCACAATTTATCGATATTCAATAAGAGTACCTTTTTATGTAGAAAGCCCTAAATTTTCAAATTCTAAAATTGAATTTCAAAAATAGAATCACACAAAAATTTTGGGGCTCAAATAACCTGAGTCCGTCCCTGTTACATACGCTTCCAAACAAAACTGTCTAAAATTGTTAATATTTTTAAATCCAGCATAAAAAACTAGGCTAGAATACCAAATTTTATGTCTTTATCTCAACACGTTTTGGAAATATTAAGGAAACACCATCTTCAGGGAGGCCCCTTTAAAAGACCGTAGCGCCCTTAGGGGACGGGACGTTTGTCGCCCTATGTTTATATAAACTTTTCTTCCTATTGTAAGCTCTGGAAAACGCTGGTAGAATATTGCACACTTTTTTCGGGACACCCTGTATAACTGACTGATTTAAATTGCGCGCTATTTTTGATACACGCATTTCAGTAGGTGGCGCTGTAGTAGTTGTTTAAAGCACATTTGTCCAATTCATCATAGAGCGCTACACGATCCCACAACGCGTCCGTATTGCTAAAACGTTTTACTCAAATAATGAGTCGATTGTTGCAACGATTCGGAAGCTACGACAAGGTTTCGGTCGAAATAATGTGCCCAGTGTTAACACCATTCGTCAGTTGGTGCGGAAATTTCGAGAAAGTTCGTGAAAGTGTAGTGGAGCGCCCTGAGACGTCTACCAGACATCGTTCTCAAGAACTGGGTATTCGTCGCACGTCATTATGCACTATTTTAAATAAAGACTTGCATTTGCGGCCATACAAAATTCAATTAACCCAAGAACTACAGCCTAGTGGCCATTAAAGCCGCCGTCAATACAGTCATACAGTCGAACAATATTTCCGGGACGTTTAATTTCTCGATTTGGTGATGTCAACTGGCCACCAAGGTCACCGGATTTATCGGCTCCTGACTTTTGTATTAGAATTTTTGAGAAATAGTCATTTATGCCATGAAATCAAATACTGTAGAGCAGCTCAAGAACAATACTACGAAAGTGATTGAAAATATTCCTCCCGAAACCTACCAAAAAGTTTCAATAGAAGATTGGTTTGGTTTGGTTTGGTTTGGTTTATATAAGATGAAAAAAATGAACGAATTTTATTTCATTTCACAAATATTCAAGATACAAACCAGTCGGTTACATATCGGTCACCCTGTATTATTGTTCTTATAGGCCTGTTCACAAGCCGCTGGATGACGAGCATGTTTCCGGCAACGAATTGGACAGTTCCAATGATGAAGAAGAGGAATCGGAGGATGACCCGAATAAGTTGTGGTGTATCTGCAACCAACCTCACAACAACAGATTCATGATTTGTTGTGACACGTGCGAAGAGTGGTATCATGGCAAATGTGTCAACATTACCAAAACCATGGGACAGCAAATGGAGGCTGAGGGTAGAGAATGGATATGTTTGTTCTGTAAGGTAGGTTTTAATTATCTTTTTTAAGCCCGGTTTTTTAATCGGAAGTTAACTGTACTTTTATGTTATAATTCTCTGAAATTAACTTCAACCAGAGGGTCGTCTATGGGTTGACTAGTAAGTTGTAGTTAAACCTCAATTCGTAAACTTTTTGGCTTGATAATGGCACGATCTCACAAGGAGACATTACACCCTTCGGGTCACCGATTTTGTCACAGCTCTGTATTGGTAGAGACTTGTCGTGTAGGATATTCCTAAAGTCATAAGGTGCACAACTTAAAAATAAGAAAGGTATTGCTCTGAAAGGGTCACTCACACCATTTGTCCAAGATTCAAAAATGCTTTTGATAAAAAATATTTCTCCAAAATGCACTGCAATTTGCCAGCCCTGTTTACTTTCAACGGCAAATCAAAAATGTCATTGAAAAAATCCAAAACTGCAAATCTCGCTGTATCACAGAAAAGCGAAATTTCGTAAAGCTTACTTTATTCATTAATCCATCATCATTTATCAGCACCAATTTTCCAGAAAATGATTATGCATGGTTTGCATCAAAACATTCTGACCAAAGATATTTTCTCCAAAGTGTAAATGATCTATGTGTTTTCTTTGATAGGTTGAAAAAAGCTTGTGCTCAAACGTTTCTCTTATTTCTTGTAGTCGGTGCCCGTTGAATATATGCTTTGTCCATTCATATGTCTTTTATCATCCAATAACATGTACTTTTGAATAAGGTAATTGATACAAATAATAACTTTATTATTTAAAAAATAATAAGAAATTCTGTAATTTACTTGCTTATTAATTAAATTATCGAAATAAGGCAACACGAAGTGCCATCTATTACCAGAACCGATCACTTGCGAAAGTGAAAAATAAGGTGACTGTTGGAACTGTGACCCAGTACGCATTGCCAGCTGCGTCACCACTGTGGCCGCTAGATGCCACCGATTCTGGATCTATAGTAGATAGTAAACTGTTCATCCTGTACCGGCTCTTCTTTCCACTAATCTTCCTATCAGTCGAGATCTTAAAAAAGGATGTAAAAGTCAATTTTAATATTAATATTAAAGGTTCTAGTCAATTTCATAATCTTCCAATTATAATAGGTGTAACTATAACAATAACAATATAAATTTGATCATTATCAATGGGTTACCCAATTCAGTTTCTAATATTAGCATATAAACCTGCCTATTCTGACAAGTTTCTTAAGTTATCATTTTTTGAACTTTGACAAATAATCTTATGAATATACGCCACTAGTAAGTCTCTTTCAATATGTAGGGCTGCAGCCAAATTGGTGACCCAAAGAGTGTAAGGTCTCCTTGTCAGACTCGAAGCAGAGAGGGTTACTTAACTAGAACTGGAAAACGAATTTACGGGTACCTGATAGTTAACTTTCAAGTTGTATTTACCCAACCTAAACGATACTGGCAAACTGCTGTCCAAGATATTTGACCGTTTATACATTTTATTATACATCCTTTTTTTCGCTTAAAGGATCCTTCCTTGAAAAGACCACAAGCAGCCGCGAGAAGAATAAGAAAAGCATCTCGGAATTCCAGAACTTCCACTGAAAGTACGGGAAGCACTTCGAAAAAGTCTGTCACCTCATCTGGATCATCTGCATCATCTGTCAAGTGCGTTGTTTGTAACAACCCCGCAAGGAAAAATTCCATTTATTGCAGCGAATCTTGCATATTGGCACACGCTCAGGGTATTGAAAGGGTAAGCAACAAGTTTCATTAATAATTTTCAGGCGTTCAAGTTTAACAAAGGTAAACTAGGCAAAATATTATATTTCTTGTTTATTTTTTGTTTGTTGGAAGATTTATTTAGCATTAATGCTACAAAGTCAATTTTGTATAATTATTGGCTTACACATTTTTCTTCAATCCATTTTCTGTAATTTTACATTCTTGTCTATTAATCTAAAAAAAAATATTCATAAAGTGATTTTTTAATTTCACTTTAAACATTTTTAAATTCGAACACTGTTTAATATCATTCATTTATTCAATACGCTACTATTTCAGTTTTGTACTGCCTCTAGTTTTGTATTTATGATAATGACTATTCAATTTTGTGTAAATGTGGTGGTAATAAATGATTATTTAATTTGCATATGAAAATGAGAACTAAATAACATCTGACATTTTTTACATTCAACCACTGTAGTTTTTCTAGCATAGACTTAATCGTAGCATATTTGTTTTTATTTAAAATGATTCTCATATCTTTATTTTGTAGAATTTGTAATTTTGAAAATATGTTTTCATTTGCTGTAAACAAGATTGTTGAACAATATAAAAAATTATAGTGTTATACACAATTATTTTGGAATACATGCTAAGGTTATGGGAAACTAGATAGAAGGATTTTTTTTTATATTTTTGAAATAATGTATTCATAATGCTCGTGAAACAGTAGTTTACTATATACATATATACCCAGATATTTAAATGATTCGACTACTTCAATATTTTCATCATTAATCATGAGCCTAATTGTATTGTCACTTAAATGTTTCCCTATTGACATACATTTTGTTTTATTAGTGTTTAAAGTTTATTATCATTTAACCAATTCATATTTTTTTAATATCACCATTTAACAGTTCTGAAGCAGTGTCTAAATGTTTATAATATATATATATATATATATATATATCAATGTAAACAAACACCTTGTACTTGATGTATACGATACTAAGCGTCAAAGCAAAATGAAGATTCCTACGAAACGCGAAGCGGGCCGGAAATGTTTTACTGGAGCCTATTAGTTTGCGTCTAGTCTCTTTACTTAATAATAGTTGTCGCCATAATATGATTTACAAGTGTTTTAAAAATATACTGCTTTGAGACCATAGTTGTGGAGTAGGATTATTGTTGTGTGAAATTACGGTACTCGTAATCTGCTAACAGTTATTCATACAGCTTTTGTCTATTAACAGTATATGAGTATTCTGTCCTCGTAGGCCACCCTGTATTTCACTCACATGATTTTTTGAGAAAAAGTATACAAAATGCATAATCTAACTCAATAGCTGATCACGAATTTTGTTTGTGCACGCAATGTTTCACTAACCAGCTCGGATTGTGCCCAGTGACCTTGATGCATCTCACCGTATGTCACTCTTGGGTGTCAGACTTTCCCTCTTTTATTCAAATGATATTCGATTCGAAGATTTGTCTTACTTTTTGTTAATTTCTGGATACATTTCTGTTGCTACAAAAAGCGTATTTTCATAAATCCTCACTGAACTATATATCTTGATTCAAGGTGGTTGTATTTGAGAGATCAACTGGAAAGATGTTAACTGGAAACAAAGCGCCAAGTGCGGCAAATCTGGATCAATGGCTTAAGGAGCATCGTGGATATGAAGTACTCAAGTCAGGTGGAAGAGTCGTTACTGCAAAGGTAGGTGACATTATTCAACAACAACAAATCTTTTGCTTTTTTGTATAAATGTTGAAGCTTACGGAGCTTCTATCTCTCTATATATAGATGTTCAGAGCTGTTTATTTGCCTCTATTGTAGTGAAGGTATCATTATATGTTTAAGCCATAGCAATGGCCCAGTATAGAAGCTCTGTAATGCAGTATTCTCTGTATAGTCAAGTTGTATGTTTATATTGGGTTGAAAAAAGTATTTGAAATTCGTACATTGAAATATATTTAAATCTTGTGTAGTATACGCCAAGTTAATCAGTCATTAGGATATAGTTTGGCTAGCCTTGCTCTGAATTATATGCTAGATGACGCGCGTCATAGTGTTTAATTTCTCTTTATTGTACCACGTTTCGGCTACCACGGCGACCTTTCCAAGTACAATGACAGTTAGTGACAGTATATTTTGTTTATTTTATCCTCTCAAATTTTGACGTCACGTGAACGCGATCCATTATCTTCTAGCGACGTGTCAGAATTAGGCCACAGCCCTGGCGCGAAATTGTATGTTTAAGCTTGGTTTCGCCATTTCTAGTTCATAGAAAGAAGTGAAAACACTTGAAATATACTTTTTGCTCGTAAAATATGGGTGTTACGTCAAAATAAATTGTTTTCAAAATACAACTGGGCGACAACAGGCCTTTTTGAAGGTTTTCTAGTCATTTCAAGCAATTTTTGTGACCGTAATTTGACAATGTTTTTTTGTATATATTTTTGAAGAAACCTACACTTTTGTTCATTTCAGCCTGGAAGTCAATTGATGCAGTCAAAGTTGAAGTTAGTAAAGAACACTGAAGACCATGGTGTTTCTCTGGCAGTTCAAAAGAAAGGTGTCAGCTTAGGTGTGTTAAAACATACTCCGAAACATACGCAAGCAATACAGCAGCATCAACAACAAGCAGCTGATGGTCAAAACAAAACTCCGGTCAAGCTTAACTACACGAATATCAAAGTGACACCCAAGGCGACACAGGTAAATTAGTAACATTATTCATAAGAATTTTCTGACCACATACGCTATTGTTCTACGTATCAAGATAAAAATGCCGGAATTCAAAAAGATTCTGGATAGTCTTTTTTTTTTGTTGTACATGTCAAGATAAAAATACCGAGATTCAGAATTCTGAAGAGTCAGTTTTCATTACCTCCCAACATGATTGCATTTAACACATACATTATTATTTTGGGTACATATTTTTTTTACGGATTTAGTCGCAATTTTATGTCCATTTCTAATGGTCTGAGCAGTTATAAGAGGGCCGAGCGTCAAGCGTTAAGGTAGGCCACATGATCCACTGATGCTCATCAATATTATATTCTTCATGGTACTTCACATCAAAACGTAACAACAAATAACAGCTGATTATCTAGTTTCATTCAAAATGTCCCATATAGACAAGTGGCATACAACTCTGATAGAATATATAATAGAATGAGTTTATTTACCTATAAGTTACAATATTATATTATGAAGAACATAAAAAAAAATCACGTATCACTTGGACATAAAATATAGAGTCATTAACCCCGCAATAATTCAACAAAAAGAGTCTTTTCTGTTATTTTTCATAAAATGTTAATTCTTCATTCTTGGCTTTTTCAATTTGATTTAAGTAGCTTGGACAGTTTTTATCAAATTTATCATGATCATATTTGAGATCTTTAAAACTTCGTATGCATATTATAATTACTGCATGTGTACTTTTCACAGCCTTACATGCTTCCTTCATGTGATTTTGTTAGCAGTATGGACATGCTACAACAACATTGCGCTTCTCAGCCTGATGTCCAAATCGCCGACATTTGTAACATTGATGAACGCTGAAACATTTGTAGAATTTATGACTATTCCATCCCAGATATGTAGACGGTTTTTCGAGCAAGTACTCATTTTCTTTATTAGATGGTACTACTATCCCACTACATGCTTGGCTTCTAATTCTAGTACTCTTGTATTTGTGTATTATTTCCACTTCACTAGTTCTTAATACTTCAGGAATAATTTGCTTTTGAAATTTATACACATATTCTTTATCATCTTTCAAGTGAGCCTCGCAAACATTATCTTTCTGTTCAATTATACTGCCAATTTTTATTCCATACTTTTCTCCTAATGTTCCGCTTCATTGTTCAATTTTGCTAATGTAGTTTCGTCTTCTGTTTTTCCTATTTTATCAACAGATATTCTTATGTATGTAGGATTTAATTTTTACATTAAAACATTTTTTGCTTCAGTGTTACTTTTGTTCTTGCCTTTAGGTTTAACTACCAATGGCTCAACTACTAAAATTTGATCAAATCTGGTTTGCTAGCTATGAAAGTCCAAGTTTCTACTGTAGTTGCTGATATTTCCCCTGACATACACACGGCATTCCAAGATTAAGATGAAAATACTCTTGTTGATCAACACAGGAATCCCGGTATCCTGGTCCTTCTATCACCCTCACGCATTTTCTACATATAAAGATATCCCTTGCTGATCAGCTGTTGAACTCAATAGACTTCAAAACATGGTGAAATATCATGAAAAATCTGTTAGTAGCAGAAGCGGTAATAATAATAGTAGTGAGAAGGTGAAGAGGGGCAATTGGGCCACCGTTAACTCTTTTTGCCGACCCAGTATGTACCAACACTGTACTGTACACATGCTTATCTACTGATACTAGGTAACTGAATACTGAATAAGCCATTTCCAATGATGTGATGTACCCATTTGATCGTACACCAGTTTTACCATCTACCAGCACATGTTTGGTGGTAGGAGATATCACAGTGCGCTTTCCATGCTTGCTCAGATGTGTGAATTTCGAGCGAAATAGCTGAAGACAAACCAACGGTGACGCTCGAATTATTTGATGCTTGTCAACGGATCTAGGTTACAGCTTTCAAAAACTGCTGATATTGGTAAATTTATTCAATTGATGAGAAAATCCTTCCTTTAAAATTCAAAATCATGCAAACACATGTATACAGGGTGTCCAAGATAGGGGTTCTAAGCATGGGGATCTCAATATCTGCGAGAGATACTGGGTGCGTCATCTATCACTTTTTTTACCTATAAGTTTATGTGTTACCATGTGAGTCAAAAGTCATGTGGTATGAATAAATGAACTGTCAAAGGTATGCCATTTATAGTCATGGGTTCGTTTACAACACAACAACGCATTTTGGTTATCCAAACTTATTACGAAAACGGTCGAAATATAAAAAATACTTTTCGCAAACTTCGCACTAGTTTTGGCCGACATGGTCGCCCTACAGATCCTGGAATTCGTTGGATTGTTAATCGTTTTGACGTAACTGGTTCAGCTGAAGGTCGTAGACCATACCAACATGCTCGACAAGCTCGTACTCGTGAAAACATAGCCGCAGTGAGTGAAGTGTGCGAGAAGATCCAACCACCTCGACTAGGCACCGTTCGCAACAATTCGGAATTAGTGAGACCACTTTACTCCGGATCTTTCACATTGATTTACAACTCCATCCATCCAAAACCAACTAACACAAGAATTGAAGCCGGCAGACCATCAACAGCGGCGTGTTTTTGTTAATTGGATGCTGGAAAGAGAAGACGGATTTTCGGCCAAAGTGCTCTTTTTTGATGCGGCTCATTTTCACCTCAATGGGTACGTAAATAAGCAAAATTGCAGATTCTGGGGGGCTGAAAATCCATACCAATATCATGAACAACCTCTCCATCCTGAAAAAGTGACTGTTTGGTGCGGATTATGGGCTGATGGCAGCGTTGGACCATTCTTCTTTGAAGATGCCGAAAAAACGGCCATTACCGTCAACTTGTTAACAGACTTTTTGTGGCCACAATTGGATCGTATTGGTGCCGACGATCTTTGGTTTCATCAAGACGGAGCAACGGCTCACACATCTCGCCAAACAATCGCCTTATTGCACACGAAATTTCAAGACCGCATAATTTCACGAAATTCAGATGTCAGTTGGCCCCCGAGATCGTGCGATTTAACACCTCTTCACTATTTTCGTTAGGGATTTTTGAAAGGAAAAGTGTATGCGAATGGTCCCCGGACAATTCAAGACCTTTCAGACTGAAATTGCGGCCATGGACCCGATTATTCTGGAAAAAGTCATTGAAAGTTTTGATGTTCGGATGTTGGTCTGTAAATGAAGCCGCGGTGGTCACATGACTGATGTCATTTTTCATACATAAATGGCATAAACCAACCTTCATTTATCAATAAAAAAAATTCGATTTCACCTCGTAAAGAGCGTGTTGATTTTTCAAATAGAAAAAAAGCAATAGATGACTTACCCTGTACAACTGAGGTTAAATTAGAAAAAAGCTGTGTTCTTTGGGGCGTATTTACATGCCTTTAGAAACTTGTAAAAGTTTCATGGCTTACTGATATTTGAGAAAAACTAAAATTTGGTCATATCATATCATATCACAAAACTAATTAAACTTTTCCATTGGCACTTTTTAGGCACTACATGATGTTGTTTTTAAATGTTGTGCCCGACGATTCGTTTTTGAGAAACCTTAAATATGCAACGAATTATTTCGCTTGTTATTATGTTATTCACATTATTAAGAATGTTCGATATGACATTATTTTTTCTCTGTCTCTAGGCTCTCAAAGAATCCAGGGCCAAGCTGTCCCAAACCACACCTCAATCCGGCAACAAGACACCTGCTGCTTCTCCTTCTACCACTAAGTCTCCTAAATTGGTGCAGAGCACTTTAACAAAAGCTTCGCCCCAGGCTACGCCTGTAAAGCCTAAAGATAAGCCCGCTATAGTCAAATCGCCTAGGACGCCAAAGCCAAAACAGCCGGAGGCTCAGCAGACTGCTACCCCCAAGCAGCAGGAGGATATCAGAGAAAATGTGGAGAAGACGTTGTTTGAGCAGTTGACGAATAGGTAGGTTAGACGTGGTAACAAATAACAAATAATCCATTGACTGCTTATGACTTAAATGTCAAAGTTAACATTTGCCATCCACTACTAAAAAATATAGACTGCAGTGGTCGATTCTGGTGTGATAGATGACGCTTTGCGCTGTCTTACTTCAATAGACCGTACCTCCAGCATAGAAGATAGTTGCGATGCTTTCGATCGTTCGTCCATAGACAAAAAATCATATCTAGACCATGCTGATGAGTAGCCAAGAAGCACGAAACAGCTGTCCATGGTTGACTGTCTTTTTGGTCAGACGGACAAAAGTATCATGTGAGTTCAGGTGTAAGCAAAGCCTAAAGATGGCCTACTTTGACATACGAGTTGCAAAATCACACGTTCCAAGCGCGATTCAGTGATATAGCATAGCATCGGTATTCAAGGTTGGAGTAATTCGACAATACGAACAATTCATCTTTGAATATTGTTTTTCAATTACAATTTTTCAAGAGGGCATACTTGTTTGGTGCATCATATAAAGCAAGTGATAAATTGATAGGTTAATTTATTTTATTTGACACATAAAATATAGTCACGTTCCACCAAACGTTCGTGCTTTTGATTTATATCAGCCTGAAATTTCCTACAATTCAAAAAGAAAACAGCTTCACAACAGGAGAACGCTGACACGGAACAGTAGAAATCTAGAAATACCCCAGCCTTTCTGAAGGAAAGAAAAGACTATGAAAATCAAGGAGGCCTACAATTGTATGAATGACTGACGATAACGGCCCTTATAATCCTCGCCTTGTTTTTCGTTCAGTGGCTCTATCGTTGACTTTAATAGAAAATCATACTCCCTCTCTTTTTCTACTCCCCGGTTTTCTATCGATTCGAAAATGGACCTAACATCTGTACAAATTTTCGATCCAAAATTATGAAAGGATCTCGGTGCCCAAGAATATCTCTTCCAATCTCCCAATCCTCAACTGCCTCCTCTACATCCTCGTTAATAATATCGTTCCAATACATCAATTGATTGAAATTATCCATTTTTTGCAATATGTTTAGCGGGTTACCTCAGTAACAATGCCAAACACGTCAATTTTTAGGTTATATAGCGTTATTTTCTACTAATTTTTCCAGTTTCTCTTGGTCGGTACCAAGAGAAATCGTGACTCGCTAAAGTGAATTCATTTCTATCACTTTTCGGTAGAATTGATTTCTTGGCGAACACCCACTTTTTACCACTTTCTCTCACAATTTCTACTCCCTCAAACTCAAGAATAGAGGTCCATGAAGAGAAATGCTGCTTCTCAATAAGGTCTTGCGTTCGGTAATGGCGATTTTATGATTTAGTATCAGGCAGCCGTCATTTGAATAGCATTCTCAGCATCTCGGTAAAAAGAAAAACGTCAACTTCATAGGCACTACTAATCTAATATACCGAATTAACGTCGCTGAGATTCCTCAAAAATAAATTAAACATGAATCTTACGGCTACTTCAGGGACTTGATTTGAGTTGTAGTATCGATATGTACATTTAAGAAGTATCAAAGTAACAAGACGCTTGAAGAGAAAGAAATGTAGCACATCATGTTGCACAAAAGGTTTGCAATGCATAGAAAATATAAAATTTTTATTAATTTGAGGAATAATAATATCACATGTATAAAGTCAAGATTGTGCAAAATTGAAGTCGAAAATCAATAAAACATCCATCTTGGGGTTACGGAATAGAATAACAACCAAGTCTCTTGGAAGCGAAAATAAAACAAATATAACATACTTACCTATGAAATGAAACATGTTCTTCTGCCTTGTGGGCTATAATTTTGCATATGTAGCAGTGTCTCACCATCAATGATTTCACAAACACAAAAAAATCACTGCGGGTGAAAATGAAGAAACTTCGATTGACAAATTGCTCCGTCAACACGAAAACTCACAATGACACATTCGAATGATGAATGAAGAGTTTACGCGTCTTATACGATAACTACGAAAGTGACGTTGTCGATTGTTGCGGCTTCAGAGTCGTCCGACTAGTCAGATTGCATTTTTGCTAAAAATTACCTAATAACAAGTAATTTTTCTCATCACATCCCGTTGTTAATTTATTAATAGGTACTGAATACCAACTATAGATAGGGAGCATTTTCAGAGATTTATTAACCGACGAGATGTCTGCAAAAATCCGAGTGTAAACAGATAGGTCTATATTTTTTTAATAGTCGGTGACCTTTACATATGCGGTACCTGTGATTGTCCAAACTCTCTAATGTCTGGTGAAAATAGTTCTGATATGCTACTGAATGTTAGCAGATTCACTATTGTTCACAGTACAAAATTAACAGAAGTAGTGTTTTTTTTTTCAAAAATGACATAACATAAATATGTAATCGTGTTTGAGAAGAATTTGTGCTTTTTAAAAGATTCGCAAAATAAAGTAGGCTATTTGTTATTTCTGGAAGCAATTTGGAAAACCTACCATTTCCTAATATTGAGTTTCTTATTATGTAAATCTATTTCAGGCTGAAGGGTTGCGAGGATTTGAAACTGACAGAGGAAGAAGTAAAGAATATTTCTAAAGAAATCGAATCACAACTATTCAAGTGTTTCGGAGATACTGGACAGAAATACAGGAATAAATATAGAAGTTTGATTTTTAATATTAAAGATGCAAAGAATCAAACGTTGTGGAGGAGGATTTGCGAGAAATCGATAAATCCTTATGAACTGGTGAGCAAATTCAAAATTAATGTAACTGGGAAACACTTTTGTGTATGTATAAAGGATGAATGATCTTGTATAAAGAGGTGTATGTACAAATTGTTGAAATCTAGATATCACCATTTTCTGACGTTTGCATATTTCATATGTTCTATAGTTGAAACTCTGAATCTAGTAAAACTTATAATTCTAGTCACACTAGAAATTGTTAACAAATTGATAGCATGGCTAATAGTTTAGTCAAGTTCCTAAAAGATCAGTGATTTCAGAGTATTTTTATATCTATATCATTTCGTTGATCTACTATTGATTATAATCCAAGTAATACCTGGTTTCTGCAACGATTTTTATTTTGTGTTTAGTACCTTTTGAAATTTAAAGGTGGATATTTCATTTCAGCGTGTTCCATAGTTACATTACATATGTCAATGCTCTAAAGAAACACAGTGACGTTTAGCAAAAGTTTTATTTCACATAAAGTAGCTTTAAGGATAATTGTGAATTCCAGTTATCGATCAACGTGCAGAAATCGCTTCAAAAATCTACAAATATTACCATTTTCGTCAATTCATATGTTTGAAGTCTTACGTGCACGGAAATTTAGACAAATATGAAACCTTGTAGAAAAACAGCCATGCACTACATAATGTTAATTACTTAATAGCTCATTTACACTCGTGTATGAGTCGCGAGAAGAGGCGCGAGGCGAGCCACGAGACAGGAGTGCGAATAGACGCTCACGCCTCGCCTCGTGACTCGCAAGGCTCGAGTCTGTAGCGGTTTTTTGGTCACGAGTCAAAGTACCTCGCGAAAAACGCAAGTGTGGCGTTTCGCGCTCTCGCTTAATTCAGGTTTCAAACGTTGTTTCGCGCGGATTGTATGCTTTAAAACTGCTTAAATGGATTGGTCGCAACAAGAATCGTTTCGGTTTTTAGAATTATTTCAAAATGAACCGATAATTTGGGATCCCAAACATAAATTCCACAAAAATAACCAAAAAGTAAACGATGCATGGACGAAATTATCTCAAGACATGTGTGACAGAGTGACCTCGAAGGTTCTGGGCTGATTGGGTAACCAACGACCTTAGCCCTAAGGATTTCAGAGTTACAGTACATCTGAGTCATTCTTATGGATGACCAATATACTTCATTGCACATACATCATTATTTGTAGATTACATCGACATTCATTTCTTTGAACAGGTAGTCCAAGTAGGACCGAGTTTATGCAACGATTTTCATTTTATTTTGTGTTTAGTACGTTTTGGAATTTAAAGGCTGATGCAGTCAGAACTTTGGTGATCGTTCACCACTTATGTTTTAGGTGTTCTCAAAAATAAGCTCCATAGGTAATGTAATCTCGTTTCAGGTGAGACTGTCACCAGATGATCTGGCCAGTCAAGAGCTGGCAATGTGGAGGGAAAGAGAAGCCAAACACCAGTTGGATATGATCAAAAAATCCGAGCTAGAGCTGCTTAACTGTAATAGGCAGTATGTGTTGAAAACGCATAAAGGTACCACTCTTTTTTTTCAATAAATTAATGAAATCAAAGGAACTGTGTAACTATGAAAGACTAAATGATACATATCAAGGAAATGCCTTTATTTGTAACTGTGGTTCTTACTGCGATTCTTACCACTTACAAATTATATGTGGCTTGCACTGGCTGTGTGCAATGTCTTCTTTGTTGTTTTTTGCTTGTGCAGACAAGTCACGTCCTGTTCCAAAAGTGCATATACATACTCTATTCTATGAGCCTGCAACCCTCAAACCATGCTAGGGAAATGCGGCTTGCGGTGGTTTAGGCTAATATCAGCAAAACCATTTCTCCATATTATGTGACGTTCTCATCAGGTTGGCTACCTGAAAATCTTTATAACTAGTGCGAATTTTGTAATTAGAATTGGAATTTGTTACGAAGTCGGTAGGTTGCTCAACGTCTCTATGCCTGAACAAAAGATATTTCATTCTTGCCTTTCTTTCAATGTAGTCGAGTTCACGTGATTTACTTTCTCCTTTCTTCCACTGATGTCAATCAGTTACTTTTATTTAATGAGTAAGTGCTATTTCTTGTTTTTTATTCACAATGCTCAATAATGCGACTGTGAAGCTGGATGTACAAAAATATAGTAAACATTTTTTTCGCATTTCAAACAATGCGGTTGTATATCTTTTTCATGTACAGTTTTTTGTACTTTTATATTTTATCCCACGTACCTTCGAAATACATGTCAACCTCTTAACCCGCACGTACTTTGAGGAGTGACATGTCCTTTCCCTTCACGTCGCTCGATTGTGCGGGCTATTATTCGATTATTGTAACTTCACGTTTTACATCGATAATAAATCCACGGATTTCTTGATGAATTAATTTCGTAGGCATATTTCAAAAGTATAAAACAGGAATTTGACGTCAAATAAATCCAAGAAGCTCTTCATGGATTTTCTTCACGCGATTAGTACTTGTTCTAATTTATTCCAAGTTAGACGTCAAATTAGAAGGTGCCAGTCTTGTTTTCCTTTCCATTATATTAAACAACTTTTCAATTAAGTACATAATTATGGTAAAACTGTAGTATTCAGTAACATGGTTTCAGTTTATGAGACAGTCGCCTCAAAATCAAAACCACAATACATAAAAAAAACAAATTATTTCTAGCAAGAACTTGTTATCTTGTTGGCAGCACTGTGTTCAAATAATCCATGAATTTGTCCACTGATGGATTGACCTCAAAACTTAATCAAGATGACCTTTAAAACTTCCATCTGAATAAATTCGTAAATAAATGTTTGATGTAGAACGGGAATAACGGAACCCAGAGGCAGAGTTAGACCTATATAATGTCATTCCTGTTGCAGATTGATCAATAACGTAAGAAAGTATGATCACATCAGCTCTTATTTAAATAAGAGACACGAAATGGCTGAGAGTAAAATACCTGTATGAGTTACACTTAGTCACGTATATACATCAGCTTTTACTCGCAGCCATTCCTTCATTTTTAAAAGATAAACTGATACGTAGGAGTAGTATTCGCACAAGAGATATTCGTTTAGCGGGAACTCTCACAATGCCTCTCCACAAGACAACCTTCTTTCGTAAATGATTCACATACAACGCAGTTATTTTCTGTAACGAACTTCCATCACCCATAAAATTGCTAAATTATGAAAAATTCAGAAAACATATTAGAATATTAATTTTGGATAAATATACTAATTAGTTGTTTTTTAACCTTTCACTTCACAATATTTTTCAATGTAAAATTTAATTTTTCTAACTGTAAAACAGTTATAATTTATATTTTAAACACAACTTATTTATACTATTATTATCAAATTAAATAATTTCACTTTTTAAGTTACGTAACACGAATGCGGAAGACTTTCTCCTCCCTTCTCTTTGCTTCCCTGCCCCTCGATGAGCGAAACCTTTATATCACATTTATCTCAACTCCTCAAGCTTTGTGATATTTTCAGGAGAGCAGATTGTAGAAGATGATCGGGTCGACAAGGTGGACAATACAGAGGTGATAAAAAGCCTGACGGAGGGATCAACTTTGGAAACGGTAGAGACCAAGTCTGAAAAAGACAAGAAGAGCAGTTCAAAACATAGCCACAAGGATAAAGATAGGGACAGGACAAAAGATAAAAAATCCAGTCATAGGAGCAGACGATCTTCTAGCAGGGATCGGAGCAGAAAACGATCGAGATCCAGGTCAAGGAGTAGGGATTACAGGAAGGATCACAAGAAACACAGATCAAAAGATAGGTCAAGAGATAGAAACAAGGTAGGAATTTATAGTTCTTTTCACCGTTTTAGGACGGTTGGTACCTGACGTGTCGTATGGAATAAGTAGACAAATTGTCTAACTATACCATGAGTAGAGCCTAAGGGAAAGTGTGCACATTGCGCTAGCTGATTTGTAACTCAGCTGCTACTCACTCTTTCATACAAATGCGTTGTTTTCATTCACTCTCCGAAAATTGTCGTTGTAAATCTCTGAGTTTAGATAAACAAACGTCCCCGCATAGAGGCCCATTTCACATGTAAGTGTGAGAGATGGATGTATGAAAGTAATCCTTGTAGTTTTATTATGAGCCACCAAAATGTGTTGCCTTCCTTGAGATTCTGCTGGTCGTGACTCACATTCTTCCAGCTTTTCGCTGCCTATCCAGGCATTTATGCCTCGCTGGCTAATAAGAGCACGCGAGTTTGAACATATCGCGCTGATGTTTATTTTGACGAGAAGTCGTTTGTCATCTGAGCGGTCCGCAGGACGTTGGCTTTCGACTGGCAGAATTGTTTTCTTTCTTCAAAATCTTCCTGATTGACGAAGGAGATTTGATTACAATGTAGCATCTATCAGATTGCGGTATTTTATGTAATGAAGATGTGTTCGTACTGGCTTTCCGTGATATCCAATCGCTTATGTTTCAGGAGAAGAGTAGGGATAAAGACAGGCACAAGAAATCACACAAAAGTTCTAAACATAGAGATAGGGCTACCGAGGAATTGGAAAAACTGGATAAGAAGTCCAAAGAGATTTTAGAGAACTTGAGGGAGAGCAAAATCTTGCCGCCGGTACTGCCGCCAGAACAGCGGCTTTGGAAGCATGTGACCTTAGCGGACGACGAACCAGGTAAGGGTAAGTTCTATGCGGCTTGGTTTTGTTTCTATTGTTTTAGCCGTATTCTGCCTTTGTTGAATGGTCGTATTAAGTTGGATTGTCCGTATAGTCGCACTTGGCAATTGATGTATGTAGGTGAGGTTGTACTGTTTGTTGACACTAACACATTATTTTCCATCATCTATTTCATACTAACAGTATCTAATGTCATAGAAGAATTTACGGGGAGGGGTAAGAGAGGGCGGCTACGAGAATAAATCCAACTCGTTTAGCACATACAAATATATTTTAATACTGGGACCACCACGAGAGCCCAAAACATAAGCCCAAACCATGGGGTTATAGGGGAATACAGGGGAAGGGGGAGGGCGCCACTTGGACCTTAGTGAAGGAACACATGTGCATACAACATACACTTATTCTGGTCCCCCTTTGAAAACCGTCGGGTGGTACCTCCGCGTTTAACAGGCAGAGACCGCAATCAAAATATCCATAGCCAAGAGAAAACTTCTCTAATATTTTAATGCTTTATAAATTGATTGGTACATATGATCCTTTGTATTTTTCGTTCATATGTACATTTCTTTGAACATAATCATTTCCTAACACAATTGAGTTTAGTTATTTGTGTATGTTCTAAAGCAATGATATGTACATACTTATATATATACAGGGTGTCCGCAAAGTTGGGGTTTTCCTTTTCAGAAACAACTGCCCTTGAAATAACAAAGGTAATGTGTAGTGAAACGAGGGCGACCAAGTAAAAAAAAATAAAGGAAAAAGTACTCACTCTCCAGTTGACGAGAAGGGCTAAGTATGTCTCTGCCCGAAATCATACCACTCCAACAGAAAATGAAATCAGCTGATGCGCTACCGAGCAGACGTAAACAGTTTAGGTATTGCATCCCGTCCAATCGATTTGGGAGAATAAATGGTCCAATGCCAGCCCAAACATTCACCGAAAATTTTTGTTGATAATTATAATATAATTATTGTCATGTTGATGCAACAACCACTCACAAAACCGCACTCTTGCTGGAAAATCGTCAGGTTGAAGGGCTTGTACACGTTGGACGTGAAACGGGTACAGCCCCTCTTCACGCAGCGTTTGTCACACTTTAGTTTTTGATACTTGCACTTCTCTAGCCACGTCTCTAGTGCTTGTTGTTTTTTGAAACGCAATCGATTATACGAGTTCGTTTACCTCTACACGCGTGACCGTAACCGTCGGTTGAAGGTTGCATACTGACCTGACACACTGACCCCGACCCCCGACCCAGTTCTGTCGTTGGGTTGAGCTAGTGTCCTAGTACCAGTTGGGGATATCGCGAGTCGCGGCTACAGGACGGTATTCAGATATTTTTGATGTTGCAGAGCCCTTTATCTCGGTTCCCTTAAGGCGGCTCCGACGCAGTGAGTTTCAGGCCATTTACAAGGGTTTAGCTGCTTCGGAATTGACGCTCCATTTTTCTATATATTTGAATAAAATTTATACAGTATGTTCAGAAGACAATTGTCCAGGGTGCTATAGAGCCACTTTTCTAAAAAAAAATTTTTTTCAGGAGTTATGGTGGGTGGAAGTGCAGATAATTGTTGTTCGACTTCTCGATTTTTTTAAAAATAACCCAGAGGAAAAAACGAAAAAGTGGCTCTATAGCACCCTGTGGAGTCTTGTTTTTAGTGCACTGTGAAAATTTCATTGAAAAATATTCAAAAATGAAGCGTCAATTTTGAAGCGCGAAAACCTCTGCAAATAGGCTTTTACACGAATTTTATACACTATCTCGTGCTGCCAGTCGAAGCAACGCGGCGGTGTGTAAGGACTAAGAAAGGACGTATTCAGATAATTTGTTGTCCCAAGTTAAACAGTAGCAGTTTTAACGTCGGTCGTTCGAGATAAACATCGGACCATTAAGTGATATTTTTAATAGACTTCAATGAAAGAGGGGAAATTTTTAATCGATTTTGATCATTTCTTTTTATACAATAGGCCATGCTTCAGAGGTGATACCACAAAAAATCATTTTTGTTCAATCACTCCAATATGGATATCAAATGGAAGCACTTGTACAAAACAGTAATACGAAAACAGTTTCAAATCAAGATGGCGGCCGTTACAAAATGGCGGATAACATACTTGCTAATATCTCAAATAAGAGTCGTCGCCTTGTAGAATACAGTACTTCACTAAAAATTTGATTCCAAGATTGCCGCCGTTTCGAAATTGCGAGTTACATACTTTTGTACAAAACCCCCAATTTACATATCAAATACAGAACTTTGTGACCAAAAGTTTCCAGGTGGTTCCAGGGTCATTGGAGGCGGTAATCTTTTTAGTTAAAAATAATATAGTGAACGCATTTACCACAAATAAAATGTCACTTGCTGTTTAGCTTTAACCTTATGGAGTATCGTAGAATAAACTTAACACGATAAGCGTCATGAGATATAATGCGTGTGTCGCACCTCATTTGGCGCTTTGGGCCTCGTGACACACATGATATGTCTCACTGCTGGCAGTTATATTTGGCCGCGTAACGTAAGACGTGTGCCATGCTGATGTGATTTTCTTACGGGAACCAAGAGTCCGTGGCCTGAGGGACCAAATTATACTGAATTGGAAATGAAAACATTAAAAAACACGTTGTTTATAGAGTTTTACAAAAAGAGGATATTCTACAAATCTAAAACAAAAAGCAAATCTTATAAAATAATCAGACATTCTCATTCAAAAATGAACAAAGTAATTTCACAGCAAATCAGTAAGTTATGGTAAATGTCGATATTCTAACGAACACAAATATGGAGGAACTCTTATAAACTAAACAGATTGACAAAGTCTTATGCAGGGATAAACAAAATACTGGTATAAATAAACAGTAATACAGATAATAATGGAATTACTACAACTACTATCTGATTCACTACCACTTGGAGAATACGCATCAGATAAGTATACATCCCCACATAACTCAGTACTGCCACTCTCTTCATCCGATAGTATTTCATTACACAATTGTTCAAGCCTTTTTTGCTCCGCTTCGTAATGCGACATCACAAATTTGGTATTCAATAATTTATAAACAGTAAAGCAATTTGGACAAGATGACGTACAATACCAACAACGCTTCAATAATAAATGACACGAAACAGTGCTCAACGCGCGACATGATGCAAGTCTTGACTTGCAAAAAACGCGACGCGACTTATGTGCCACGCGACCCGACTGGTCTGTGGGCCACGCGACATACAATTAGTACCTCAGAAAAAAAAAATCAAAAAAGGGGAAAAATCATAGGATTTGAGAAAAAAGTCAAGTCAAAATATTAAACCGAAACTTAAAACAAGCTAATTTGACAATAATAACAGTTTGGCCCAGTGGACTGGATTTTCAGATTCTACTGTGGCGCTTAACGTGTCAATGTGACATTTCAATATTCGCCATCTAACAGACTAGATAAAGCTAGCCGATGCTACGTGCTATTGAGCCTGACGATTGACTTTTATTTAAATAAACAATATATACATAATATACAATAAATAGTGAACATCTGGTACTAGTACCAAAATGGAAAAGATTAGCATAACATCTCGCACATCGCTGCTAAAGCGAGATCTGCACACCGCATTTGCCGACACGAAGGGGTTAGTAACGGCGTACAATGTAATATGCTAATCTCTTCCATTTTGGTACCCGAGTACAGCAAAAATAGCCAATTCTCAAGAACTCTTTAATCAAATTCAAGCGGATAACCAAATGGAAATGGTATTTACCATTTTGGGTTGGTATTTACCGATCCGTTCAAGCGAGTGTAGTTATCAGTTTGGTTATAAGATCCGTGACGTCACGAATCAGCTGTTATATGTCATAGTTATCACCGCAAAATTGTGGTATTTACCCAACTCAAGAGTAGTTTTATATTTCTGGTTATTATTTGAAATGTGACAAGTTAGAATTCTGCCGGGTATTGGATATTGTTATTGTACTTCAGCTTCATTTTTGAGAAAATTGATACAGGCTGACTTCAGTTTTACCATAAAGTGGAGCACCTTATTAGTTATACTCATTTCGGTTGTTGGGGACACTTTAAATGTAGTTCCTATGCTTAACAAAGTATCCTGTGTAGCCATATACCACAAGAATATTAAAATATGGCCATATAAACTCACTAGATGATATCCACCTGTATACGGTTTTGCTAATTTCTTTTTTCATCATTTCTGCTGAATCAATAAATGTTTTCTTTGACATGCGGAAAAATTTAGAGAATTGAAAGTTATCATAGCTACAAAGCCATGGTTCCATCATTAAAAAAAAAATCTGCAAAAAACATTTCTCTCATGAATATTATGAAAGGTTTCTTATTTAAACTTTCCATATACAGTTGTAGACGAAAAAGCACCGATTATTAAGTGATAATAAAAACAATCAGAGATTATATACGCGCTTTTCTAAAATAAACAATTTGCAACAAAACCGCGGTTAAAACCAACACGTTCAAGCGATTCGTGTAACTGACGTCATCAACCCGTGTGTCATCTTGAACCATATTATAACCGCAGCACATAACACAGAAATTTTGGTTATTCGCTTGGATTTGATTTTTTTCTTGTTTAAACGGTTCTCTTGTGCCTTCAAGATGGGATCGCGGATTGGCATATTTCTGCTTTTTCTGGGATCGACCAGTTCTGGGAGCAAGCAGTTCATGTAGAAGAATTTCAATTTCTCTTCCATTTCATTTTTCCAGAAAACGTCATCCTTTCGAATGACGTCTATTTTCAAACCATACGGGGTCCAAACACCAAGCACACAGTACTCTCTTTGTGCAACGTGTAGCTGCCCTTGAATTTGGTAATACCACTTATGCTTTTTATTTATTTCATCGTTTATCCAAAACGTAATTTTTTTGTTCAGAATGCCCTCTTCAGGGGCTATTTCTCTAGCAGACCATGGACATTTAATTTCTAGCAGACCTTTTTCGCCTATCAAACCATCTGGCGATGCTGCCAGAAATGGATGGGTCCTATCAATAAACAACCCGCAAGATTGTACTTCTGATTGCGAATATGATTTCTCTATTTCTGATTTTGCCACGCTTTCATGCTTTTTTCCATAGTCACATGCATTGCTAAAGAATTCGGTTGGGTATATTATGGCGTTTACTAGAGCTCTGCAACTTGTTGTATCTCTTCTTCTACAAACCTCACCAAACCGAGACGCAGTCAACCTCATTCTTCGATGAAGACGCCACAAATTGCAATCCTGAGATTTTGTGGCTTGCTCGATCTGGGAAATTTTGGAGTCGGTTTTTGCAAGTTTTTTCAAGAATTCTACCTTGGCAGCCTCTATCGTCGTTGCTCATGTCAGGCTTCTCACAGAATTCCCCATAGGATGCGTTCTCTTTAGTATCACTATCTCTGATTTTAATTTTCCTTGGTTTCAGCTTCCTTTTCAGATTTTTGTGCGCTCTCCTTTCTTCAACTTTAGCAATCAAAGAGGTTGGACTGAAACTAGGGAGTAGCCGCTTTTGGATCACACAAACAGGTCGCTGTGTATTGTGGCTCACTACGGCTGCAGCACATCTTCCTTGGTAGGATCTCTTCTTGCAATAATTAATCCGTTTACCCCCAATGAATTTAGCTATGATTCAGTTAAACTGCTCTACAATACTATTATCGACGTCATGAAGTAAACTTACTGCATTTTTAATCAGAATTGCCAGAAATGATATCAGCCTCTGGTGCAAATCTAAAAAAAAAGGGTATACACACCTGAATTTGAAGATCCATGCCATCTGTCTCTGTTAGAGAATGCATATGCGAAACCTTGCTGTCATTTTTAAGCTAAAATAACATATAAAATATAGTTATAATAGTAACTACGTATAGTCTAATTTATTGGCAAAATGAATGCTAAAATTCATAATTGTTTTGGTACCTACTTTTCTCAACTCAACAATAACAGCACAACAATAACAACACAACAATAACAACACGATAATACAACAATACAATAACGGTAATAAGAGTAATAAGGGCTGAGTATACTATGCGCCAAAATAGGGAAACAGTCGTACGCTAGATCGTATATCCAAATCAAATCCGACTCTGTGCAATATGCAAATTCAACCAGGCACGCGAACAGCACACCTCTGCGTATTACTATCCTTTTCTAACGTAGAGCGCTTGCCTTGTCACAACGCCGTCCTACTAGCCTTTCCCTATCACCCCCCCGATTCCCCTCAGAAACTCTGCTTGACTGTGAGAGCGCCGTTAAGACATTGGTGTATATGGTACTAAGAAAAATTGCTTATGTTTTCAAGATCTACACGTCGTGTAAAGGAAACCCCCAACTTTGCGGACACCCTGTATATGCATGATCATGTAGTATGATTCGAAGTTCGAATAGATTCTTTGATTTGTTATTTGTCGGATTACAAGGTACTCTTGAAAATATTCCGCCCTTGAAAGTTTGTCGATTACCGCGGGTCCACTACATTTTAGATTCGCTACATTCAAAGCCATTACATGGAACTATTAGTGTTTTTTACGTTGTTGCACCTTGCTCAAATGTATAATTTATACAGGCACCAGCTTTAATCGTTATTTAAATCTGTATCATATAATGGCCATACTATACGCGTGTCGGTACATTAACAAGCAGAAAAATGTAAGCAAACACATAAGCATGTCGTGAACTTATCTTGCGATCGTCATTCTGGTAACATCGCTTGATCTGAGTACGACGAACCTTTTTCGCATCACAGTTTGATAACGTCGTTGGTCACTTTACGAATGATATAACTAAAGAGGGGAGAATATTTCAGGTAGTTTATAGATTAGAATTGATAACATCATTCTAATTTACAGCATTGAAGTTAAATAATCATTATTCTGTTGGTTTTTGGCTATGAAGTTAAATCTTTAAATATTATCGTTCATTGATCATTGACTCTTTTGATTCTGTGCTACCCCGTTAGCTCTCTTCCTTCCTCTCTTTTCTTTCCCTAAGTTCCTTGGCGGTGTCCGCTCCATAGATTCCCAAACCTAAGTAATAACTACGAGTAATATATGCCAATGCTCTTTCTGAGCTAAGCTCCTCCAACCTCTATAACAACGTTACGTCCAAATTGTATGAATTTCGTTCCACGCATTTATTCATTTCACTTAGTCTAACCTGAAATAATTAAGTGATTAAATTACAGCTCCGGAGAGTGACAGTGACAATGAGCCGACATCTACAGTCACAATTCCAACACCGCCAAGAAGCCAAGATGATGACTATCAGTCTTCAATCGATCAAAAGAGTGGTGAGTGAACTTAACAAACCCTTGTTGAAATGTTATTCACTTTTTTTGTAATTATAATGTCCTCATTAATTTATTTTATATACGTATTTTTCAGGTAAATTTACTCAAACGCATATATGACCCTAAGTTTCATATTGACAAAAGTCTTATAGCATGTAACATGATCTAATAAGACAATAAATTATCTGTCCATCTATCTTACTGATTAATGTTGCATGAACTGATACTTATGACTTATTTTCATTAAAGAAGATACATAGTAAAATGTGTGTAAGCTTTGTTTTGCACAAATTTTAGCCACATCAAAATTGATGTCACCCGTAAAATGTCGTTTATCATTCTTCAGCTACGTGTTTCCAAGTAAATCGATAATATCAGTTAATTTAACTAATTAATAGGGATGTTGATCAGAAAGTATGGAAATACGTTTCTTCAGAAAGAACGACTACTACATTCTAAAAATTATCGTAAATCTCACGACTATAAATACCGGCCAATCCATGTGTGGACGGAATATTACTCATAAACAAATACATTTTGGGAAAATCTATTTATGGCATGTTGTACTTGACATTTGAGGGCACCTTTCTAAAATATTGGTAATGATACAGGGTGTCCCAATTTTGACATACATATCAAAGTTGTAATTTTTTAATTGGAATGCCTCAAATTATATTGCATATTTGCGACATACTATCGGGTTTTGCTAATTAGCTACTGAGATGTAAAGTGTTTTGTCCTGAAAAACCGCCATTTTGAAATTTCTATTGCTGAATTTTGTATCAAAAAAACGTACGCACCTCAGCTTTTATCTTATTTGTTACTTTTTCGAATTTTCATTTTTGCTCATACAGGGTCGTCAAAAACGCAAATTGTTCTTTTTCTCAAAAATTTCAAATCCATCACCCTGTATATTAGTGCAAGTTTGGATTCAATTTCTTATAAGCTTTATTTTTTGGTATAAGGTTTGATTCAGATAAAATCCCTAGATTTTGAGTTATTAAGCTTTTACACCAAAATTAAGGAAAAAAACACATCATCCATTGAAACAAAAGAAAAAAAATGGGCTGGTTCCATATTGTCAATAAGAGTGCAGATTTGACGTAAAAACTAATAACAATCAGAACAGTATAAATCAGCTTCAAGCGTAATAGAGAAAAACAACTATAACAACAACATAAACAAACAACTATCGCTATTCAAGACCTAATCTACAAAAACTGCTCGAAAATATTCCCACCGTGTTGAATACACAGCCGTAGTCTTTGGATAAATTACCGTTGCACATCCTCAGCATGTGTTCCCTTATGTTCAGAAAAGAATCCTCAATCCTTTCCTTCATATTTTCTGGGATAGATGATGGATATCTATGAACCTCTTGCTTAACGTAGCCCCATAGAAAGAAGTCCATCGGTGTCATATCTGGTGATCTATTAGGCCATCAGACCGATCCAACGATTATTACTCCAGGTCTCCAAATAGTTTCGCACATTATTATGATAATGCGCAGGTGCGCCGTCATATTGGAAGTATATATGCATCCGAGTTTGCAGGTTGACATCCTCCAAAAGCAAAGGCAAATGCTCGATCAAAAAATTCAAGTATTCTGTTCCTGTTAATCTGTTGTCGTAAAAGAAAGGCCCGATAACTTGTCTGCCAATAACTCCTCCCCAAACATTCAAGCTCCATTTACATTGGAAATCTATTAGCCTAACTCAGTAAGGATTTTCCGTCATATAATAAATAGTGCATGTTATGGCTGTTGACAATACCTATGCTGTTAAAAGTTGCCTCATCGCTAAAAAGAAGCTTATCCAGGAAAGTAGTGTCTTCACTCACTTTATTTAGCATTATTCTACTAAACTCCATTCGAGCTGCGAAATCCTGAGGACGAAGGCGTTGATGCAAGCACAGGTGATATGAAAGTTCTGCATATATCAGTTTCTGCTCCAATTTGCCGTGGAGTTGAATGGGAATTTTCCTGCAACTTTAATAGAACCTCCAACTGATTCGCCTTATTGGTGACACATGGAATATTTCTACATTTTTTACTATATTCCACTGCTCCACTTGATTCAAAACGTTCTCGTAGTGTGGAGAAGAATGTTTCTGGCCTTGGATGTCGCATATTAGAGTGCCCTTGCTTATAAATGCGAGAGGCTAAAGTATTTTTTTGGGCTTCGCCCAAAGCGAACACCATATTCACCATTTCTTGCTCACAAAGCTAAATTTGACAATTTGTAACTGATCAACAATTTATTTGTTTCCAAGGATTATGTGATATTTTAGGGAATTAAGCCGTTCCATAAAATAATAATAATAACCGAAAAAATAGCCGTAAAAACCCTTGTGTCCAGTATAAAAGCTTATAAAAAATTAGATCCAAACTTGTACAAATATACAGGATGATGCATTTGAAATTTTTGAGAAAAACTACAATTTGCGTTTTTGACCACCCTGTATGAGCAAAAATTAAAATTCGAAAAAGTAACAAACAATATAAAAGCTGAGATGTGTAAGTTTTTTTTTTTGATACAAAATGCAACACTCCAAATTTCAACATGGTGGACTGAGGGGTTGCCGAAGTGGGGGGTTTTTATAGACAAAACACCTTATATCTCAGTAGCTAATTACCAAAATCCCATAGTGTGTTATATCAATTTTCTGCTTTTGAATTGGTTTATCCAAATATGCAATAAAATTTGAGGCATTCCCTTTTGAAAAATCACAACTTTGATATGTAGGTCGAAATTGTAAAACCCTGTATAATGGTCAATATTTTAGATACGTACCCTCAAATGTCATGTATAACAGCCCATAAATAGATTTTCCCAAAATGTATTTGTTTATGAGTAATATATTCCGTCCGCACATGGATGGGCCACCCTGTATTTATGTCTACGTTAGCAGTCCTTGGTTATTTTTATAAGGATTTGACAGATTGTTTTCTATAGGCCATCAGTCACAATATTAAATTTGTTTGAAACAAATGTGTTACTGAAGTTAGTGCTCAATTTTTAGGAACTAAAATCCTGCCTGTCACAGGAATACATTTTTGTAACAAATATAGGGCTATTGGTTGTTGGTCTAGGGGTTTCTTGATAATTAAACGAGTCGTGGATAACGCAAATGCTATATTGGATAAACACATAAATAAGATCGTCTTTAGCGCATAGAACGCCGTCTAACCGTGTCGTCGACTGACTCCCCTGCGGGCTGAGCTTAGACTTCGTGTTACTCGCTGCGCTGACTGACCTGACTGTTCACTGTTGACGACGGCTTTTTTTTTTTTTTTTTTTTTTTTTTTAACGAGAGGGGAATGCATTTACGCACCATACCATAGCACGAGCTACGGCGTGTGTGGGGCTCCAGGGTCTTGAGGAGATCACCTAATACCCACTAAACCCTAAACCTCCGCGTGGCCCGACTCATCAGCGTCTCGGTAGGCCATGTGTTGTGCGTGACCTGCGGTCTGCTACAACGTCTCCTCATGTGTTTCAGTCTCTGGGAACGCCGGGTTGGTTCCCTTTACCTCGCACATTCTATCGATGTCGTTAAGCGATCATCGATAGAGGGTCTGCTAGTTTCTCTTGAAACTCTTGTTTTCGAAAAATCAAGAGTTTCAAGTCCTCTTACCAATATGTTGTTCCTGGTCCTGGTCCTGGTGGGTCCTGGTCTTGGCGGGTCCTGGATGGTCCTGGTCCCGGTGGGTCCTGGTCCCGGTGGGTCCTGGTCCCGGTGGTTCCTGGTCCTCTGCATCCACGCCGTGGGGAGGGGGGGGGGAGCAGCCGCAAGTTCTCCTAGTCTCCTAGTCAAGGTTCCAGTTAGCGGGTGCCAACTGGGACCTTGGTCTGGGGTACCTGGTTCTGCGGTTGCGAGGCCTCTCGTCCGGATCGTAGTCCATGAGGAATCGTAGCTACTCGTTCGGGTGGTCCTGAGCTTTCTCGAAGGTCTTCTCCGCTTTTTTCCTCATGTACTCGTGGATGGTATCCCAATGCAGGTCTCTACGCAAGGTTGAGTTCCTTACGTAGGAAGTTGCATTGGTGGCGATCCGGAGTAGCTTCATCTCTAGAGCAGCAAGTCGCTTGCGGTAGCTGGGGGCAGCGTACCCCCAGACCGCGGAGGCGTAAGCGAGCTGAGGTCTGGCGATGGCCTTGATCAGCCGTAGCTTGGTCGCTAGCGGCATCTGGCTGTGTCTACCCAGTAATGGATAGAGTTGAGCCATGGCTGCTCTGGTTTTTGCGATGACAGCTTCTATGTGCGCTTTCCAGGTGAGGGACTTGTCAAAAACGATCCCCAGATATTTGACATTGTCGCTCCACTGGATATCTTCATCGAAGATGGATGCTTCGAGAGGTCTTGCAATCCTTCTTCGTTGAATGAAGATTGCCTGCGTCTTCTGGACGTTGATGCGGATTTTGCATTTCACGCACCAGTCCTGAATTTGGTCCAGTTCATCCTGTAGTCTCCTACGGATGATCTCGGGTCATCTATGCTTGGCGGCTATAGCAGTGTCGTCTGCATATAGGGCCAGCATTGTGTCAGCTGTCTTCGGCACATCGTAAGTATAGATGTTGTAGAGCAGGGGGGCTAAGGCTGACCCCTGGGGCACGCCTGCTTCCAGCTGTCGTCTTGTTGATGACGACGGCTCGCCTTCCTGGAGATTCTAAAGTGCGGCAGTGGCGTAGGCAGAGCATAGGCGTCTCGTCAACAAAAGGTTGTGGATTGACAAAGACATAAATAAAAACGAAAAATAAAATATCCTACATAAATTAACTCGTGCACATCCGGATCAAAGAAGTCTATATTTCTGTCTACTTCGAACTGTCATTTGTTATAATATCAAACATCTATTATAACCACATTTTTCGTTGTGGTTTCGGCCAGATATTTTCTTTCAGTTTTGCCTTCATTTCAGTGAGTCTACTAAATTCTGTACAAAATTAGTATCGTGATTGACGGCCTTTAGTCTACGTGAATCCGAGATATTATCTGCATATATTGGAACATCAGGCGTATTCCCATGAAAATTCGTTTTTCTGTTTATTCTAGAAAAAGATAAGAGTATCAGTGAAATGGAGAGAAGTACTTCCCCACCACCAAGAACAAAACCAACAGAACTTTGGACAGGAATTATTAATATGCCTGATGTGGCACAAATTTCCATCACTGCACATGAAGTGTCAGGTAAGTACTTTAAATGTTAAAGTTTAGACGGATTTGCACGCTATTTTTTGAGAATATTCAAATTCTTGGCGAACATGTCTCGTTTGTATAGTAATAAATAGTATTTACAACACATTATAAATCCTGGCATCATAGTTTCGCGAATTTGGGAATTATTTTTGACTCATCCTCATGTAAACAGTGTCACTAAAAGTTGCTTTCCGATTTTACGTTAGTTATATCTGAATAAACAAATTCTTGATTGTCAAACTAAAAGAATCTTACGCGAATTATCAATTATGTCCAAAATTACTAACTATATAGTTTACAATCCATTTTTAAATACAAAATTCACGTTTACGAAAAGAGACTTGGGATGGTGGTTGTAGGTGTGAGAACTATACGAATTAAATTTATTAAATTACACTCATAAGCTCTTGTTCACTTCGATCCCCCCGTTTTTAAACAACAATCTGATTCATCGGAATTCTATTCACTTAATATACCTCCGGTTTACTAATTTCTATCTGTCATAGGTGTTTTACATACAACGCGTTTACGCTGTATAATGACATGTTCCCAGCCATTAAATTCACTAAATTTCAATGGACTTAAAAATCAAATTATACAATTTATTTTAGAAAATCCACCCGCATAGTTTTACCAGTCTGACCCCTCACTTCGGAAAAGCTTTCCTTTTCGGTGTACGCTATACAGGGGTTTCAGAACTCTGGGATCAAACTTGTAGGGGTTATTCAGTGTAACAGTAGAAAACATTTGAGTATAGGGACCTATATCCGGCGCTTGTGTGTTGTTATCTTTAAAAACGATAACATTGTTTTTTGTAGCTGCATTCCATATCGCCTTAGTCGTGCTATCGTATTTGTGAAGTTTGCAAGAACTTAACAAAAATTAATTGTTGCTAATGGAAAACTTTACCAAGCAAGAATTGGCGGATATGCATTTAGCATACGGAGCAACAAGCTGCAATACACGAGCAGCAGCGCGGTTGTATCAAGAACGTTATCCCGAACGACAGCAACCGGGATACTAAAAGTTTATTGCTATTCATAGGCGGCTCTCCGAGACAGGCATGTTTAAAACCAACATGCATGATACTGGTGTTGCTCGAACCGTAAGAACGGTCGAATTTGAAGAATAGATCCTTCAGCGAGTTGCCGACGAACCATCAAGTAGCACACGTCACATTGCTGAGGATATGAATACGAGTAACGCTTCCGTCTGGCGGGTGCTCCACGAGCGACAACTTTATCCTTACCACTTCCAGTTAGAATTGACCGCAGCCGATTATCATCCTAGAGTTCAATTTTGTCAATGGCTTCTTCATCAAATCGCTGCACAACCAAATTTTTTACGCTATGTTTTATGGACCGATGAAGTCTCTTTCACAAGAGACGGTATTTTTAATAGTAGGAATAGCCACGTTTTCGACAGAAAAACCCCATGCAATTTTACCTAGAAAACATCAGCAACGTTGGTCTGTCAACGTATGGGCAGGCATTGTTGATGATTATTTGATTGGGCCATACCTTCTTCCGGAACGGTTAACAGGACCTATTTGCCGGCGTTTCTTGGAGGAAGTTCTTCCAGAACTTGAAAATGTTCCATTGAGCAAATGTGGTTTCAACATGATCGAGCGCCGGCTTACTTTGCTGTACAAGTACGTGAGTATTTGGCTCAGCGGTTTGGGCACCATTGGATTGCCAGAGGTGGAGCAGTTCCTTGGCCTCCTAGGTCACTCGATTCAACGTGGATAGATTTTTTCCTGTGGGGACATCTAAAGTCTTTGGTTTACGAAACTCCAGTAGAAACAGAGCAAGGCTTAATTGGACGAATTACAGCAGCATTTGAAATCATTCAAAACGAGTATCAAATTTTTAGTCAAGTCCGCCGAAATCATGTGCGACGTTTAAATCGGTGTATTCAGGTTGGAGGAAGACATTTTGAACAATTGTTGTGATGAAATCATGTACAAAAGGCAAAAATTAAATGCATTAAATCCTATTTAAGCAATTCATCCTCTTTCTAAATTTTAACACGTCTTAATGCGGTAGTGCCGTAGTGACACTTTTCCGGATATGGGTCCCTATACTCAAATGTTTTCTACTGGTACACTGAATAACCCCTAAAAGGTTGATCCCTTAGTTCTGAAACACCCTGTATAATTACTGTTACATGTTTATCTTTGCTACTGTTTTTTTTTTGTATTGTTCAAGGGTTAAATGGCAGAATATCTAAACTTTGCACTCACTAAAAAAATGTTTTTTATTATTATTATTACATATTATTATTATCATAAACGTTAAATTCAAAGTTATTTTAACATTTAACCCGATGATTCAAGTGTGAGAAATGTCGAAAGAGATTGACGTTAACGTTTACGTATGCGGTATTTGTGATTGCCAAAACACTGTAATATGCTTTATTGGTGATGTATTGTTGTTATTCCAGGTGATTGTACAGGATTGGGCAGAGAACTGGCGGCAAGCTTGGATATTGTGGGACGTATATCTCCAGATACGGTTTGGGATTATATCGGCAAGATGAAGTGTTCAAATAGTAAAGCCATATCGTTAATAAGATTAAGTGCAAACAATGTTGAAGAAAAAATGCCTTATCTGGCATTGTACAGTTATCTGAGCAGTAGGGATAGACTCGGAGTTGTAAAAAGTTTAAATAAAGCTGTCAAGGACTTCTATATCTACCCCTTGGCGCCGACCAAGCCTATCCCGCAGGTAAAAATTATCAGTTGTATACGATATAGTTCTTCAACCTAAATTTTGAATCAAACACCATTTACGCCGCGTCAAAACAAACACGGCTGCTTGATCGGAGAGTTCGCGCATTACTAGTGGTCAGTAAACTGGGCAGGCAATACGTTGACTAACATTATCCGTGTCGTATGTATTCGATATACATTGATAATTCCCGAAAAGTCGCGTACATGAACATGACAGCACGAAAAACCATGTCACTCATTTCCCTAGGTCTGTCTGTCCATTAATCCTTGGCATTGCTGTAACTTGGGAAGTACCAGTTAGATTTTGATGGAATTTTGACTCAAGGTTATAACTATGACAAGGACGAAACAACCGTTTTTTTGTTTTTGAAAATCGATCCATGGCGGAGAAGCTACAAGCAAAAGACGAAAAAATAAAAAAAAATGATATTTGAACCGCTCATATCAAGAAAAAATTTTCTAGGGGTTAAAAATTGAGGGTTGTAGGAGGTGGGGAAGGGTATATCTTACATGCGGTTAGTATGCTTTTACGCTTAAAACCTCGGTAATTCTATGCAGCTTTACCCATAGATATTTCATAGATTTTCCGTAAATTTTCAATACACACATCTCTGGATATATGTGTATCGCGGTCTGACTCATGGGTGGCTGGTGACTGGCGATGTTAGTCATGACAACGTTGCAAGATGGTCGGTACTGTCGATATGGTAGTGGAAACATTTCTAGATCGCGACGTGATCAAATGAGTGGGGACTATAGACGGGATCTATTTGACTGACTTGATCCATTTAATTTTCTAGTTATACTTGTCCCTACCTAACGTTATTCTCAGAAGAGCTAACTTGTGCCGAATATATTCCTCTAATCACTGCTGACGGTGCTGTGAGAAAAGTGGAGAGTCAGACCATATAACGCCATTTTTATTTTATTCTTAAAGGTGCTCCTGCCATTGAATGGTCCTGGTTTTGAGGAGCAAAGACCTGCTTTACTACTTGGTATCATTGTGCGAGATAAGCGAAAACGGCCATTGTTTGAAATGCCGCCGACGCCTTCCATTATAGCGAACTTATCGAAAAAGCCTAAGCTAGAGGTTCCCGCTGTAGTTGCTGCAGCTGTTGCTGCATCTCATTCCACTCCAAGGTGAGTTGCATTTGTACTGATTACTTGTATTTAGAATTATTAGTTCAGTAACGTTGAAATAAACACGTGTATCAAGATACATAAATGATAAATATCTTTACCAAGGCCTATGTAGGTGATTACTGAAGACTGTTAAGTGACAAGGAAATAACATGAACACACGACACACACACATGGATGCTTGAATAAAAAGTGACACGCAAACAGTTACTGGAGCAATAGGGTAACATAATTACCTGTGTGATATTTACTAGGTCAAAGACTATTAAATCATTCATATTCACGAATGAAATGAAAATGAATTGAATATGGAGATAATCGATCAAACCCGATCAGGTGAAGTAGATACACATGCCTATACATCCGGATATGGGTGCAACCTGAGAGACTTCTGAAAATGACTTAAACCACCGAAAAACCTGGGCTCTTGACAAAACACTAACTCGAGCGAGTTCAGACTTGTACTGAAGGCGGATCACATGTTCCCCTGTATCCCCTCCAAGTCCGGCGCCTCCTGTGTTGCCAGATCGAACGCTACGTTGCCAGTCTGATCACTTAATTTACAGACCTCGTAGGCCCCATACTTCCAAGGATACTTTATCGTTTCCAAATTTTTTAAATAATGGTATAGAATTTGAATGTGTGCATGTAATCTTTTGTGCAATTTTTAGCAGGAGCTATACGCCTCCTCCGCCTGCGGCGGCTCCCCCGCTTCCTGCCCCGGTACCGGCAGTACCAGCACCTGTACCACCGGTAGTTCCAGCAGCACCTACTCCACCGAAGGATCCAAGATTGAAGTTGCCGTTGCCGCCGCTCGAACCGCCTCCCCCTGATGATGGAGGTATGAGCAAAAATAAAAAATATTATGTGTATAATTACAGTAATGTGCCTCAAGTTAAAATGTTGTCGAGACTGTTCTACTTGACCCACTGGTTTTCTCAAGCTAGTATACTAGTCGACTGCATGTTTTTTCAAAATGAGCAAGCTTATTTTGAGGCTTGAATTGATTTTTCAGATGAACCATACAGCCCAGGTGATTCAAGTCCAGATCTTCCAGATGCATTGGTTACTCCACCACCTTCACTTGCACGCAAATCAGTTCCAGAACCAGTTAATGTTCCTCCGACCACCCCTCTTTCTGGTAGGTGTAAACAGATTCATCCATCATTTTTACTTTCCATGGGATAGAGACGAAAAATTTCGACTTGACCGTACACATTTGAAGTATTTGAAATTTTTTTAAATATTGACGTTATTATTTATTTTACCGCATATTGTTTTATACCCAAGCTACCGCATAGGCTGAAGCCTCCTCAGAACAGCATCTAGCATGAATAATGTAGTTGGGGCGGCAGCACCCCACACTTGTGAGCAATACACAATGATACATCTTATCTGGGCATTTTACAAAGTAGGAAGATTATTTGCCTAGCTTTTTCCCAGCAGCTGTCCGTATTGTCATGCCAGATCAAGTTCTCGGTGTAATACTAGAAAAATACTTTCAAGGTTATTCCAATTTCAAGTGAATATTTTTAAACAGAACCCCTTTCTTTATTCATACTGGAATTGGAAAGAAGAGCAAATTTTACGCTTGAAAATCACCTTAGCTATCGCCTTCAAGTTCAAATCAAGACATCGAAAACAATTTGCTCTAGCAATAATGTTCAACACCACAGTTTTGACCTTGACCTTGACCGCGACCTTCAAAGTCAAAAATGTCTAAAGGAAACCTCTCATTTTTATACTGGAAGTAAAACAAGCAGATAATTTTACGTCTGAGTGTGACCTTGACATCAGATTCAAGGTTGTGTCAAGCTTATATATTTGAGCTTAAGGTCACATTGAGACGTACAATTACCTGCTTTTTCAATTTGCGGTTCAGAAATGCGATGTTTCCATAGGAACTTTTGAATTGACCTTGAGGGTCATAGTCAAGGTCGGGAGGTTGGGAGGTCTGCGCAAATCACAGACCTGTGCTGTAGAACATGGTTTTTGATGCCGTGATTTTGTCAAGGTCATTATCATTTTGCCCGCTCGAAACCTTAGAACAGTTGTTTTTTCTAGAATTCTCAGGTTTCGAAATATTTAGGTGCGAATATTAAAATGGGACACCGTGTATGATAGGAACAATTACATCGGACATTGTCCGCTCAATATTTAATAAAAAGAACAAATGGTATACAATTTGTATGTTAATATCGCTTATATCTTTGCAGTGGTTCCCTCTGTGCTCCCTGGAAATCAACAAGAGCTCCAAAGACATTTAGATGAATTGAATAGGAAGATCGAAGCTTCAAAGTCTGAGATTTCTAATATGACGCAGAACATTGTGTCCGTCCAAAGGGAGATCGAAACGTCTGCGTTAGCTAATATTGCTCTGCCGAGTAATTTGCAGCAGATTCTTGACAGTATAAAAACTATTGGGGAGGTATGTATGAACGATAAGAATGAATTACTATTTACTGACGACGTTTCGGCCACACTGTGAATCAAACACATGAATCAATCTTGGTGTCTGTTATTTTATGTAAATGATAGCTGTTCTTTGCTATCATATAAGAAATTTTGTTCGACCATTTGCAGATAATAAATTAATAAATAACAGCAGAATAAGCCGGCGCGAATCGTCTTGTACTCATTGACGAACTATGTGGTTGACGATGAAGGTGACGTAACCGTGAGTAACTAAATTGACACCAATTAGGTTGTCTCTTAGTCAAACAATTTTTCTTCTACAATGTAAATCCATGATGCTCACTTAGATATTAATCTTCTAGACCAGGGCTGTCCAACTTGATGTGGCAAAAGGGCCACTTCAAAAAAAATGCAATTTGGAGGGCCGCATTATAAAATCTTTCTATACAACATTATTACTGAGTTTTAATAGGTATATACTATACTATATGGTATACAAAAATAGGTTTTCTATTATTTTTATTTATTCAAAAAATATGAAATTACAAAACAATCAGTGGGACATTTGAGGATGTTGGTTTTCTAATACTAATGCATCAATATTAACATTAATATTTGTTGTTGATAAACGAAGTAACTGAGTAAGTGACTTATCAGAGAGGGAACATCTAGACTTTGACTTGATAAATTTCATGTTGGAAAAGCTGCTTTCGCAAAGATACGTGCTTCCCATCATTGATCCCATTGTAAGTCCTAAGTTTCGCAAGTTGGGGTATCGTTCTCCTGGCAGTAACTTAAAAAAGTCCAAGCCAGTTTCAGTTCTTCCTTGGTAAAAGGATCTGATTGCAAATCACACAATTCCAGTTGAAGGTCTGCTCTGCTTACGTTCTCAACAGAAATTGTTAGTGGCTGAGTAAAAACTGAAATGTCGCTTTCGATTTTTTTAAAGTCACTAAATCGATTTTTGAATTCTTCTGCAATTGTGTCAATGTATTTTATATGAGGTAAATATGAAACTTCCTCAAAATCCTTCATTTCTTCGAAGTGTTCTTTACAACTTGGAAAAAATGAAAAATAATTTTTTGTAATGAAGACTTGAAAAGCTTAATTTTATTCTTAAACCCATTTTTGTGTCCAAATAAGTTGGCAATATTTTGCTGTTTTCCTTGTAGCTTCAAATTCAATTCGTTAAGGTGAGATGGCATGTCTGTTAGAAATGCAAGGTCTGCTAAAAATTGTGCATGTGCCATTTGATTCTTCATTTTTAAGGAAAATAGGAATTTCCTTGTGTAGAGCAAAAAATCGTTGCAAACACTTTCCGGCGCTTAACCAACGAACATCGGTGTGAAGTAACAAGTCCCCATATGTAGCATCCACTTCGGCCAAAAAATCACGAAGCTTTCTGTGAGTCAAAGCAGGATTGCCCCCTCTAACAATATTAGTTATTTTAACAGCCACTTTCATGACATTTATTTGACGTAAAGATTTTCCACATAAGCTCTCTTGGTGAACAATACAATGTATCATAGGTCAGTTGATGCTGTTTTGTTTCAATAGTCCTGCAAATCCAATTTCAATCCCTGTCTAGCTCTGGAGCCATCAGTGACAATACAGGAACATTTATCAAATACCCCGTAGTCTGACACCAACTTCTTCAATCGTTTTGAATAGTTCGGATAAAAATTACAAGCTGGCTAATGTCAGACAGATCAGTGCTTTCATCCAGGCATAGCGAAAAATATTTACATTTTTCAACCACGTCACGCAAATTTTTGGATACATGTTATGGTTCACCCGTCTTGCAATTGTTGGATGCGATACTGAGACGTTTCAAATTTTTCGGCAACTTTTAATTCATTGAATTGTTTCGCCATTTCTATTGCACACTTTTTGATAAGCACTCCATCACTATAAGGTTTTTTTGCTTTGGCAATTTCCAGCGCTATTTTGTAAGAGGCGGCAATATTGCACTTGTTATCAGAGTCAGATTTTTTCAAAAAACTTGTTTGTTGTTTTAGTTTTTTCTTGTATTCCATTATGATAGCCTGCCTCGAGTCCCCTGAATATTGCCGAAACGTTTTCTCGTGTAACGTAGTGTAATGTCGTTTCATATTATATTCTTTAGGAACCGATAGTACTTGCATACAAACAATGCACTGAAGTTTATTATTATTGTTGGAGATTAAATATTCTGATTCCCAACGGTCATTATAAACTCGATGTTCGTTCGTTATTATTCATTTCTGTGAAGACATATTTCACGGAGTATTTCACTTAAAAAGGCTTTAGAGTTGCTGTGTACTGAAACGCACTAGCACTAGAACAAAACTGCCTGTCCCGCTTGATTCAACCTTCTTATATACGCGCCCTTGGCTTCTCGAATATTCGGGGATGATCGAGAGATCGGTCCAATTTCCAGTAAATTCGCTGCGGCCTGCTATCGGTCGCCAGTGGCGTCACATGTTATTGTATTTTATCGTTAATGTAAGAATTGTGCATATTCGGTATTTGAGCTAATTTATAATTACATGTGATGTATACATGACCCGAGAAGCGGGCCGCAAGAAACGAGTTCGCGGGCCGCATGCCGCCCGCGGGCCGTATGTTGGACAGCCGTGTTCTAGACCACTGATTTTCTTATAATGTTACTTCCCACGTAACTGGCGGGGAAGTATTACAATCGCAAAAAAATTAGATAATGTTTTCTGGATGTTATATGACATGTACGTCACAAAAACCATGTAATTTCCGTCGGTCTTTCTATTTCTCTGTCTGCTTGTCTGTCCGCTAATTGCTTACCCCGCAATAACGTGCTTGGATTTGATGAAATTTGGACACTGTATTAAAGGGTCTTGCAATAGCTATGTCCGAAATTTGGCAACATCATGCTCGTTCCAGGTGGCACGGCAATCATTCCTCGATGTTTGTGTTCTGTCATAGTCACCATTTTACCATGGAGCGCTACACTGTGCAAGAACGCGTCGCAATTGTTAAAATCTATATAATATAAAAATTCGTTTTCTATTCGTCAAACTTTTCGCGAGCTACGAAATATTTACGGCCGAAATAGTCGTCCAACGGAGCGAACAATTTAACGAATTATCGCCAAATTCGAGCAAGTCGGTTCGGTTAATGATCAAGCAGTTCCTGTAAGACGCAGAAGCGCGCGGTCAAGCGAGGATATTGTTGCTGTTGCTGAAAGTGTAGCTTAAGACCAAACCTTTCGATCCGCGTCATGCACAAGCAATTGGCCTTTCTGCGACCTCGACTTGGAGAATTTTACGAAAAGACTTGGGCAGGTATCCATATAAGATCCTGTTGACGCAAGAACTGCAGCCCCAAGAAAACCAAGCGCGTCGTACTTTCGCTGATTGGACTCTGAGAGCAGATCTAAATTTTGGCAGAAAAATCATTTTCAGTGATGAAGCACATTTTTGGTTAAACGGCTTCATGAATAAACAAAATTGTCGCATTTGGGGAGACAGCAATCCATAACAGTATCAAAAGTCTCCATTGCATCCGGAAAAACTTACTGTTTGGTGTGGGTTTTGGTCAGGCGGCGTCATTGGACCGTACATCTTCCGAAACGAGAATGGCGAGACGGTGACTGTCAACGGCGCCCGGTTTCGGGACATGATAATTGACTTTTTATGGCCTCATTTGGATGATATAGACCTGCACGACATGTGGTTCCAACACGACGGCGCAACGTGTCACACATCGGCCATTACATTGCAGTTGTTGCAAGAAAAGTTTCCAGGAGGTTATTTCCAGAAGAGGTGATATGGAATGGCCGGCAAGATCGTGCGACTTAACGCCCTTAGACTTTTTTCTCTGGGGTTATGTTAAGTTGCTGGTTTTTCGCAACAGACCAACAACAATTTACCAACTGGAGAACATCATTCAAACCATTGGTGAGGTCCAGCCGGACTTATGCAGCAGAGTTTTACAAAATTGGATCTCTCGGATCGAGTCCTGAAAACGAAGGCTCGGAGGTCATTTGAATGATGTAATTTTTACAACGTAATGGTATTGAAAGTACTTTAATATGCAATTAAGGTTTCCATCATATGTCGCTCACAACTCGTTTTATTCTATTTTAAATTCCATACACACATAATGAAAAACCCTTTACTACTACGTCGAGGACCAAAAAGGTTTCGTGGTTTTTTAAAATCGACACAGCGGCGGTGGAGTTAACGGCAAAAAACGAATAAACAATAATCGCTCAAACTTTGTTTTTTGACGTTTGACATTTTTGCAGAGGTTAAAAATTAGAGGCTGGAGGTTGTAGCGGTGGGGGAGGGTATATCTTTTATGCGCTTCCATCCCCGATAATTCAACGCACCTGTTAGGAATTTTTCACTCATCATAGATTTTCTCGTACATTTTCCTTCAAAACTGAAAACGAGCAATATTTTTAACAAAGTCGTCTCTGGATATATCTGCATCGGGTTCTGACTGTTTGACCGATGGGTGGCTGGCAAGTGGCGAGATTACTCATAGCAACGTTTCCAGATGGCCGGTACTATCGGTAGGGCAGGGAAGAAAATTTTAGATCACATAGTTGCTCAAATATATGGGAACCATGAACTAATCATATGAATCTGTTTGGCTAACGTGATCCATTTAATTTTTTGTTGTATACAGGGTGTTTCAGTTTATTGTTGCATATCTTTAAGATTCGATAGAACTTTTAAAATTAATGCGTAAAGTCTACATAAACATGGGTCGAAAAATGCGTGGCTACCGAAATACAGGGTGTTTAAATTTACTTTCTAAAATAGTTTTTTTTTTAAATATTTCGAACAATATTTGATGTATAACAGTGAAAATTGGTATACAAGGGTTTTTTGGTACGACAAAACGAACCATAGTTTTACTGTAGCCGCTAGAGGGCGCTCTCTACTGTACCTGTAGTGTATTTAAATGACCGAAAAACTTTTCTTAGTGCAATTTTTTGCTTTTTGAATAAAAAAACTGATTCTTCGCACTTTTCACCATAAAAAAGCTCTCCTCTGAGTTTTCGTTATAGTTAGCCGTTTTTGTGATATTTCGATTTTTAAGGTTCGATGCATTTTTAATTATTTATGGGAAAATAATATCTTTTTTTTTACATTTTCGATTTGGGCATTACAAGTAATTAAGATGATCGTTTAGACTGTGTTTTTAAAATGTGTGTTTTTAAACACAGCAATAATTCCTAACTCCAAATAAACACAAAAAAACAGAATATTAATTTGTTTAATTTTCCAGTATTATTTTTAACAAATTAAATTAATTATTTACAACTAAAATGTTATTGGATAGTTAGGACAAACATACAAAATCTAAAGTAGTTGCTCGAAATGTAAACCCAATTGTTCAATACACAATCCACATCTACGAATGATCGAACGTGGTATAGCATTATTCAAATAAGGTCTTATTTCATCACATGCATTCCTGATTCTGTCTACATATTAGCATATCTCTTGTGGTTACGGGAGTCTGGTACACTTTTTCTTTTAGAAATCCCCACACAAAGAAATCTAATGGATTTAGGTCAGGGGATCGTGGAGGCCAGGCGACTGGTCCTCCACGGCCGATCCATCTTTCTGTTCGTCCAGCCAGTTTCTAACTATTCTCGAATAATGAGCTGGACAACCATCAAGCTGGAACCAGGCCAATCTTCTTAAATCTAACATTACATCATCCCACATATTTGCATGTTCAGCCTTTAAAAATTCCAAGAAGGTCGCAGCATTTAACCTTGCTGGCAAAAGGTAGGGTCCAAATAGTCGGATTTTCATGCGACCAAATATGTTGATTATGAAAATTTACCACTCCACGTCTAGTGAAGCATGACTGATCGGTCCATAAAACGTTACTTAAAAACTCCCTATTATTATCAGTTCTATCAAGAATTCACTGACAAAATGTGATTCTTCGTTCTCCGTCCCCTGGCTGTAGTCCTTGCACAGGTTGCAAATGGTAAGGACGTCTATGGTCATTTCTAAGAACACGGTGAACATGGCTTGCTGAAATTCCCAAGGCACCAGAAACTCTCCTAACACGTGGTCGGATCTCTATCAAACTCACGCAGAATCATACGGCTAAATCTGCGCTGACGAACACTTATGTTTTGATCCCTTTGGAGATTCCCAAAACCATTTTCAATTATTTGGCGATGCACTCTTACAAATACTGAGCGAGTTGGATGTCGTCTGTTTGGAAATCTTCGTGCGTATTCTCTGGCTGCTTCTGCTGCGTTTCCATTTACAAAGCCATAACTCTTGATTCGAGAGTAAAAATGGCATTTTTTTAAAACTTACAAAAAAAAACAGGTAAAAGTAGCTAAATTGCAAAAAAACGTTTCAGGTTTCAACAGACAACAAAACTAACTGTCAACTAATTGACGTTTAACCTTATTCTGCTTTCAATTTCAAAAATATTTGCAGGCACAGCCTACTTCTAAAAATTATCGAGATACTGACTTTTTAACGTTATTTTATCATAAATAATTAAAAATGCCTCGAACCTTAAAAATCAAAATATCTCAAAAACGGCTGACTATAACGAAAATTCACAAGAGAGCTTTTTTATGTTGAAAACTGCGAAGAATCAGTTTTTTTATTCAAAAAGCAAAAAATTGCACTAAGAACAAAATTTTCGGTCATTTTAATACACTACAGGTACAGTAGAGAGCGTCCTCTAGCGGCTACAGTAAAACTATGCCCATGGTTCGTTTTGTCGTACCAAAAAACCCTTGTATACCAATTTTCACTGTTATACATCAAATATTGTTAGAAATATTTAAAAAAAACTATTTTAGAAAGTAAATTTAAACACCCTGTATTTCGGAAGCCACGCATTTTTCGACCCATGTTTATATAGACTTTATGCATTACTTTTAAAAGTTCTATCGAATCTTAAAGTTATGCAACAATAAACTGAAACACCCTGATATGTCCGTAGAGAGGCTAACTCGTGCTGAACGCCGAACATAATCCTTTATGAATTAATAACTGCATTGCATGAGAAATGCAGAGCCAGTCTACTTGACTCCATTTTTTATTTTATATTTGTTTTCAGAATACAACAGATTCTGACACGTCGACGCCGAAAGAATCGTCCTCGACGGATCTGACCATTCCGCTGATGATTCCCAAGAACTTCACGCCTAGGGTATCAGCACCACCGCCGCAACCTGTTCCTCCTCTAAAGGACCTGCCCAGTGACACTATTCCCCTGAACCTTCCTTCCAAGCCGAAGATTAAACCACCGTCGGTAAGCAGCAAACTCTACAAAAAGACCTTGAACATGATGCGTAGTCTCGACAGACTAGTTGAAACTAAAGATGTCAAACATATTAGACAAAATCGTTGACCAATAAACTCCCTTTTCCAATTCAAGATTCAGCTAATGTAAAGCTTTGCAGTTTTCAACTATTTGAAGTGTTCTCTGGCTTTGGCATTGCAAATGTAGGTTATTTAAAAATATCAGTGAAAGGAGAATGTCATATGATCAGTATTTTCTGCGATCTGTCAATATTTATCATTTAATGTTATATTTAATGACCGTGTAGCCAGGACGTCAGTAATTTTTTATGGTTAAGCATAAAATCCACAGAATCTAACAAAACGATCAGTAATCATTGTGAAATTTCAGCTAATATGTTGTCTCTTTTGTACGACGTTTCGGACACCTCGGTCGCCTTTTACTTCCCACGCCTGATGGCGGGGAAGTAAAAGTATTGTTTTTTGGATGTTATATGACGTACGTTACAAAAAAGTAAGTCACTCATTACCGTCTGTCTGTCGGGCTGTGCCCGCTAAGCTATAACGGCCTTGAGAAGTGCCGCTCGGATTTTGATGAAATTTTTACACAATGGCGATAGTACATTAATTTATACTTTCCCAAGCTTGGTAATTATTTCGTATCTTGAAAAGAGATATGACGATTTTTCTTACATATTATTTTTTTTTGTGACATTATGTAGGTTTTTCTACAAGATGTTAACTTAGCACTAGCTGGTGGACATTTGTTGTGAACTCGTTTTGTAGTTATACGTGTTGCCTAAACGTCATGATGCTTCAGTTATCAATGTTTGCTAATATGTGTTGAAGATAATTCCATTGATTTCTTGTCTCAAATACACCTACTAACTTGAGATTCAAAGCTAGAATTTAGTTGCGCATCCACTTTTTCTTATTCATTCTGAAAATTACATAATTCTGGTTGGTGAAGGAACAGGTGAGATAATATGCTACAGACAGGAATATTTAAGACAGTGAAAAGGTTATTACATTTATTTTTTATTTCCAGTCATTTAAATTTTATAGAAATTTATTTTGCGATGTCAATAGAAAAAACAAATCATCGCCTAGATGTGAGGCATTGCGAAAATGTTTGATGTGTAATGCGTGTTCCTAATTTTTCTGTGATGTGGCTTAATTGCATAATATTCTCCAAAGTGTTTGAAAACACAAAAAACAGGAAAAATCGTAATTTATAACTTTGAACATAACCTTCCTTCAGAAATGACTATTTGCACCGTAAAAACTACTTAGTCTGCAAGATGACATTTTGTTGTTTTTTTTTACGTATAAATTTTTTTACTTAAAAGCCGTGCCGCTCGGATTTTGATGAAATGTTTACATTACTATGCCAGAGCTTTGTAATTTTTGAAACTCGGTCCAGTGGCAGCAGAGGAAAAGGCCAAAAACAAAAAAATAACAGACAAACTTCGTTCTTTGACGTTTCAGACGATAGCATATTTATTCTTTCCTGAACCGTAATAATTAACTATGTATAATCAACAATTCATTTAAATTCGCAGTACATTTCCTATCATGTGACAAATTTTTTAGTTTGATTTTATTCAAAACTGGCACAATTTATCGATATTCAATAAGAGTACCTTTTTTATGTAGAAAACCCTAAATTTTCAAATTCCAAAATTGAATTTCAAAAATAGAATCACACAAACATTTTGGGGCTAAAATAACCTGAGTCCGTCCCTGTTACATTCGCTTCCAAACAAAACTGTCTAAAATTGTTAATATTTTTAAATCCATCATAAAAAACTAGGCTAGGATACCAAATTTTATATCTTTATCTCAACACGTTTCGGAAATATTAAGGAAAAACCATCTTCAGGGGAGCCCCTTTAAAAGACCGTAGCGCCCTTAGGGGACGTTTGTCGACCTATGTTTATATAAACTTCTCTTCCTATTTTCAGCTCTAGAAACCGCTGGTAGAATGTTTACACTTTTTTCGGGAGACCCTGTAGAAAGCCCAAGAAGTTTTGAAGATGCACTGATTGCAACCTATGTTTCAGGTAAACTCGCCTCTTCTAGAAGAAAAATCCGTCACCCCAACGCCTTCAACCACAAGCACGAGCGTTTTAGGCTCATTATCAGAGGAGGATCTTATCAAGAAAGCTGCAGAAATGTTGGGTGAAGACGCCAGTCTGCCGATGAAAAAAGAAGCGAAAAGAGCCAAGATGGAGGTAACATTGCCACCGGTACCGGGACTGGAGGATTAGATATTATATGTTACCGCAAATACATAGTTAGTTTGGGCATATTCTAGGTTAGAAACCTATATTTAGCATTTCAGCTCTTACGCACAACACGATCATTGATTTCTAGACATCAAGTAATTTCTTTAAAATACGATTCAATAGTTATGGAAAAACACCTTGCAGCGTATGTAACTTAACCTATTTTTCACGATACTTCGTCACATTTAATAACATATCTTTCACCCGTCAGACCACAAGCGGTCAAGGATGGACAGCTGTTACGTGTTTTGACAACTCATCAGCTTGGTCTCGGATGGAACAACTAACGAAAGCTGTCCTCTATCCGAGGTATAAGGTCTATCGAAATCAGACTTCACAAAGTGCCATCCAGTGGGATTTTAAGAAAAAAAATACAAACTTAATGAAAAGAAAATATTTATTACTATCCATATATTCGTAAATTCGGAGGGTTTTATTTCTTAAATATCATTCCGACCAAATTTTTGCCATCCCTACGGACACACTTTTCTAATCGCGCGCGCAAATTCAGAAACACTCTCTTGCAGAGTTCCGGAGTGATGTTTATTTCTCGTCGAATGTTGTTTATAAGCTCCTCCATTGTTCGTGGATTTTTGGAATACACTTTTGACTTAAGATAAAACCCCACAAAAAAATAATTGCATGGCGTGAGGTCGGTTGGCCTAGGAGGCCAGTGAATGTCTCCAAACTTTTTGAGGAAAAAGTGCTTTCACCGTGTGCATCTGGAAGTATGGGCAGTGGCCCCATCCTGTTGAAACCATGTGTTTCTGTTAAATCGACGTTCTGTTCTTACAATAGGAGCAAAAAAGTGTCAATCATGTCCTTGTATCGCTCCGAATTGACTGTCAATGCATAACCGTTTTCATCTTCAAAGAAATCCGACCCAATAATACCGCTAGAGGATATGGCGCAAAGAACAGTCACCTTTGAACAATGTAGCAGTTGTTCATGTTTCTCTTTTGGGTTCGCTGGTACCCAAAATCTGCGATTTTGCTTGTTCACATAACCGTCTAAGTGAAAGTGGGCCTCGTCACTGGAAACAACGTTCTCGAGTCTGCGCTGCGTAGAAAAAAGATTCAACATCCGTTCATCACAAGATTTCCGTAATACGTAATCACTTTCCATTAAAGCATGGACTGATTGGATTTTATAAGGATGAAAACCCATTTTTTTTTCTTCATTATGCGTTACAGTGTTGACCTAGGGATTCCCAAAGCAGCGGAATGCTTCCGTACAGCACGCCGAGTGTTTGCAATGACCGAATCACTTGCTCGTCGCACAGTTTCTTCGGTTGATACAGTAGCTGTGGGGCCAGGAGTAAGAGGTGGGCCTGTTTCACGGAACCTCTTAATCCACTTTTTCAATAGTTTCTTACTTGGGACATCTCTTGGTCGGCGAATGTTGTATCGTGTACAAAATTTCCGAACGGCAGCTGCGTATGAATCACCACTCTTAAAGTGACTATTTGACCCGCACGCCGAACGCGTCGATCAGGACCTCTATTCACTTCCTAGCGTATACGGTTGCCGCGTGATTCAAATTTGAAATGTGAACTTTTCCACTGGACACCCTTTTTTACCAGAAATAAACTGTCTCTTGGAACTGTATCTCTGTTCGCATTTGACAGTCGGGTCACCAGTGTGGCCGCTACATGCCGTCGATTCTGGCGGTCTACTCGCCATTAAATAAACAACATGTTGCTTCTATATTACTAGTTTGTGCAATTGCGCATGTATTATATCGCCAGAATCGACGGTATTTAGCGGTCACAGTGATGACCCGACTGTCAAATGCGAACTGGGGTACAGTTCCAACAGACAGCTTGCTATTTGAATCTCGCAGTGGCCGATTCTGGTAATAGATGGCATTTTGCGCTGTCTTATTTCGATGCATCGTGTTCTGATGACTATTGGGGTGAACTGCTCATTAGCAAGTGACAGGGCTAATTTACAAAATATTTTGAGAGGTCATATGATGAGTTTGAAATATTACCTGCTCAAAAAAGTGCTCGATGGGGCTTTGGATTCACGTTGAGGAAGATGCCCGTCTCCGGAGGGGAGGTGATGTCGGCGATTGAAAATTTAAGAGCGAAGGGAACTCTGATATTCCGGTGGGGAAGGGGGGGGGGGGTCCGGACCTAAAGGCACTCCCCTGGATCCGCCTCTGGCAAGTGATATCTTTACATTAGTCTTGTATGAATCTGATTAAACTCAGAAAGGTATTTAGAACTATTTACACTAAACACTGTTATTTTTGCATATACATACTTTTACTTTCATAAATGAGAATTTTATACATTGAAATGTATGAAAACCACATAAAGAAAAATGTTTATTGGAATCTTATCATAGTAAATCTGAGTTTTATTGATTACAGTGTAAGTCACTAGAACAGACCACAACAAAATATCACTCTGTAGTTTTGGCGTGGAACAGAGGGGTGACCATGAAGCCTGTATAGTACTGACAAAATGAGAAAAAAACGACCCCAAAACTTGACGGCTGACTGAGGGCGCAGTGATCGGATACCAGTATCTGAGGTTATAATTCTAGATCCGGCTGCTTGAATATGCAGGTACCTGACTTATTGAAAAAACTTAATTTTTGTGAATCATGAACAATGGTAGAACTGATGCCAAGCCTGCTGTAAGATCTTTTATCATTCATGAAAATCAAGTTTTATCAAAAAAGCAGATACCTGCTGATCCAAGCAGCCGGATCTTAGGCTATTAGGAAAGTTCATATGGCGAATCTGTCAAAGCACAGCGTTGTCAGGTGGGTGAAACAGAATTCGCTAGAACAAGCGTAAACATCCCTCAGCATTGGTATTTTTCAAGAAAAAATCCCCCAGATTGCAGTTAATTAATGGAAAGGGATAGGTAGGGATGTTTTCTCCCGGCGAGACGTATGATTTCCCCAGAACATTTTACCCCAAAAAAAATCCCAGAGTAAGAATCCCCCAAGTTTGGGGGAAAATCCCCCCATCATGACAATCCTGTCAAAGCACCACTGGTACTCCAGGCGTCAAGTTTCGGGGTCTTTTTTACAGCACGAACAGCATTGCCGTAGTTTCTCCTGCTATATAGGCTCCATGGTCGTGACACTTTTTTTCACGTAATGAAGTATCGTTAAAAATATGTCATGTATGAAAATGCCAAATAAGGTTAATGCGAACGTTTGCTGTAATCTTTGGTTCTTATTGTAATAGTCAAGTCATTCCTTTGTGATCGAATCAATCCACCATTGTTTTTGGTATCAAAATCACTTTCCATACCAAGAAAATTCTTCCGCCACTTAGTTCTTCCTAGTACTGATATATTGATAAAAAAGCACTAATTTCTGTGACCAAGGTCTTATTGTAGCCAATAGATGTAGGCGAATTCAGGAAAGATCAGTGATAGCACTGCAAGCTTTATGGGCCACATTGCTCTACCACTGTTGTTTTCTGATTCATCAATTTTCAAATCACAGTGGGTGTATTCCTCCTTATTTAAAACGGGTGTTTCATATTCGACACTTACCATTGGGATCTCGGAATCGGTTGCGCATTCAGCTAACTAAGAAAATGTTACTTGGAAAATTTCGCAATTGAGAGTATTTCCGGTGATAGACGAAATAAACCGAATCATCTCAAAGCCGTTTTTATTTTTGCCTGACTTTGAGATGGGATTTCAAAATAAAGAGTACGTTAACATTGCCTCTCTCTTCTACTAGATCGAGTAATTAGAATTTCAATTTGACGTTTTATCACTTGTGCTCAATTTTATTATAGGTGCCATATTGGATCTGTGCACGGATGAGTAGAGTTTTTAATGCTGATTTGAAAAATGCCATAGATTGACTTTTCCATACCTGAATTATTTCAACAAAAAAATATTCTCAGTAGGCTTTGAAAATCACAGTTTATCACATATTTATCCGATTAAATCACCAATGCTTCAGTGTTTCATAAGTGTATGAAGGGCATCCAGGTATTTTGTCGATTTATCGAATATTAACAAGCCTTATTGTTGCCTTGTTCAAACATAGCAGATAGCCTAATCATATATTAGCAAATTTCCCCCGAAATAATTGAAAAGTCTGGTTTTATTGATTCAAGTATTTAAGACATGGACGCATAAAATGGGTACACCAATTTTTTTGGGAAAACTTTTTATTCGATAACAAAGAATGAGAAAACGTGTTTTTTGGGATGCAATCAAAAGTCAGGAACCAAAAAACTCTTCAAATAAGATTTTTAGGTATTTATGAGACCTACAGAATACCATACAAAAAAAGATCCGAGTAATAGTAAAAAAATTATGGCCGAATGTCAAATTTAAAACACCCCTTATACATAAACGCATATGTCTTCATGTTGAGTATTATAGGCGTTGTTCCGAAGGTTTTTTTACTTATATAATCTGTTATATACAAGTAAGTCACATACCTAGGCCTTTAATATTTGTAAGGTGTTCGATGTAGTGGATAAAATGTTCTCCATTGTTTATCACTATATTTGTATAGTTTGATTGAATTTGTATATATGGAGCGAAACGCATGAATTTGAAAAGTACAAAATCTGGTTATCATTCGGGACTTCGGATGGATTGTAATTTTACTGTTTAAATATAAAAATTCATATGTAAGATTAGCTAAGAGAGGTTGTGCCGTATTTTTGCATAAGCGTCGAGTTTTGGCAGACATTTTTCCCGACGATAATATTTGCATTTCATTAGTAATTTGTCCAGGCAGTAATTCACCAAAGAAAAAATTTCGGTATACTTATCGAAGCTAAGAAAAAACGTATAAAAACATGTAATGTTAATGTGTAAAGTATAATTTGTACAGTTTAGTTTTAGGTGTAGCGTACTTACAAGGCATATAATTGTTGTTTTGTACATACTTTTTCCTAGGTATTTTTTTATTTCATCAGTTTGCAATCCAATATATTCTGTATAATTCTGAAAATCCATAACATATTCAAGGATTTATTTGATATATTGTTGTATCTTGAGTATCTTTTTAAATGATTAAAAAATATAAATTCTTTTTTGCCTTTCATTTGCTAAAACGAACATGTATACAAATACTAGAACTATCTTGTATCCGATGGTAAGTCTATACCAGACCAGTTTGACGGTTTTGCAAAAGAAAGCTGGTCGAGAGTGCATTATCTAGGAACTTGAGAATTTTGGTATCAGGATCGCAGAAGCTGCGAGAGGTATATTTCCCGATGTTATATTTTCTTATAGCAAATCTAGACCTCAGTTTGAAGGTTCTGCGAAGACCTGAACTAAAACTGTGCTTTGCTGGGGCTCGGAATATTCCATTAGAATTGCAGAGATTGTAATATGCTGCCAATTTTATTGGGGGCAAGCCTCTTTCCATACCTCCTTGCGTTTCTGTGATCCTCATAGCCGCTCAGTTTGAAGATGTGGAGACGGTCTGGCAGAAACTGTTTTAGCACTAAGAATTTTGTATCAAGACCTCTAGAGCCTCAGCATTGCTATTTTTTCAAGAAAATATACCCCAAATCACAGCTAATTAATGGAAAGGGATAGGTTTGTTTTTAGGCGAAACGTGTGATTTCCCCCAAAACATGTCCCCCAAGTTTGGGGAAAAATTCCCCATCATGGCAATCCTGTCAAAGCACCACTGGTACTCCAGGCGCCAAGTTTCGGGTTCGTTTTTACAGCACGAACAGCATTGCCGTAGTTTCTCCTGGTGTATATTATTTTTTGCCTTTCATTTGCTAAAACGAACATGTACATAAAAACGAGAAGAATCTATCTTGTATCAGATATATTTAAATCTCCCGACAACACTGCTCCCTATGCTCGAGAGTGCATTATCAAGGAACTTGAGAATTTTGTATCAGGATCGCAGAAGCTGCGACAGTTCGAAGATTACAAAGGTGGTCTTTCCGGAACTGTGTTGTTTCAGGATCACAGAGACGATATATTGTAATATGACAATTTTATTGGGGGCAAGCCGGTTTCTATGATCCTCATAGCCGATCAGTTTGAAGATGCTGTGAAGAAGGTTTGGCAGAAACTTTTTCAGCACTTGGATTGAATTTTGAGGGGCATCTAACTTAACAGATTCACACGATTCATCCGGCATTTTATTAGGAGCGAGGTGTCCGTACCAACTCAATTCCTAGTAGATTTTGCAAGAAGAAGGTTTGGCAGAAACTTTTTTAGCACTTGGATTGAGTTTTGATCAAAAACGTGAGAGGTATTTAACTAATCTGCGATACATTGAATCTACTGCGATGTTATTGAGATTAAGCTGTTATGCACCCTCATTGCGTTTCTGTGATACTTTTAACAAATCCGTACTACTTAAGATTGAAGACTTTGTGAAGAAGGTCCAGTAATAGCACAGCACAAAGTGCCATCTATTAGATACGGTCTACTCGCCATTGAACAAACTAATACTATGTAGCTTTCGTTCTTCCGACTAATACAGACGGCCAACCATGGACAGCTATTTCGTAATGGTAATAGATGGGACTTCGTGCTGTCTTATTCCAATAAACCGTGATCTCCGAATAGATTTGCTCAGCGTTCGTTCGTACTTCATCAATACCAAGCCTAAACAATACTCAGGATTTCCTAAATAACAAAAAACAGCTATCCATGCTTGGCCGTCTATGGTCGGTCGAACTAGAGCTATATTTCTAGTTTAAGGATTCAACACGCGATAAATCTGAAGTACCACAAATTTTATTCGAATCAAGCTATTCTTTTGTGGGTTTTGTGGGTGTTAGCTATTGGTATCAGGATCGCAGACCCCCGTCGTTTTGTTAGAAGCAAGCTGCGTTCCATACCTCCCTGCTATACTACTTTATTACTGGGAAGTGTCCGAAAACTCGTTTGTCAAGTTTTGGTCAACTAGCTTTTAATCGTTAATGCGGCAACGTCGGTTCTACGTATGGAATATCGTGTTTTGCGCGTTCCGTGATACTCGATATTCATGCCTCATATCATCAGTGATAACTCATGTCACTATTAAGGAAAATAAGATATACATTGCGATGTAACTTAAACTTGCTACTATTAAAAAACGCTATTTTGAGGTTTAACTTCTGGTTCAGGCGCGGATCTAGGATCACGTTTTGGGGGGGAGGGGGAAGTACTGTAGGTTTCCTACTTTCAAGGGGTATTATCAAGTCGTTTGCGCTTATTATAAAATAATTAAGAAGAGAAATAATAAACAGCAGCCTAAGAACAGAAAGCACTTTTATTTAAAGGTTTCAGACATCCTCCATTCCCCTTTCCTCATTTTTCCTCCACGTCTGAGGCCTTGGGGGCAATGGTACCGTTGCCCCTCCAGGATCCGCGCCTGTTCTGGTTAATGGTGAAATACAGTTGAACTACGATTGAAGCCCTGTTCCTACAGCTGACGCCAACCTATCAGTGATCGTGTCTAAGATCCCGCCACACAAATTCCGTTCATTCTGCTACGCTATATAGAGAGAATCTATAAACACTGTCACCGACCACTGTACGAACAAACCGTGAAAAACCTATGAATTTTGACCCGCGATACATTTCAATCTGCAAGCTTTCCTCTATACCTCCTTGAATTTCTGTGATATTGACGACAAATTTATGTCGACTCAAAACGAAGGTTCAGAGAAAAGAATTTGGTCAAACGTCGGGAACTTGAGAATTTTGTATCAGGCTCTCAGAAGCCGTGAGAGATATCTGACTCAACCCGAGATATATTTCGGTCTCCCGCCAGTTTTGTTAGGAGCGAGCTGTCTTCTATACCCCCTAGAGTTTCTGTAATCATAATAGCAAATCTTAGCTTAGGTTTTGCAAAGGCCTGTCCGGAACTATTTTTAGCATCAAGAATTTTTATCAGGACCGCAGAGACGACGGCGGAAGGTGTAACAACCCGCGATACATATGAATATTCAAGCTACCTCGTGATCCTGATAGCAAATGCAACTCAAAAAAGGTTCTGCAAACCAAATCTGGTCGAATTTGTACTATCGGGAACTTGAGTATTTTATATTAGGATCTCAGAAGTCGCAAGAGATGGCTATTTTAACCCATGGTAGAATTGAATCTTCCGTTGTTAGGAGAAATATATTTTTCAACAACCCGCGATACGTCGAATCTGAAATCTTTCCTCTATACCTCCTTGTGTTTCTGTGATCCTGTTCAAAAGCGTATGCCAACTCAATTCAAAGGATTTGCGTACGAAATCTGGACAATAGAGCACTATCGAGAACTTGAGAATTTTGTATCAGGTTCTCAGAAGCCGTGAGAGGTATCTAACTCAACCCGAGGTAAATTTCAGTCTCCCGCCAGTTTTGTTAGGAGCAAACGGCTTTCCGTACATCCTAGAGTTTCTGTAAGCCTCACAGCAAATCTTGAGCAGCTCAGGTCTTGCAAAGGCTTGTTCGAAACTGGTTTTCAACACTAAGAATTTTTATTAGGACCGCAGAGACGACGGCGAGATGTATCCAACAACCTGCGATACATCTGAATCTTCGAGTTGTTACGCGATACTGATAGCAAATGTATGACAACTCAAAAGAAAAGGTTCAGCAAACGAAATCTGGTCGAAACTGCACTATCGGGAACCTAAGTATATTGTATGAAGATCTCAGAAGCCGCAAGAGGTATCTATCTTAACCCCTGCTAGAATTGATTGTCCCGTTATTAGGAGCAAGCTATTTTTCGCACCTTCTTGGGTTTCTGCGATCTTGATGGTATACCCATTCCAACTTAATTCGAGGGGTTGTAAAAGAAATTTAATCGAATGTGAGGGAAGTTTAATCAGGACCTCAGACTTTTCGAGAGGCATCTAACTTAACAGATGCACACGATTCATCCGGCATTTTATTAGCGAGGTGTCCGTACCAACTCAATTCCTAGTAGATTTTGCAAGAAAATCTGATCGCATGGGCGCTAATTCTTGGATTTCCGCCAGTTCGTTAGGAGCAAACATTTTTGTATACCTCCTCGCATTTCTGCAAACCAGGGGCTTGATTCTAAATGAGTTTCGACCGTTGAAATTGATTTCGATGGCGGCTTGTGACGATATACTTGAGTCGCTGTGATAATTTTGACATCTAATTATATTGATCTTCTATATTCAAATTATCATGGCAGTGTCAAAATTATCATAGCTAATCAAGTATATCGTCACAACGCGCCATCGAAATCAATTTCAACGGTCTAAACTCATTTAGAATCAAGCCCGTGATAACAAATCCTTACCTTTCATAAATGAATTCGAAGATATGGAATTCTGTATCAGGACCGCAGAAACGGAGAGATGTATTTAATCTAACATTTGAATCTCCCGACATTTTATTAGGAGCAAGCTCAATTCCATATCATCTCGCGCTTCTGCGAACCTGGTAGCAAATCTGCAGAAGCTCAGTTTAAAGATGCTGGGAAATCAAACTGGGGAATGGGTTCTATCGCAAAAAAAAGACAGTGGCTTTTTAACCTTTTATTTAACTTCATTCTAAAGAAATTCTTTAATAAATATACAATTTATAAGTTCACTGGTGAAAATTGGAAATACTCAGGGCAAGCATATACTTCGATTAACGACTGTTTAACATGGCATGTAGTAGTTATTGTCATGTACCATTGACATACAAATACTTTCCACAAAAAATACTAGGCAAAGCGTGGTTTGCATTCATAAATGCTGGAAAATGGGCGAATTAATAAAAATTCCTACAACATCCCAAGGAACGTGTAAAATAGTTTTCAAAGTGAATTTAGAATTTTCATGCTCAAGGCTGCTGCCCCATTAGTGCGTTGCGTTGCGTCGTCGCAGCGGATCATCGCATTGTATGCCCCATCTGCATTGTGACAACGCACGACATCGCAGCGCAATAGGACGACGCTGGCACCTCCACCGATGCCACGCACCTCAGTTAGTTTCCAAAATGGATCGGAATAAACGTGTTCTAT